GGTGCACCAAAAACGGCAGTCACCCAGGAAAACGTCGATCCTGTGCGCAAACTCATCATTGAAGATAGACATGTGACATTGAGAGCGTCCTTGAAGATCTCAATGACCTCAATTCAAAAAAATTTACATGAAGAATTAGGAGTAAGAAAATTAGTTTCTCATTGTTGACTGAAGAGCAGAAAGCAGTCAAGGTTAATTGGTGTCAAAAAACGCTTGACCGTTTCAATTCCGGAAACTCAAAAAATGTGTACAGCATTGTTAGTGGCGATGAATCGTGGATTTACTGTTATGAACCAAAAAATAAACGACAGTCGGCTGTTTGGGTGTTCCAAGGTGAAGAAAAGCCAACAAAAGTCATCTGTTCTCGAAGTGTTTCGAAAAAGATGGTCGCGACATTTGTGTCAAAAGCGGGTCATATTGCAACAATTCCTCTTAATGAGCAAAGAACTGTTACTGCGGATTGGTATACCACCATTTGTTTGTCAAAAATCATCACCGAGCTTCGAAAAATCAACCCCGAAAGCAGAATCATCCTACACCAAGACAATGCAAGCTCGCACACAGCCCAAAAAATAAGGCAGTATTTAACGGAAGAAAACGTGGAATTATTTGACCATCCTCCATATAGTCCCGATCTAAGTCCTAACGATTTCTTTACTTTCCCGAAAATTAAAAACAGACTCCGTGGTCAAAGGTTCCAGTCACCAGAAGAAGCAGTTGACGCATTCAAAAATGCCGTTTTGGATCTGCCAGCAAACGAGTGGAAGATGTGTATTAATCTTCGTGGATAATACTTCGAAAAACAATAAAGTCATTTAAAACTACCTATCGTGTTGTTTTATTTCCATATGCAAAACTTAAAAGATATCCCTCGTAATAGTAATACTGTTGTCAATATGACAACTGTGGAAGTGAAATTTTTGTAAACTGTCACAAATTATTTGGTAAATCTGGTACCAATTACCAGCAAGTATACAATTTCAAATATAATATAACATTTGTCAGACTACTGGTAGTGTCCAGATTACTGGCACATTCACCCTACCCAATACTCATCCTACTCAGTCCAGTTTACTAATCACCTAGTTTTTATCGAATATTAAATTACTTATGGAGGTAAATCAAATGATTATAGATGTGATCTGCAAACCCATCTTTGGTCAGGTTAGCCTTGGAAATAATTCTAATCACTTAACTGACGTTTTGCTATGTAAGTTGTGTTTCTAAGGCCCGTATCGTCACTCGTACAATTGTAGGGCGCCTTTATGGCCTCCTTGATTGTCATAGTTTTCTACTTCTCCGTGTCAGAACTCTATTTTGAGGTTATGTCACAAACATCTATTCGCATCAAATTGTGCTTGCTTTTGAGTTATATCATGTTTTATCAGCCTGAAATTTCCTACAATTTAAAAAGAAAACATATCTTCACAATAGGAGAGCGCTGACGCTGACTCAGGACAAGTGTAATCTAGAAATTTTTGAAGGAGAGAAAGGGGTATGACAATCAAGGAGGCCATAAACGCGCCCTACAATTGTAGGGACGACTGACGATACGGGCCTAAAAGACACTGATCAGTCCCCATCATTTGTATTTGACTGCTAGTTGAAGTATTGTGCCCCAAAAATGGCGTTTGATGTTAATAATCCATCCAAATATAATCAGCGAGCGGTCATTCAATGTTTATGGGCTGAAGTGTTGCAACCTAGTCTAATCATATTAGCAAATTTCCGCGAAATAATTGTAAAGTCGGGTTTTATTGATGCAAGTTCAAGTGGGTATTTAAAACATCGACGCCTCAAATGGGTACTCCAATTTTTGTGTGAAAACTTTTTATTCGACAAAGAATGAGAAAAAATTTATGGCCGAAAACCAATGCAAAGTGCAGGTTTTGGCACTTGTTGCTTAATGCGACGATAATTTCACGTAGCTACTTGAAAATTTTCAAATCCCTTGGGTTCGTACCTCTAAATAACCACAACAAAATATACAGAGTTCGTTCAAAGGGCATTTTATAACAAAATACACGAATTTACCTTGCCGACGTGAATCACAAACTATTCCCAAAGATAATTGTTATTTTTATGCGAAAAACGAAGGGTTACGTTTTTTCTTATAAACAAATTAAAACATTTCATATACATATGTGAGTAACTGAACATATTCGCTACGATAACATACGTTATCATACATTACGTTATCATACGTTTTAAAACAAAGCCGATGTGTCATTTACCTTTTGTTACGAAGAAAACAATTTTTTTCAAGATTTCTTTATACTCTTGCTTATACATATTTAGAGCTGACATTTTTACACGGTCACAGACGAGCCTTAAAGTTTATAAAAAAGAATATTCCATACTGAAATGCGCTGAACTGTTTATAAAGTTAGCAAGCAAACTGAAGACACAATTATCACACTATCATACTTATACCCCTGGTTTCCTGATTGCAAGCTTACATTTTCTATGGCGTGCGTGCGTTTGATCGCAATAAAAGTACACATAATGTGAAAAAGCATTTATTTCTCCAGATTTAAAAAAAAAAATAAAAGAGAAAAAGGAGCTTCGTAGATTCGAACCTTTTTATTTTCTAACATTTTGAACGCGCAGTCGTTTTAATCGAACGAGATTTCGAAAACGGACGTATACTGTACTAATACTTACAGAAAAAAGTCTAGGAGATTATATTTCTTCGTAAAGACACTGGATTACGTGATCTACTTAATTGACAAAGTCATGCAGTCATCAATAATGCAGCCATTTAGCACATGCTACATACTAACTAGTCTAAGACAGTTTAAAACATAATTGTGTCTTTAGTTTGCTAACGTTATAAACAGTTCAGCGCATTTCAGTATGGCATATTCTTTTTTTATAAACTTTAAGGCTCACCTGTGATTGTGTAAATCAGCTCTAAATATGTATACACAAGAGTATGAAGGAATCTTGAAAAAAAATTGTTTCTTTTTCGTAACAAAAGGCGATAGACACATCCGCTTTGTTTTAAATATTATATAATAACGTATGTTTTTCGAATATCGTAGCGAATATGTTCAGTTACTCACATATATGAAATGTTTGAATTTGTTTATAAAAAAAAACGTAACCTTTCGTTTTTCGCATAAAAAATACCAATTATCTTTGGGAATAGTTTGTGATTCACGTCGGCAAGGTAAATTCGTACATTTTGATATAATAAATATTTCCTTTGAACGAACTCTGTATACTGCTAAGTAAACTAGTAGTGATGGCCAGAATACCCGTGTTTTGGGATAAACAATTCGAAATTGTCAAAAACTACTTGACCAATCGACTCCAATTTTGTTATGGTTACTTAGAGGTATGAAGCCTACTGATTTGGAGAATTTCAAGTGGCTGCATGAAATTATCGTCGCATTATCAACAAGTACCAAAACCTGCATTTTGCCTCGGTTTTTGGCTATAACATTTTTACTATTAGCTGGATCTTTCTACGTCTGGTCTCATTTTGTAGGTCTCCTCAAATACCTAAAAATCATACTTTTTTATCTTTTTTTATTTCTGATTATATTTGGATTTTGACTAGCAGTCAAATACAAATGACGGGGACTGATCAGTATCTTTTATTATTCGCATCCAGAGGTATTTTCGTCTAATATGAGCAGCGCTAAGGCAGCAGCGGTGGCCGCAATAGTGGACTCTTCGATCTCCTGATCAATTTTTCTCTTGGCTATGGATGTTGTGATTGGCCGTAGGTGGTAGATGGTCTCTGACTGTCGTACGCGGAAGTACCACCCGGCGGGGCCAGAATGCATGCGCACGTGCTTCCTCGCCAGAGTCCGTGTGGCGTCCCCCCTTTCCCCTGTAGCCCCACGGTACCCCATGGGTGTTTAGGCATTAGGCCTTCATGGTAGTTGGAGTATAAAACAAGACTAACCATTATAAATTCATACGCGAATGCAAGCAGGGTATGGAAACGCTTGTTTTACGTATCCAACTGTCAAGGAATGATGTCGAAAATTTAAGAGTGGACGAGAGGAGATGAATGATAAGCCGCGACCAGGTGCATTGAGTACTGCATCAACAGACAGGAATGTGGTATGTGTGAAAGGCATGCTTAGTGAAAATCGTCGAATTTCAATCAGAGCAATTTCAGAAAATGTTGGCGTGAGTATAGGATCTGCCCATAGTATCGTACACAAATTGGGATACAGCAAAGTGTGTGCGCAATGGGTTCCTCACCTTTCGTCAGAGGACCAAAAAAGCTTGTGAATAGACTTATCTCACGGAATACAAGCAAAACGGCAATTACTTTCTTTCGTCAATAATTGCTGGCGACGAATCTTGGTGTCATTATTTTGAACCATCCAGTAAGCTCTCATCGATGTTGTATCGGAAACCCGCAAATTAGAGTTTAAAGAACCTAGAGTCCATATCAACGCAAACCCAATAAGACGAAAACGTCCAGGGAAGTTCTCACGTGGTGTCATTATTCTGCACGGCATTGCTCAGCCTCATGTTCCCAGAGTAGAGAAAGAAAGTCTAGAACGAAATAAATGGAGGATATTAGAGCATCCACCCTATAGTTCCGATTTATCGCCTTGCGATTTTCACATCTTTGAGCCACTGAAAAAGGCGTTAAAAGGTAAGCATTTTCAGTCGGACGAAGAAGTAGGAAATGCCGTAAAAGAATTCTTCAAGCAGCAGCCACAAGAATTTTTTATGTAGGGTATATACACCGATTGATGAAAGAATGGGATATGTGCCTAAATTGTAGTGGTAATTATTTGTAGATATGTTTGCCAATAATTTTTTTCTGGACCAAAGATGGGTTTCAATTGAACAAGCCTCGGATTTTGCAAGTCAGATGAATACTGTTGCTTACAATTTCTGCGATTAACTTTTTTAGATACCATGCGGAATAACGGAGTAATCGACCGAGCCCTCACTTAAGACTCTATTCTGCATCATGTTATTCATTATTGAAGATAATTTTGCTTTAAAACATCCTTTTGATTCAGGAAAATGAAAAACCTTTGCTGGGTGATGTTCTCAAAGAGGCAAGCAAGGAAGGGAAGTATTACATGGGCAGCCGAGAATTAACCAGACTTTGGAACCAGTGTCCAAAGAACCTTGAGGCCTGCAAAGGCAGGGACTTTTTACCAACTCTTGAAGAATATTTTGCAGAAGCTATGGATCAAATGGAAAATAACGTGCCAGGGGAAGACACTATCCTTAAAGACAGTAACTTTGGTTGGAAGGCCTTAAGACTCCTAGCCAGACGAAGTCCATATTTTTTCTCTCACAGCAATGCCATTATGCACCCCTTATCTACATATCTGCAGTTTACCTTAGAGAAAATCGCTTATAAAAAGCCTGGAAAAGAGGTACTCGTTTTATGCCTTTACTATTTGATTTACTCCACTAGGTCCAGATATCTCACTGAACTTGTTAGGTAGTTTGAGCTGTATAATTTTTTAATTTATAATGAATATCAATACAGGGTGGCCCAACGAAAAGGTCGCACCGCCATCTGTGACTCTCCTGACACATTTTGGGAAAAACGCTCGGACACGTCAATTTTGATTTTCATCTATAGCCGTACAATACAGGGTGATCCAAAAATAAGATATTGCGTTACACTTTAGATTTTTAAATGGAACCCCCCATTTTTTTAATGTTTAGATTTTACGAGAAGTTTTTAGTAACTTTTGTATAATAAAGTTTATACCTATCTTCTATCATTGTGAGGCATTTTAGTCTATAATAAAATTAGACTAACGTAACTTAATACTGATAATAATGGAATGCACGGCAAAAAACAATAATCATGGATACCAGCAAGATCATTTAGCATCAGTCTGTATCATCGTATGTGGTAGAAAAACTTTGACTTTCATTTCAAATTGTTGAGTTACCTACCTAGATGTGATAAATATTGAACAATTACTTATTCAATTCAAGAAATGGTAGAAATAACAATAACGTAACTTAATACTGATAATAATGGAATGCACGGCAAAAACAATAATCATGGATACCAGCAAGATCATTTAGCATCAGTCTGTATCATCGTATGTGGTAGAAAAACTTTGACTTTCATTTCAAATTGTTGAGTTACCTACCTAGATGTGATAAATATTGAACAATTACTTATTCAATTCAAGAAATGGTAGAAATAACAATAACGTAACTTAATACTGATAATAATGGAATGCACGGCAAAAACAATAATCATGGATACCAGCAAGATCATTTAGCATCAGTCTGTATCATCGTATGTGGTAGAAAAACTTTGACTTTCATTTCAAATTGTTGAGTTACCTACCTAGATGTGATAAATATTGAACAATTACTTATTCAATTCAAGAAATGGTAGAAATAACAATAACGTAACTTAATACTGATAATAATGGAATGCACGGCAAAAAACAATAATCATGGATACCAGCAAGATAATTTAGCATCAGTCTGTATCATCGTATGTGGTAGAAAAACTTTGACTTTCATTTCAAATTGTTGAGTTACCTACCTAGATGTGATAAATATTGAACAATTACTTATTCAATTCAAGAAATGGTAGAAATAACAAAACTGTACTACCAAAATGTGAGCATTGCAAGAGCTACAGCCCGGTCGTTTAATGCGTTACATCCAGACAAAAATATTAATGATAAGTATGTGGCTAAGTTGATAAGAAAATTTGAAGAGACTGGATCTGTGTCTAATATTTGCCGTAATCGTCATCGAGAAAATCAACCAGTTAGAAATGAATCCGCAGAAATATGAGTTTTGGGACACGTAGCACTTGACAACACCCAAAGCACTCGTTGACTGGCTACTTCTGCAGGATTTTCACGCTCAACAGTACAGAGAATTTTGAAAGACAACACATTTCACCCGTACAAGATAAAACTTGTCCATGAGCTTAATGAAGACGATTTTGATAGGTTGGAGTTTTGCGAATTAATGTACCGACGTTTAATCAACAATGTAAATCTGTTATTTAATATTTATTTGTCGGATGAGTGTACTTTCTATTTATATGGTGCTGCAAATAGACATACCACGTTCAGCACTTATTACCACATTGACCTACCTCTTCATAGCAAATTAATTTTTTTCTCTAACTTTAATGTGCGTGTAAACTATAAGTTATTTTTTGTTTTTTAATACTCGGAGACTTGTTTTTAATTTTAAAGTAAAGTCTTGTTACTATGAGAACTATATTGATTATTATTTTTATGATATAATGTCTTATTATCACAATTTCTAGAATTTGATTATGAACTCAAATAGCTTCACACGATTGAAGGTAGGTATAAACTTTATTATACAAAAGTTACTAAAAACGTATGGAAAATCTAAAAATTAAAAAATCTAAAGTGTAACGCAATATCTTATTTTGACGTGTCCGAGCGTTTTCCCCAATATTTACCAGGAGAGTCACAAATAGGGGTGTGACCTGTAATCTCTGCCATCAGTTCGTCAGTATTTACGGTATTACGGTCCTGTGAAAATATGAATTAATGTTAACAAATCATGAAAGGTTCACTGCAATGTTTCTGAATCAACATTCCAATAGAAATTGGTGTTCCGGCTCGGAATATTCTATTCTACGGGGTGACCCAATATTCCGAGGATATAAAAGTCGATTGGACATTATTTAAATCTTTGCAAGTACTTCGTTTGTCCATTAGAGGTTGTCACAGTTTTTTAAAAACCCATTATTCGCTAGGATTCCTAATATTTGACTTTTACAAAAAAACGCGAGAGGGTTCGAGAAGAGTGAAAACTACCATAGGCATGCTGGCGACTTTTTTCGCTTTTTCTCTTTTTTCGATCCATCCCACTTTTCATTGAAAACATTCACTTTACTCACTATTTTCGCTCTGAACGATTCCGATGGAGCTGTCCTCGTTCTCGCAAGACCCACTAAATTAAATGAAGTGATTTTTTTTCATAAAAATTAACTATGAAAAAGTTAGCCAATAAGTATTCCATGAGAAATTACTAGGATTAGTTGAAATCTACGTATTTTAATATCAGCTTTGCTAAAAGCGCTCTATACAGGGTGTTTCAGTTTATTGCTGCATAACTTTAAGATCCGATAGAACTTTTAAAATCAATGCATAAAGTCTATATAAACATGGGTCGAAAAATGCGTGGCTTCCGAAATACAGGGTGTTTAAATTTACTTTTTAAAATAGTTTTTTTTAAATATTTCTAACAATATTTGATGTATAATAGTGAAAATTGGTATACAAGGGTTTTTTCGTACAACAAAACGAACCATGGGCATAGTTTTACTGTAGCCGCTAGAGGGCGCTCTCTACTGTACCTGTAGTGTATTAAAATGACCGAAAATTTTTTCTTAGTGCAATTTTTTGCTTTTTGAATAAAAAAACTGATTCTTCGCACCTTTCTGCATAAAAAAGCTATCTTGTGAGTTTTCGTTATAGTTAGCCGTTTTTGAGATATTTCGATTTTTAAGGGTCGATGCATTTTTAATTATTTATGGGAAAATAATATTTTTTTTACATTTTCGATTTGGGCATTACAAGTAATTAAGATGATCGTTTAGATTGTGTTTTTAAACACAGCAATAATTCCTAACTCCAAATAAACACAAAAAAAACAGAATATTAATTTGTTTAATTTTCCAATATTATTTTTAACAAATTAAATTAATTATTTACAACTAAAATGCTATTGGATAGTTTGGACAAACATACAAAATCTAAAGTAGTTGCTCGAAATGTAAACCCAATTGTTCAATACACAATTCACATCTACGAATGATCGAACGTGGTATAGCATTATTCAAATAAGGCCTTATTTCATCACATGCATTCCTGATTCTGTCTATTAGCATATCTCTTGTGGTTACGGGAGTCTTTTTCTTTTAGAAATCCCCACACAAAGAAATCTAATGGATTTAGGTCAAGGGATCGTGGAGGCCAGGCGACTGGTCCTCCATGGCCGATCCATCTTTCTGGATAATTTTCGTCCAGCCAGTTTCTAACTATTCTCGAATAATGAGCTGGACAACCATCAAGCTGGAACCAGGCCAATCTTCTTAAATCTAGCATAACATCATCCCACATATTTGCATGTTCAGCCTTTAAAAATTCCAAGAAGGTCGCAGCATTTAACCTTGCAGGCAAAAGGTAGGGTCCAAATAGTCGATTACGGTAGATACCAATCCACACGTTCACACTAAATTCATGCTGAAAATTTATTTCCCGAACTGCATGCGGATTTTCATGCGACCAAATATGTTGATTATGAAAATTTACCACTCCACGTCTAGTGAAGCATGACTCATCGGTCCATAGAACGTTACTTAAAAACTCCCTATTATTATCAGTTCTATCAAGAATCCACTGACAAAATGTGATTCTTCGTTCTCCGTCCCCTGGCTGTAGTCCTTGCACAGGTTACAAATGGTAAGGACGTCTATGGTCATTTCTAGGAACACGGTGAACATGGCTTGCTGAAATTCCCAAGGCACCAGAAACTCTCCTAACACTTGTGGTCGGATCTCTAACAAACTCACGCAGAATCATACGGGTAAATCTGCGCCGACGATCATTTATGTTTTGATCCCTTTGGAGATTTCCAAAACCATTTTTAATTATTTGGCGATGCACTCTTACAAATACTGAGCGAGTTGGATGTCGTCTGTTTGGAAATCTTCGTGCGTATTCTCTGGCTGCTTCTGCTGCGTTTCCATTTACAAAGCGATACACAAAATGAATATCCGCTAACTCTTGAAAACTTACAAAAAAAAACTGGTAAAAGAAACTACATTTCGTGCATTCACAATTGCAAAAAAACGTTTCAGGTTTCAACAGACAACAAAACTAACTGTCAACTAATTTACGTTTAACCTTATTCTGCTTCCAATTTCAAAAATATTTGCAGGCACAGCCTACTTCTAAAAATTATCGAGATACTGACTTTTTAACGTTATTTTATCATAAATAATTAAAAATGCATGGAACCTTAAAAATGGAAATATCTCAAAAACGGCTAACTATAACGAAAATTCACAAGAGAGCTTTTTTATGTTGAAAAGTGCGAAGAATAAGTTTTTTATTCAAAAACCAAAAAATTGCACTAAGAACATTTTTTCGGTCATTTTAATACACTACAGGTACAGTAGAGAGCGCCCTCTAGCGGCTACAGTAAAACTATGCCCATGGTTCGTTTTGTCGTACCAAAAACCCCTTGTATACCAATTTTCACTGTTATACTCAAATATTGTTCGAAATATTTAACAAAAACTATTTTAGAAAGTAAATTTAAACACCCTGTATTTCGGAAGCCACGCATTTTTCGACCCATGTTTATATAGACTTTATGCTTTAATTTTAAAAGTTCTATCGAATCTCAAAGTTATGCAACAATAAAATGAAACACCCTGTATATCTGCACTAGGGATTTCAAATTCGGAAACAATAGGCAATACAATACAAAATCTTTTATGAAGACAAAGTTGCGCATATAGGTAATCGTAAAAAAATCAAAATTGAGATATCACATTTTTTGGATATTATACAAATATAACATGTATCTCACGAGAAAACCATGTCACTCATTTCCGTCGCTCTGTCTGTGTCTGCCTTTGTCGCTCAGTCTGTCTGTGAGTTTGTCCGCTAATTTATAACCGCGTATAACTTGGATTTGGATGAAATTTTCACACAAGGTTACTACTACGCCAAGAGGTCCCAAATTGGATCCCTGCGGCACACCGCTCGTCGCAGTGAATACTTCCGATCTTACATTATTTACATACGAGTATACCTACTGTTGTCTATTAGATAAATATGATTTTCATAGCAAGAAATAATTATTTTGTAAACCTAGATAGCAAAGTTTCTTGAGGAGAATCTCATGACTGATCTTGTCAAGAGCTTAGGAAAAATCGGCATACATTACATCAACGTGACCTTTCCTGTCCATGCAAAATACGGAGTTGCGTGATGCAGGTATCTTTAAGTAACAGAAAACTTGTGAACCGAAGTTGGAATATTATTGCGAGTTTAATACTTCCATTGTTTAGGAATTGTGTGCGGTAAATTGTTGCATATTTGGTATCAGTGAAATATCTTCTATTATTAAGAAGCTGCTGATCCCAGTGATACTATGAACCTATATTAGACATAATAAGTCAGACATAGCTTCCCTACATCTGCCGTGGAAGCAGAAATATGATATATTTGCTTTATACAGGTTATTAACAGACGATTCTTTGAGTAATTTTAAGACAAAAAGTTCATATAAACAAATAACAAGTCCAGTGGCATCTCGAGCAGGATCTGAACGAATATTTGTGACAAATACATGTACGCCACTAACTTTTGTGCAAGTTTTATTATGTTCTTTGGATTAAGCGAATAGAAATATGAACAACCTTTTTGTCTCTTGAATTTTTTTCGTTATCTTGCTTAATTTTCGAAAAAAATGCATGCCTCTCAAGGAATAGGGGAAAAGTTTCTTTTGGAGATTACAATAATAATAATAATGTCTTTATTTTTTAGTTAAAAGAATAACAAAGAAAGAAAAAACTCAGTTGATGAGGGAGGCGGAATTCAACATAGTTGCTCTTCCATGCAACCCCCGTAAATAATACTATACTAACAATTAAAGAATAATGATGGGTGTAATTAATACAACAAAAATAAAACTATTGTGCTCTTTTCACATGGGACTTGACTCTATTTCGGAAGCTGCTAAGTGAGATCGAATCTTTTACTGTATCTGGCAATGAGTTGTGTATTGTAGATGCAACATAAGTAAATGACTTTTTAAACTGTTCATTACTATGTAACGGAACATGATAGAGATTACAAGAACGAGTTTCCCTATCATGAAGATCCGATGTCTTAACAAGTTTGGTATACAGGTGTAGTGGTAGCTGGGTTTTGTTAATATTGTAAGTTAAGAGCAAGATGTATCAAAAAGCGCTCATGCATGTTGAACCAGCCAGAGGCTCGAAATTCGTCACTGAAGTGGTCATATTCTTTCAGAATGGAAGAAAATTTAATTCACGAGTTATTTTTTGAACAGAAAGTTTGTCTCTAGTAGTGAGCGCAGGCCAGTATACAATATCAGCATACGACAAGGAAGACAATATCAACGAATCGCATAGATTCAGCCTGCCTTCAGTAGAGAGAGAATTCTTGTGAAGATAAAAAGCATAAGCTTTTTGTAAGAGATGCTTAACGTGGGGAACAAATTTAAGAGTGTTATCCATATACAGGGTGACTTTGAAGTTGAGTCATTAATTTTCAGATAATGATTGTAGAAGGAAGATAAACCAAAATATGTGAGTAAAAATAAAAAAAAAATTTTACCTTGTTTTATAAAGTATCCTCCCGACAAGTATTTCAGTGCGGACCTGTATTTGATCGTGAGGTCCCCTGTGAGGTCTTAAGTCACCTGATTCACGAGCCCGTTGTACTACATTAACAAAGGCACGAGGGGTTGGTTGCACTCGATTGGGAAACCGATCCGCATAAACATGTGCCATTTTTTATTTCGTTTGAGCCACGCGACAGACACTATTCACACGCGACTGACACTGACTGTATGTATAACTGAACTGAATAAAATAATTGTAAAAACATCGTTCCAAATTCTTTCGCTTTTTTATTTCCGATGCGATGAACCGATAAGGCGGATTATATCCGTTGTTGCCAAACACTAGCACATGATATTATTGAGACAGGGCGGTACTCAAACTTCCAAAGGGCTATAACTTTGTTACTTTAATTTTACCAGAAAAATGGTAAAGGAAAAAAACATTTCTTTTGATCAGATCTACTCACTGTTAAAATAAATGACTCAACTTCGATGTCACCCTGTATAGTCCCAGATTTTTACATTGGTTGCTTGCTTGTAATACAGTGTTATTAATGCAGATTCTAAAATTCTGGTTGTCAGTAACCTCACGCGGTCTTGATCCAAAAATAAGCAATTCAGTTTTATTTTCATTTAATACAAGGCTGTGGGCTCTTACATATCTAGATAAATACTCAAGATCAGAATTGATACGCATGCAGGCAGCATAAGCATCATCAAGTTTAAAAGAGTAATACAATTGTGTATCGTCTGCATAGTGTACTGCAAAATTCCAACTGACTTTTCAAATCTGACGTATACAGTGAAAACAACAAAGGTCTTAAAATACTACCCTGTGGCACACCTCTGGTAATACTACCATTATTTTTTGATTACTAATGATGTAACAGCAATACATATTAAATAACATCAACATCTAGACTAACAAATTTCACTAAATTAAGTGTTGGAAATGACACCCTTCGGCTTCAATACCACCGTGTAGATATGTAACAAATATTCGTATTCACGGATATCCGCATATTGCATATTCGGATTTGCAAAATTTCTGCGAATGTTTTGCGAATAAGAATATCAGAAAAAATACAATATTAGATAATAGTAGGTTAATAAAAACAAAATCCATTCATTTCTTACACAAGAAAAAGTAACTTAACCTCGTAATCACATTATCATTCTTGAAATTTAAATTGAAATGAAATTTAGTTTAATGTTTATTTGTTGTTGTTACATACAGAAGAAAATGTTCCCCACATTTCTTGAGTGGTCCAGGGATATGCAATTAAGTGGACTTTTTTTCGAAAACTAAGCAAGATACGAACAAGTTCAAGAGACATAAAAGTTGTATTTCCATTTGCTTAATACAAAGAACATAATAAAAATTGCACAAAAGACAGTGACGTACATTTTTTATCACAAATATTCGTTCAGATCCCGCTCGAGACCCCACTGGACTTGATAAATGTAATCAAGTTAGGGGTAAATTATCTCCTCAATGTTATAAATACCATAAATTACTCGAAGAATCGTCTGTTGATTTTATGGTACATACCTAATTAACTCCATGTATCGTTTGATATGCAGAGGTCGACGATTCATCGTACCTGCGATTCGATTTCACCATTTTGAAACGATTTGACTTATCCCTTTTCTTTGAAACATCCAACGAAGGCTTAGGAAGGATAGAGTCAATCTACTTGACGTAATTTTTTTCCAAAAAAAAAATCATTTTTAAGCAACTCTGTTGGACATGTCATAGATGAAACACAAAATTTATTAACACAAAGCCAACTCATTTGTCGCCATTTATTCCCAAAAATCGACCCTCTCACTCGTCTAACACATCTCGTTATCTATTTTAGGTATCACAAGAAACTCAAAATGACACCGAAATTGATAACATATTGACTGAAGAGGAGCAGGAACAAGCGACGGACGGCCTAAAACACACCGAACAAGAAGAGTTTTTGGATGACAACCATGTGCGTAGAGAACACAAAAACATAACATTACAACAACTGATGTTCATTAGTGCAAAAATAGCCCCCGAATGGACCAAATTAGCGTTAAAGCTAGGCTACAAGCAAGACGAGATCGACTTCTTCAGGAACGAGAACCCTACTCCGGTAGAACAAGCTAGGAACTTGCTGCAGATTTGGTTCGAAGATGACGAGGATGCAACACTTGACAACCTGTTGTATATTCTGGAAGGACTCGATATGCAACAAGCGGCAGAAGCTGTTAAAGGAGAGATACAGAACATGATGGAATCTTGATCAGAGATACGATCAATATTTGTTTTAATTATGATAATTATGTGGGCAACATCTTACATACAGTGAATTATATAAAAAATAATCAGTCCGTTTTTATTTATTAATTAACCCATTAATGCCCACGGGGTCGATAATGACCCACGAGATATTTTAATACCCTACTCTCAGCACAACATGACAACAACGCGTAAATATTCGGCAAACGCAACCACATGCCTGCATGAAGCCACGTGCTTATGGTCGACGGCATTGTGCATATTTCCGGCATCTAAACAGCAGCCCGAATTCCATAGATTGAGTGTAGTAAAACATGGCTTCCAATTATGAATGGTAAGTACATTTATTGTTTTTTATTTCTTTTATCTACTATTCAAATTAGCTTTACGTAGCATATATCTACGACTGCAAATACATTGTTTCGAAATATTTGTAGAAATAAAAGCTGTGCATAACCTAAAAACCTTGTGGGTCGTTATCGACCCCTTGGGCTTCACAATACACTCTATTGTTAATTTTAATAATTCACATTATTTTTTTTAGAATGTTTTTAGTAGTTTATTTTTATTTTTTTTCCAGGACGCGTCCGTTCACAACCAGCGAATTGTTCTAAGAAATGGAAAACCTCGAAAATTCCGAAGATCTTCCTGATGGAATTATTATTACTCCACCAGACGATTTTTCTGACAACACGGACTGCGTCTCTGGAGACGAAGATTCCAATGACCCGGACCACTTGAACAGCAATCAACTTTCTGCTCAAGTTGGATATTACTTCATGGACAATGAAAGGAGATCACAAAATGAAACAGTGATTGAGGGGGTTGCTGGTATTGAGTGGAATGAAGAAGACAATTTGCCGCTCGCATATTTTGCAAGTCACTCTGAATATGAAAAATGTAAGTGGATGAAAGGCGACCTACAGAGTGATAATACGGAAACATTTTCAAATTTTCCACCTCCACTTACACTGACATCGGAGAGTTCGCCTCTCCAATTTTTTCAACTATTTTTGTCACCCGATATTCTAACAGATCTTGTAAAACACAGCGTTGTATATGCTTCTAAAAAGAACAAGTTGAACTTTGAACTTTGTTTGGACGAAATGTATGTTTTTGTTGGAATTTTAGTTTTGTCTGGATACGTTCCTACCGAGAAGACGGATGTATTGGGAAGAAAGTGAGGATGTTCATAATGAACTAGTCGCCAAATCAATGCGTCGAAATCGATTTGAAGAGATTTCTAGCGTTTTCCATGCTGCTGATAATGACAATCTCCCAGAAGGTGATAAGTTGGGAAAGATACGTCCCTTTATTGAAGCCATAAATGAAAATTTTATCAAGTACACACCAATTGAAAGTAATATTTCTATAGACGAAGCGATGATCCCATACTACGGTAGGCACGGATGCAAGCAATACATAAGAGGCAAGCCCATTCGCTTTGGATATAAAGCTTGGGTTGCTGCATTGAAATGTGGCTATTGTTTGCAGTTTGATATACAGGGTGGCCAAACACGTGACGTCATAAAAAAAAATTAGATTCCCTACATCGAGAGGAACCCAAATCACCCCCATATATATGGTCCGATTTTGTTTAGTTTAGGAGTTATGATTTTTTTTCGGATTTTTCGAGAATTTTTGAGTTCTGTGTTTATTTTTACCATAACTTCGTTAATAATTGTGATAAATGCCTGCTTTTTTCACGATTATGTAGCTAAGACCTAAGGCTTGACTATCATATAATCATTCAAGTCATGTAACTAATACTACTTTTTAATTTTTTTCAAAATCTTCGAACAACAAAAAAGTAAAAAAGTGCAACAACTTTGAACGTTTATAAAAAATTGAAAAAACATGTTCTTACTATTCGTAAGTATCTTAAAAACTTCCTTACGGTATCAGCTATTTACCGTAAAAATTTCATCAACCTAGCTTTACTACATGCTACCGTAATTGTGGCTCAAATAGAACCGAACCCAAAATTGGATAACCCTCTGCTCAATAGAAATTGTTAGTTTCGGAAAAAAAATTTGCAAAAACCACAAAAACACGTTTGATTTTTACTGAACAGCAGAGTATTATTCATTTATGTTATTTACAAGAGGTTTTCAAAATGTCTGCCTCTAACAGAAATGCACAGTGTACACCTACGTATGAAATTTTGTTTTAAATCTCTAAATGCTTGTGTGTTGTTTTTCAACACATGTGTCGCTTCTTGAATTTTGTTCCTCAATGAATTTTCATTTGCACATTTTTGGGCGAATGTTATGTATTTAAAATATCCCCAAACAAAAAAATCAATGGGGTTGAGGTCAGGGGAGCGTGGAGGCCATCGTATCGGTCCGTTTCGTCCGATCCATCTGTCTGGGAACCTTTCGTTTAAGTAGTTTCGCACGATCGTTGCGTTGTGGCATGGTGCGCCATCATTCTGGAACACCATGTTCCGTCTGGCTTCCAGGCTTGAATCTTCCAGCAATAATGGTAGGCTATTTTCAAGGAAGCTTTTGTAGGCTACCGAATCCAACCTTGACGGCAGTTCAAATGGACCGATAATTTCCATATTGAATATTCCTGACCACATGTTCACACTAAAACGGTGTTGAAATGTCGACGGCCTTGACTGGTGGGGGTTTTCAACAGCCCAAGTATGTAAATTATTGCAGCATTATATGCAGAAATGCATTATTATTATGGCGTTGCTCAAGGCAACGGCGCTTTAGCAGCTCAGCTGTACCGGGAACAACTTATACGCCGAGGCGGACCACAACCTGAGCATTACCCAGACCACCGTGTTTTTATTAACACACATAACACTTTCATGGCAGGCCGCATTCCAGGACGAGGAAGCAATGAAGGATATCCTACAGCTGATCCGGATCGCAGAGAAGTAGTACTTGAAGAAATTAGCCGGAATCCCTCAACGAGTACGAGATCTATGGCACAAAACCTTAGAATACCACGAACATCGATACAAAATATTCTTCATGAAGAAGGTTATCATGCCTATCATGTTCAAAGAGTTCAAGCGTTGATGCCTTCAGATTACCTGTTAAGAGTGGATTTCTGCGAGACAATGCTGCGAAGACAACGAGAGGATCCCGATTTTTTTGATAAAATTTTATGGACTGACGAGTCACGTTTTGAAAGAACAGGGATATTCAATATCCATAATTTACATACTTGGGCTGTTGAAAACCCCCACCAGTCAAGGCCGTCGACATTTCAACACCGTTTTAGTGTGAACATGTGGTCAGGAATATTCAATATGGAATTTATCGGTCCATTTGAACTGCCGTCAAGGTTGGATTCGGTAGCCTACAAAAGCTTCCTTGAAAATAGCCTACCATTATTGCTGGAAGATTCAAGCCTGGAAGCCAGACGGAACATGGTGTTCCAGAATGATGGTGCACCATGCCACAACGCAACGATCGTGCGAAACTACTTAAACGAAAGGTTCCCAGACAGATGGATCGGACGAAACGGACCGATACGATGGCCTCCACGCTCCCCTGACCTCAACCCCATTGATTTTTTTGTTTGGGGATATTTTAAAGACATAACATTCGCCCAAGAATGTGCAAATGAAAATTCATTGAGGAACAAAATTCAAGAAGCGACACATGTGTTGAAAAACAACACACAAGCATTTAGAGATTTAAAACAAAATTTCATACGTAGGTGTACACTGTGCATTTCTGTTAGAGGCAGACATTTTGAAAACCTCTTGTAAATAACATAAATGAATAATAATCTGCTGTTCAGTAAAAATCAAACGTGTTTTTGTGGTTTTTGCAAATTTTTTTTCCGAAACTAACAATTTCTATTGAGCAGAGGGTTATCCAATTGTGGGTTCGGTTCTATTTGAGCCACAATTACGGTAGCATGTAGTAAAGCTAGGTTGATGAAATTTTTACGGTAAATAGCTGATACCGTAAGGAAGTTTTTAAGATACTTACGAATAGTAAGAACATGTTTTTTAAATTTTTTATAAACGTTCAAAGTTGTTGCACTTTTTTACTTTTTTGTTATGTTCGAAGATTTTGAAAAAAATTAAAAAGTAGTATTAGTTACATGACTTGAATGATTATATGATAGTTAAGCCTTAGGTCTTAGCTACATAATCGTGAAAAAAGCAGGCATTTATCACAATTATTAACGAAGTTATGGTAAAAATAAACACAGAACTCAAAAATTCTCGAAAAATCCGAAAAAAAATCATAACTCCTAAACTAAACAAAATCGGACCATATATATAGGGATGATTTGGGTTCCTCTCGATGTGGAGAATCTAATTTTTTTTTATGACGTCACGTGTTTGGCCACCCTGTATATCAAGGAAGGAAGCAGAATATAGAAAATCTAGGGGGTGTGGGTCTTGGCGAACGTGTAGTGACAAGTTTTGCTACCCTCTTAGAAAAAGAATTTCCAAATCTTAGGTTTACCTTTTATTTCGACAATTTTTTTACATCTGCTAAATTGATAATATGTCTTGGTAAAAAGGGTTTTGGAGCCACCGGTACTGTAAGAGAAAATCGTACATATGAGTGCCCTCTGAAAAACTCAACTCTTATGAAAAAAATGGAAAGCGGATCCATGGATGTTGCTGTTGGGGAAAATAATAAAATAGCGGGTATTCGGTGGAAAGATAACAGTATCGTTACATTATTATCCAACGTACATGGTTTGGATCCTCTTCAAAAGTGTCTGAGATATTCTGCTAAAGAGAAAAAGAAAATAGAAATCCCCCAGCCGTTTATAGTAAAACTCGACAGCTCGACAATCATATTTCAAATTACAGAATAGCAATGAGAGGTAAAAAATGGTACACTCCACTGATGTACTGGGCAATTGATGCATGTGTTGTAAATGCTTGGAATCTCGCACGGCAGTATGGATATAAAAAAGTCCAACTAGATTTTCGCAGAGGTATTGCAAAGGAACTTTTGTCAACATATGGTCGAGAACCATCTGTAGCGGGAAAAAAACGAGCTGCCATCAGATATCCTGCTTCTGCCTCTGGGAGACATCTGATAATAACGGGAGAAGTAAGACGCCGCTGTCAGAATTGCAAAAATAAAACAAACAAACGTTGTGATGCATTCAATGTTCCTCTTCATGTCAAATGCTTCTTAGAATACCATAACTCCTGATTCCATAATTATAGATAATAGTATCTTGTTCAAATCTTTTTGTTGATAATTGTAATCAGATAAATAAAACGTATAAAAAATACACATTATGATTTTCATTTGAAATGTTTGTGCAAACATTTTTGTAGAGCCCAAGGGGTCGCTAACGACCCAACCCAAAATGGCAGCATTTTAATTTTTTTTTCGTGAAATATTCATTGATATATCTTTTATATTACTATGGTAATCACATATTTAACCGAACACATGTTTTTCAAAAAAAAGTTAATCTGGGCATTAATGGGTTAAGAGGATCTGCAAGGTTGTGTCATTTATTTTAACTGCTTGTAGGACTCGTCAAAAGGAGTTGATATACCAAAAATAACCTATATAGAAGTTGCATAATAAAAGATTAATGATTTTAAGAAACAAGGATATTATTACACGGATTTTTTGATACATTCGACCACTGCCGTATGAAATCTTAACGTTTTTTGTTTTTACTACTCTTACCGTACATCTAAATTTGAAAAACTTTTTGTGCTATTGTATGGTTTTCAGTACGAGTCTGTGGTTCGATCAGTTGTAACAGTCTTTTAATAGTGCGTATACTTTACTTTGTCTGATTACACTGTTCGGCATTCTAAAATTTTTTGTCGCTTTACGATATTTTTGTAGGGTTTACTGTGTTGTACTGAAATCTAATATGCAGTCAGTTTTTCTCCATCATCCACAAATTTTTAGAGAACGGAGAATATAAAATATTAAAATCCCAAATTTTCCACTATAGCGGTTCTCCATCTGAGCAATTTGCTGGTGAAATCTTTCATCTGAAGCTGCACCCAAATTGTCATGGAAGAGTTCTAAATGGGAGTGAAGAAAATGCAGCTTAAGTGACATAATGCAACCTAAGGACTTATAAGATTGGATAAGTTCTTCAACTAGATTTTTGTAGTTCTCCGACTTTTTGTTGCCCAGGAAGTTGCTACATACATTTTTGAACGAATCCCATCAACTTTTTTCCTGCCTGTTCCGAGACGTAGGAATTTTCACACCTGTTTGTGAAAGGTTCCATTCCTGCAAACGAGATCCAAGTAGTTGTGCTTTTCTTTTGGGAAGATCTAAATCAGGAACTAGATCATTGAGCTCTTCCTGAGATATAAAATGTGGCTGTTTGCTGCACATTCGAAAACGACTACCTCTTCAAAATTTGGACCAGCTTCTGGCTCCTCTGTATCAGAAATGTCTGGTTTATTATATTTCTTTGGAGGCTTAGGAACAGCTATGCTAGAAGAGTCATGAAGTCTATTGGCTGAGGGGTTAGTGGAATACACTATTTTGATTTTACTAGAATATCCAAGATTTTTTGTTAAGCAAAAGTAACAACCATCAACATGATTCTTAGGTTCCCGCCAAATCATTGGTACTCCAAATTTCATAGAAGTTTCAGTACCCCGTAGCCATCCTGCTAAGGCTGTTGAGCAAGTGCGGCAGCATATTTTGGGAGCCCAAGTTTTGTCTTGATCGGCAACTTTGAACCCGAAATATAACTCGGCTTTTCTTACAAGTGGGCTCAAGTACTTTCGCTGAGCTTTCAGTGTCACCTCACTACAAATATAACAGAGACTGTTCGGATGGTTCACACAGGATCGCAACTCCATTGCTTCGCTCATTAATCCACTGCTGAATACTGTAATGATGATCTTCTGACAAGCACTGGCTGCTTATATACCCATTTCGAACATCTGGTATTTTCTAGAAATAGCGGGAGTCAAGAGATCGGAAACGAGTTCCGTATATAGGGACCATTCAATAAGGGTACGGTGAAACCTGGAATTACATGGGGTTCAATGGGTATCTCCTTCATTTGAATGGACATTGCCAGATACCCCTCATGCGGTGTAGCCAGATTATACATACATAAGAGAAAACGTAGACTTGGCAACGTGTAGTACCCCTTATGCTATAGAAAGATAAATATCGCACAGGTACATTCTTACATCTGCTTAAAGCATGTTGTTGGTACTCTCTGGACTCCGTTACGTCATACGACAATTTACAGGTCGGTGTAAGGGTTAAATATGTAGAACAGTATTATTTTGTGCGAATAAATGACCCATGTTTACGAAAACAATGACCTAGTGAACATAATAATAACATACGGAGAGTGCCAACAAAATGCAGCCGCAGCATGCAGGTTACTGTATGCGATAAGGTTTCCTTTAGGAAATCATCCGGCTCCACAGATGTTTGTAAATTAAGTTATTAGACTTCGTGACACAGGATATTTGAAAGAACAACGAACAGGTCAACCTGAAATGTTACAAATCGAGGAAGACATTTTAGGAATGGTCAAAGACGGCCCAACAATGAGTACTAGAGTCATAACAGCTCAAGTTGAAGTTCCTGATAGTAAGGTGTGGAAGACAATACGACATATAATCAACTGGTACAAGCGTTACAAGATTTTACGAAATTAATTTTGTGTTGGACATTTTTTTATATCGAAGCAGCCATGCAGGCAGCAGCCTAAATGCCGGAACACCGCGGCTGCTATGATGATCCCAAAGAAACCCCGCCGATACGATTTTTAAACTGCCCAAGGTTAGTAGAACTGGGAAAAGCTTCCTCTTGTATATTGTTCCACAATATCGACACCCTCGAGACAAAGGAGCGGTCGTATCGGCCAGTTCTGGATGTACGAAGTTCGACACGGTTATAATGGGACTCCAAAGTCAGGCGGGTCTGTCTGGCAGGCACATCGCGCGGCGGCATCATGGCAGAGAGCTCCGAGGAGCAAAGCCCGCCGGTGTAGCGGTAGAAAAGAGCTAGATCGCCGTCGGCCCGCCGGTGCGAAAGAGTCCCGAGTCTGTTAGAGAAGAGTCATCGATCAGTCGGACCGCCCTCCTCTGGACAGCATCGATCAAAAATATATAGTCGGGGCGCCAGTACCCCAAACGTGTGAGCAATACTCGAGGGTAGGCCTTATCTGGGCCTTGTATAGAGTGAGAAGGTCATGCGGAGAAAAGTACTTCTTAGTCCTAAACAAATAGCCTAGCTTTTTCCCAGCAGCTGCTGCCATTGAGGAGATGTGTTCGTGCCAGATCAAGTCCTCGGTGATCTGGACTCCAACCATTCAAAATGAACGGCCCTTTGGCAGGACTCGGCCATCCATCGAAACCGGATGAGCGCTAGGACGCTTTTTGTTCGTCAAAGTACAGTACTCTGTGTTTTGGAAGCATTGAACCGTACAAGATTGTTGCGTCCCCAAGCAGTGATATCCCAGGTCTTTTGTCAGAGAGGAAGTCGTCGCTAGTCTTCTTTTTCTCAGCGGCAGAGATCGGCTTGTCACTCTGAATTCCTGCATGTAGAGTGCTGTCATCAGCAACGCTGTGGATTGGGTTAATCGTGCAGGAAAGGAGGTCGTTGATATGTAAGAGGTACTGTGTCGGAGCCAAGACCGATCAATGGGGAACACCCGCGTTGACGTAGTGGGATGAAGAGGAGAACCCGTCAATCACGACGGATGTCTTGCAGCCAGAGATAAAGTCAGCCACCCATCTGCAAATTTTTTCTGGGAGGTCATAGGACGGATGTTTGCTTAAGAGGGCAGCGTGCCACAGCTGATCGAACGCTTTCGTGATGTCAAGAGCAACGACATGAGCCTCACCATAAGACTGGATGAGTTTACTCCACAATTGAGTGACGTAAGCTAGGAGGTCCCCTGTGGATTGTTGGTGCCGGAAACCATACTGCCTGTCGCTAATCAAGCTGTGACGTTCGAGGTAGTCCAGAAGCTCGTGATTTATGCCCCTCTCCATCACCTTACTTATAAAGGAAAGCAGAGCTATAGGCCTATAGTTGTAAGGGTCTGTCTTAGATCCTTTTTTTGAGATGGGTTGGACATGAGCAAATTTCCAGTTTTCTGGGAAGGTGCCGGATACATAAGATATCTGTAAGAGACGCGAAAGAACTGGAGCCAGCTCCGCTGCACACCTCTTCAGTACGTCTTGCGGTCTTATGCCTGAATGTTACCTCCCGCATAGTGTAGAGAACCCTTTGAATTGACGGCACTTGGGCGTTGGGGGGGAGGGGGGGACGTCCAAGATATCTTGGCAAGTACTTCCGCCTTGGCCTTTGAGTCGAATACAATCGTTCCATCCTGACACGTAAGCGGTGGAAGGCTACTGTGTGAGAAGTTCTTTTCAATCTGCTTGGCCAGCGTCCAGAATGACCGACTGCCATGGTGCTGCGACATTACCCTGTGCCTAACTTTTATATCGTGCTGGTGTTTGGCATTGCAAACCGCTTCGTTATATTTGTTTCTAGACTCGAAGTCGGCTTGTCTGTTCTCTGCAATGGGGTTTTGTAAGAAGGTTCTGTGTATCTTGATCTTCTGCTGGCGAGCAGTGTCAAACGATTTGTTAAACCAGCCGTTGGACTCTGGTTTAGGCACTTTCACTGTGTGAGGGATGTATTTCTCCATTCCGACGTGGATAATTTCGGTTATCGAAGAACAGACAGCCGACGCATCCGCGTCAGTGAAACAGATATCTCTCCAAGGAAAGCTAGAGAAGAAGTCTCTGAGCCCCTCCCAGTCGGCGTAAGACTCTGAGATTTTTGTCTCCGCCAAGAAGAGCATGGCGAGACGATTAGATTGCAAGTAGTGATGAACAGCATCAATGTTGCTGTTAATCCCGCAGATGTTCGTCAAATAAATTTTATCTTCGATGTTGTTTCCTCGAGTCCACCCTCCCCCTGACATTCCGAGAGTGGAGTGAGATATAACACAAATAGGAAAATAATGGGCAAAAAGAAGCAAAGTGGATTCGAGCAGAAAGTAGGATAGGTAACTCGAGCGATACGTATTTCTGCTGGTTGGCTTCATCAGGCCCGAAATGAATGCACATATACAACTACAAAGTACATACACATGTCCATACATCCGGATACGGGTGTAACCTGAGGGAACGAAAATGGACTTCGTGTCATTTTTCCCTCTCTATCTTCGTTTCCTCAGGTTACACCCATATTCGGATGTATGGGCATGTGTAGTTTTGTAGTTGCATATGTGCAGAAATACGTATCGCTCGGGTTACCTATTTTCTGCTCGAATCAACTTTCTTTCTTCTCTTGTTCTCTCTGGTCTCCGTCATCCTTTGGACATGTCCCAATCATCTCAACCTTTGAGCTTTCACTGTTCCTACTATATATCCGATCATCAGCAAAGCAGCGCGATTGTGAGTGGCGGTGGGCTCGCCCGATGTCCAAGCTGCATGCGTGTTCGCCGTTTGACAGTGGTTCGACTATTTTGTTTTATAAATATATGGGTTTGACCGACATCACGATGTTTTGTCCTCTCTAACGTGCATTGTGGTACAATTTAGTAGGGACGATAGTACTGCCATATAGTCAGTAAGGCTTGGGCTACATCTAGGAAACAAGAAGTGTTTTAGCCTAATGTGAAAAAGCAAGGCGATTTTGATAAATTACTACCAAACACATTCTGGACCATCGGAGGACTGGAACATGTTTTTTAGTTCTTTATTAACCATTTGATACACTTTGTACTAATGCTCCTGTAAAACTGCGGAGGTGATCTTTTATATGAAATATGACGTCAGAACGGTTGACTGTAAGAATAGCTGTGCTAAATTCCGCCAATAAAGCCGTTTATTATTATTATATAATGACGTCAATTGAGTGTGACATTAGACCATCGTAATGACGTCATTTTTGTTGCGTCATTATGTTCACTGGGGTGTGCCCTTATATAGGGTGAGTTTCTATTGTGGATTTGGTCGATTGCTCTGCTGTTATAAAACATGTCTAAAAAAGTTATTTGCAGAAAATTGAGCGAATATACGCTCTTTAGCTGGAAAATACCCCGCTCTATGCAGAGTGATTAATAACTACATGCAAATATGAAGTTTTAAATGGAATGCCCTATATATTTGAGTATGTATTGAAAGGTCATTTCGAAAGGAATAGCCCGATAAGGAAACACAAAATGTTTCCAAAAGCTTTCAAGAATTCTATTGTGGATTGAGATAACTGAATAGTCTTCTTTAGCATAATGAAAAGTTCCGTATCCTGCGGTCGGCATATACTGAAAAATGTTTTAAACACTTTTTGCTTTTTGATGTTTTTGTTACGCTCGTGTAAATATTATACAGTGTGATACAAAAGTTTCGGAACGGCTCTGTATTTTCTCGGGTAACGTATTTTTGGAAAAGATCAAGGTCAGGTCTTCAGTTACTTTCAGCAAGGAATTTAAAGGTTACCTTGATCTTTAAGGTTAATTCATGGTCAACTTTTTTTTTCAAATACAATTAAAATCCAAGGTGAGGATGCCTGATAAAGGTCAAATGTGTGCTGCTAGGAAAACCTCTATAAATCTCCCAGGATGGGTGACGAAAATAACTGGTAAGGTCTGATCTTTGGTAAATTTTAACGGGGAAGTGAACGCTGCCTTGAGTTTGCCCTTTACCATCAAGCTGATTCCAAAGTCAACTTTATTTTTTTTTAATGAAAATCTCTATTTTGATGCCGGCAGTCGAAAGAACAGACAATTTTACGTTCAAACACAATTAAAGTCTAAGTTCAGGATGACTACTAAAGGTCAAATGAAGATCAAATGTGTGCTGCTAGGAAAATAAATATCACATGATTAGTAATGAAGACAATTATCAACTTACTTTGATAAATTTTTACGAGGAAGTAAACGGTGATATTGTATTTGATCTTGAAAATGTTACGTTCAAATACGATTTGAAGTCCAAGGTCAGGGTGCCATATAAAGGTCAAATGGAACAGGATCAGTGATGAAAATAACTATCAATAAGGTCAGTTGTTTAGTAAATTTTGATGAGTGATCTTGGATTTGACATTGAAGCCCACCTTCAAGGTCATTTCAGTATTTTTTTCCAGATAGAAACCCGCTGGAACAGTATCGATTAAAAATCGGTGCTAAGGAGCACCGTAGTTCCATCGTGCGTAAAGTCAACTTAATTTTTTTAGTGGAACCCTTATTCTTAATGCCGGCAATCGGCAACGTGTATTAGTATTCAAGGTTAAGGTGACCACTAGAGGTCACATAAACGCCAAATGTGTGCTGCTAGGAAAACTTATAAAAATCTCACACGAATAGTGACGAAAATAACTGGCAAGGTCACATCTTTGGCTATTTTTCAACGAGGGAACTACGGTGCCCGTTACAAATGATTACCAGTTACCGTTCCTGCGGGTTTGTTTTAAAAAATGACCTTGAAGGTGAAGTTCAAGGTCAAATCCAAGATGTACTCGTCAAAGTTTAGTAGACCTGACAGTAATTATTTTTATTAAGAAAGATTTATAGAGGTCTTCCTAGCATCACACATTTGATCATTTGACATTTAGTAGTCATCCCGACCTTGGACTTTGTGTTTGAACGTACAATTTTCTGTTCTTTCGATTGCCGAAATCAAAAATAGCGGTTTCTATTCGATAAAATAAAGTTGAAAATGAATTAACCTTGAAGGTGAAAGTCAATGTCAAATTCAAGATTATCGTTGAAAGTTTATTTTCCAAAAATATCTTACCCGAGAAAATACAGAGCTGTTACGAGACTTTTGTGACGCGCTGTACATGTGCCGAGTGGCGTTACCAATTAATTTCACAGGCAAAGAAACTTTGGATTTGTATGTCGCACTGTAAAAAATAACTCATAAGTTAACAAATAATATCTTTATTTAACTTTACATAGTACAAACCTCTTACATTTACATAATATAAAAATGCAGTGGGCTCTTTTGCAGTCACAATAATTTCACCAGACTTGCAGTCTATTCTGACCCGTTTACAAACTAACTATTGACCGTTACTCCTACTCAGTTACCGGGCGTGGGTACGTTCAACAAGAGGTTTTGCCCTCCGGGCAAGTAGGACACCTGCCTGGATCTACTCAGCTGGTAGGCTATGTCTTCAGCTGCTTCAATCCGCCTCAACTCGACCAAACCTTCACCTGCATCTCCAAAAGCTTTAGCTAGAAGTATTGCCGCTTGGGCATCTCCCTCTGCGGATATAACGGTAGCCTTCTTTGTCTGCTCAGCTTTTTCTACTAAGAACCTAGAATAAATACATATATGAGAGTCGGTCGGGACCATGAGAAACTGTCCATTTAAGAGTGGAGTCCACGAAGGGGAATTTCACTGAATATAATATTCGGACTTTTTTGGAAACAATGGGCGAATTTGAGCCTTCGATACTAGAAATTTATACACATATTGCAATGGTTCAGTGATGTGTGTATTGAATTCTCTAAGTTTCTCTTATATCCTCAGCGACAGAAGTGTTACACCCAGAAAAAAGAATTTCTTTAACTTGATTTTTTGATAATAAGGTAGTCAAGTCACATCAACGAACGATAACATTCACAAGAAATTTTATTGACAATAAGAAAAAAAAAATAATGTGTTGGGCGACCCGGCAGCTGAATACACTCCTGTGTACGTCTAGGCATCGACAAAATGATCGATATCTGGCTGTAGCACCTCATTCCGAGTAACTCGAACTTCGCGGATAAGCTGTTGAAGAGTCTGTGGCGGATGGCGCAAAATGGATAGTCTCCTCCCCATCGTATCCCACGCATATTCGATGGGATTTAAATCCGGAGAGCGACAAAACGCCAGCTTCTTGAAAAAAGTCCACAGTACGACGTGAGTTGTCTTGCTGAAAAAGGAAATGTGGCCGGCAGAAAAATGGTTTGTACGACATCATAAACATAACGCGCAGCAGTCATATTGCCTTGAACAAAGTGAAGGTGTGATCGGCTACCATAGGCACTAGCCCGCCAAACCATTACTCCAGCAGTCCTGTGTACATGCCTCTTAACAGCAAATCCAATATCACGCCGTTCTCCATGGCTTTGTTTTACACTTCTACGACCATCGTGGGTACCTAGACAGAATAGCGATTCGTCGCTGAAGTGACATTATACCATTCGGCCTTCCAATGTTGCCCTTCTCTGCTCCAGTTCAAAAGTTGACGACAGTAGTCCGCAATCGGATAACCGTGGACGGTATGAAGTCCAAAGGCTCGAATGCGGCGATAAAGTGTACGCATAGTAAGAGGTCTAACTTCTCCAAACCATTGGTCAGCGATCTAGCAAAACGGTCTCGTAGGGCTAGTTGTCTGAAGTGCCTATCTTCATGCTTTGTGGTACGCCTCGGTGGACCAGTTAGCATCCGTCGTGTTGCTCTACCTTCTTCTATCCACACACGACACACACGGATTGCCGTCATTGCAGTACAATTAACACGGCGGCCAATTCGCTAACATCGTCTTCAACTCGAGGCATTTTATCATGTAGTAGTAAATGAAAGGACAATAACTAAAAATATTTGTACTACTCAACTCTCAGAAACTGCTTTCTTCACAAAAACGATTTTAACAAAGGTAATCAAAAACAAAGATACAACGTTGACATTGTTGCCACAGCATGCTTTGAATATAGTCATTATGTTGCCAAAAAGCTGTTATGTTTCAGCTGTGTAATAATTGTGTATATAAATTTTGAGAGCCTTCCTCAATATGCGACTACGCAACAGCAAACCTTCAGTCCGTCTGTGGTAATAAGAAATTTTGTGCATAAATTTAGTACGCTAAATTTCGTACAAAATTAAGGATAGTGTCAGACAGCATTTAATACATAATTTTGTGTGAACAAATTAAGTGCTATTTTTTTAGAACCTTTTCTAAATAATATCATGCCAAAACTGAGCATTTGGAACAGTTCAATGGCTGATAGAAGCGCTACATGACAAGAAAATTATATGTTTTGTGTTCATCAGGTTCGCGAAGCTCCCCTGCTTATGCTGTGTGCAAAAGTATACAAGTAGACAACTACTTGTAGATTGAAAACCTTAAAATAAGTCATTGTCAAAAGATCAGTGCGACATACTACTAAACGAGTTTGAGAAATATGATTGTTTATATGCTGTATGCATATAAAAACAAAAACGCCAAATAAGCTGCGTTGGATAAAATCAGAATGACTTTAGTGGATCCTCCGCTAGAGGTCCTTTATTCAGCATCCCCATTTCCCGGTTTCTCTCCCTGATCCATTTTCGACACCAAATTCTTTTACGGTTTTGTTTACTTCATTTTTTTCATGAGGAGGGCAGCTATAACGCATACCGCTGGTCCCACAGCCGTATATAATATATACAAATTACGGGACCGCTCCATTTTATACAATTTTCTAGTCGTTTAAAGTAATAAAGTACCAATCCGCAACGAAAAGTGTGGTTGATAATAATAATAAACGTCTTTATTCGTCAACCACCAACAAATAAACTTACATTTATATTAAAAAAAGAGAGTTTGGCGAAGTTCAGATGTGCGCCATTGATGTGACACACAGCTGTTCTTCCACTTCACCCTGTTAAATGATAAGGATTTTTTCCCCGAGTCCACGGTGCAGCACAGTGCAGTACCGGAAACTGATACTCAAATTTTCGCGAAGAACGGGAATAGGGGGAAGACGGATGTGACGTTATCCAAATGTCAAAAAATCACGTGGTACGGTCAACCGCCTAACGTCGGTGAGGTACTAGCGGATGACAGGTCTTATGTCGATGTCATTTAAAAAACGACATCCCAATTGAAAATTTGTCTTCGCAGTGGCGAAAATTAAGTGAGTTAAATTATTAAATCATAAATGGAGGAACAGGTCCATCTGATTTTAAACGACGAGGGAGAAGACTACGAGGTCATCGTAGATATAGGAACTGCACTTGTTATATCAGATGGTTGATTAATGGTTTGTTCGTCAGAGCTCGAAAACAAGTACAATAATTATTCGAATGTAAAATTTTTCAGAATGAAGTAGACAATTTTGAAAAAGTTGAGGGTTCGTTTGCTGTAAACCAGAATGATCTACGATTTTTCGCCTATCTGACCAAATGTGCCCGAATTTTCCTTTAGAGAAGAAAACATGCACACTTTCTAGAAAAAACAGCACCCAAAAATGTCAAGTAAGTTTACTCAGTAATTACCATTCAATTCTCATATATAAAGTATAAACATAAATTCGAAGAAATATGATTCCACACATCGAATGACAAGTTGAAGAAGTGAATACATAGTAAGAATTCCGAATAATCGCCTGCAGTGATTATGCATGAGAAATGTACAAAGTATTGTGAATGACTTTTAATAAAAGTCGCAGAGTAGGGTTTTTGTTCCCTGTTCCCTTGTCGGCTTTTTCTCACAAATGCCCAGCACAGTCAGCTGGGGTGAAAATAATATTTTCCCTATACAGTGTATTTTAATTTGAACCCTCACCATTGGGATCTCGGAAACTTCAAGGATACGAAGTCACTTAAACAGCTGCAAAGTTGCGTATTCAGACAATCAGCAAAATGTCACTTAGAAAGTTTTGAAGTTGAAAGTACTTCCGGAAAGAGGCGTAAAAAACGAAGTTTCCCAAAATGGTTTTAATTTTCTCCTGACTTTATTTGTGGTGGGATTTCAAAATAAATTGCACATAAACTCTGTCCCGTTTTATTCTCTACAAGACGGCACAATTAGAAATTCAACGTGACGTTTCGTCTCTTGTCCTCCAGCATCAACTTAATTTTTTCTTATAGACGCCATATTGGATTCTTACACACATGAATAGAATTTTTATTCTGATTTAAAAATGTATGTCAAGAAATTCTGTTTTTCTTAAAGTAATCAAGGTTTGACAACGTCAACGTATGACGTATTATTCGCTTTTTGAATCAAAATTAAAAACACTATTCATCTGTGCAAAAATGCAGTATTGCGTCTTTAAGACATAATAAAGTTGATGGTCGGGGACAAGAGACGAACCGTCACATAGAAATTCTGATTATGCCTTCTTGTAGAGGAGAAACCGTGACACTGTTAATGTGCATTTTATCTTAAAATCCCAATATAAATAAAGTCAGGAAAAAATCAGAACAATTTTGGGAAAACTCAGTTTTTCCGTTACTCTGCGGAAATACTTTGAATTTCGAAACCTTCTAAGTGTTACTTTGTTGACTACCCCATTTCAGCGACTTCGTATCCCTTACAGTTTCCAAGATCCCAATGGTGAGTGCCAAATTAGAAACACCCTGTATATGCAGACTCTTACTAGAAGAAAGAAGTGAAAATACTACAAGGATTTAATAACGTCTTTGAATAATAAAGGGTGTTATACACTAAAAGGCTAAAACGGCTGAACATAACTACAAATTATCATAGCTATAAGTTTCACAGAGTTCTCAACATGGGCAAAAAGAACTGAGACTACGAAAATACATAGAAGTAAGACTTAAATCGCGTAATTACGCATTTTGTGATCACAAAAATCGTATTAATTATGGTTCTTGAAAGTTATGTCCTCTATTGTTCGGATTTTTTATACTGTATTCATAATCTTCATTTTCCCATTACCGGGTCAATAAACAAAATATTGAGCACAAAGCACTTTGGCGCTGGCTGATATTTAAGATGGAATTTCATTAAAATTTCTTCTGACACTTGCTCACCTGAAAATGTTACAAAAACTTGTTTCTGTTGAATTGTGGCACTGTTTTCCCTACAAAATTAAGGTTTTTGGGTTTCAATTTTTTTACACCGAAGCAGCCGCGCAGGTGAACCCTACATGCCAAGGCAACGCGGCTGCTTTCAGAGAAGAAACTTTGTTATTCCCATTTTTGAACTACCTAAAGTTAGTAGAACTGGGAAAATCTTCTCATGTAGATTGTTACACGATCTCGACACCCTCGGGACAAAGGAGCGGTCATATCGGCCAGTTCTGGATGTACGAAGTTCGACACGCTTACGATGGGAGGCCGAAGTCAGGTAGGCACATCGCGGGGCCACACCATGGAAGAGAGCTCTGAGGAGCAAAGCCCGTTGGCGTAGCTAGATCGCCAAAGGCGCGTTGTCAGAAGGTTCTAGGGGACTAATATTTGAACGCAACATCGACCAAGTGGCCACCTTTATTGGCCAAAACAAGATGTGCCCGTCTTGCTGCGTTTTCCATTACTTTTTCCAGCATCTCTGGTGGTATAGCGGCGATTGCGGTACGAATGTTTACCTTGAGTTCTTCAGTGGTCTGGGGCTTGCTGGCGTACACCTGACTTTTCAAATAACCCCACAAAAAGAAGTCCGGTGGGGTCAAATCTGGAGACCTGGGTGGCCAGTCAATGTCACCTCTTTTTGACATCAGACGTCCAGGGACTTTTGGTTGCAGAAACTGCATTGTTTCATTTGCAGTGTGGCATGGCTCACCGTCTTGTTGAAACCAGTAACCATCAAGACCTTTTTCACGCATTTGTGGGCAGACATAATGAGCCAACATCCACCGATATCGATTTCTATCAACTGTTTCGTTTTCGATGAAGAAAAATAGCCCAATGATGGTTTTGGCGCAAACGCCGCCCCAAACAGTCACTTTCCGGTCATGCAAGGGCATTTCGTGGATCTCATGTGGTTTTGCCGTCCCCCAAATGCGGCAGTTCTGCTTATTAACGCCGCCAGAGAGCGTGAAATAGGCCTCTTCGGTCATCACAATTTGCTTCCAAAAATCAGGTTCGCCATCAACCATGCTGGCGACTGTTTGGGCGTATTCCAAGCGACCTGGACGGTCAGTTGGCAATATTTTTTGTGTTAACTGCACCTTATAGGGAAACAAATTCAAATCATCCTTCAAAATTCGCCGCAACGTGGTTCCACTGATGCCAAAATGCTGAGCGCGGTGACGATACGACACTTTTGGGTTCTGGGCAACGCTGTCTCTGGCCGCTTCAACCAATTCATTGGAACGTCTTGGTTGTTGATGAACCAAACGACAGATAGTGTTGTCAGACTGTTTGCCACGATATTTTCGACGATATGCACGTTGCGTTAACACAACTGAACGTCGATTTTTAATGTACATTGTGACTTATTTCGGCGCATTGTTTTGGTGTAAAGCGATTCATGACTAAAATTGTAGTAAATTAACGTTTCAGAAACACGTATAACCAAATCACTCGGTTGGTAAATATCAAAATCATTCGATGTTTCAATACCGACATAAAAGATGGCGCACCCGGTGCATTGCACAAAAAACGATCGGTCTTTTTATTTCAGATTCAAAGAAGGCAGCTGGGTTTATCAAAGGGCTTAGAGCAAACATTTTGCGCAACTTGAGCCATCTAACCACTGCCGGTGTAACTTAAAACTGTCAAAACTTTGTGCAGCGGGCGAATTCCATCTGTTCCCGCTTCATTCACTACGGGATCTCGCGAAAATATCTTTCACATTACATTCAACCCAACGCATAATACAAATACAACCGCCCTTATAATAACATATTATACACTAAACTAAAATAATAATAAATATTAAACTTGTTTGATATTAACGTGATAAATGACAGTTCGAAGTTGGCAGTTATAGTTTTTTACAGACTGCGCATGATTTCGTACGGAACTTATTTCAAGAATTTCTTTACGTGACAGACAGGATTATAATTTGTAAACAAATTGGAAATTCAGAAACGCATTTGGTCAGAAATTATGAACAAAATTGTGTATCGTGACAGACGGCTTTAATACAGACATGAAAATATGTCTTTATTGATAAAGATGACGTACCTCCATAAGATTTTTCCAAATTTAACAATAATTTAGTGCACATAGCGTTAAACAATAATAATACACCGGTCTGCTCCTTGCACTAGAAAATGAACAAAATCAGTATCTCCAGTTCATACAATACAAAGCCGTCTGCTCGAATAACAAAAGTGGATAGTGAGAATGAAGTTTCGGTGCTCTATCCAAACATGTAAGCAAAATTCAGAAATTCCAATAAACAGGGTGTTATTTTTGGGTAGAACGCTTTTGGCAAATTGACCTGTACTCGATTCAAAGCATAAGCTGAGTACACGTACGACGTTTCAGAAAAATATAACGGTTAAAATTGCAAAGTAGAGGAGTCCATAACATTCAAGGCTTTTCTTACGACATTGATACTTTCTCACGTCTTGTTATTGTTTTCAAAGTTGAGTCATTTATTTTAACAGCTTGTACAACTCGTCAAAAAAATTTGATATACCAAAAATCATCTATAGAAAAGTTGCATAATAAGAGTTGGTTTACATTATTAAAAAAACATATGATACCATTTTTACAAAAACTGTTAAAAGTTGTCCTCATTTGTTCGATTAACGCAAAATCTTGTTCGGCGAATCTTTGCAAGCTTCGAAAATAAAATTCTGATGTCCTCGAGTTAAATATTAAATCACAAACATTTTCAGCGCGCGGTTAAAGTTCTTCCAGAGTATTTACTGCTCCATCATGATACACCAACTCTCTCAAATAGCCCCACAGTAAAAAATCGGAAGGCGTTAAATCCGGGGAGCGAGCAGGCCAAGAAATGGGTCCATTACGCAGTATCCATCTATTCGGAACAGGGTTGATAAAAAACATGTTAAAAAATTCAAATTTATCTGAAAAAAAAAAAATGTTTAAAACACTGTTAATACATGTTTAAAACAGTAAAAAAACATTAAAAAACTATTGCCTATATAATCTAGCATCGTTAATGCAGTTCCTTGAAAGTGTTATTACTATTTTTGATTCAGCTCTATCAGAGCACATCTCTAATTTAAAAGCGGACGTCGGGAAACTACTGTGCGCACCTCGGGAAGTACCGTTTGCAACAGTTAAATGTAGTGTCTTGTCTTTTGTGCATCAAAGATCGGAAAAAAGAAAGGCAATGACAAGGAGGAGAAAGGATCCCGCGTGGAAATATTTTAAAGAGACTGATGGCGAAGCTGGCTCGAAAATAAATAAAAGAGCAAAATGTTTAACCTGCAATATGGATATAGTGCCACTTGTAGCTAGAATGCGCAAGCATATCAAAAATTGTAAACAACTTAAACAAAGAAGTTTGATAGAAAAACAAAATATTCATATATCAGATAGTTCTGATACCGACAATGATGATGTTTCTACCGAACCTATTTCCTCAAAGTTAAGTAGCTTGGAGAATTATGAAAAAGGTAAGAAATACCTAATTGCTGTTAAAATTTGTTTAAATATATTAAATATATAAGAATTAATTATAAAACAGGTCCGTAATAATGCTCGGTATATGTTTCTTGTTTTGTGCAAGCAAATTTCTGTGAGTCAATCGCATGGAATTTTTAAATATTATTACATAGGTATACTTTATTTTTTAGATGGCTCATCACAGACCTACTATACTAACAGCAAATATTATTAGTGCTTCCAGTCCAACGTCATCCAGTTTTTCACTATTGACGAGAAGACAAGGAGATAGAGACGATGTCTAACTAAAATCGCGACTGGATTCATTCGTTGTCAAAACAACATGTAGCGAGAAGAAAAAAATTGATATCCAAGTAGCACGTTTTGTTTATACCACAAACTGTGCTTTTAGAGCAGTGGAACACCCCGAGTTTAAGCGGCTAATGGAAATGTTGCGTCCAGGAGATCAGCCAGCTAATCGTCAGCAAATAGCAAACGAACTTTTTAGTAACGTATACACAACTTTACAAGTAGAGATAAAACAGGAATTAGGTAATAACTCAGTATGCATGTCTGTTTATGGTTGCAGTAATATTAGAAACGATTCAATAGTGTGTGTGTTCGTAAATGATATTCAAGAAGGTAAAGTATATTTAATTGACATTGAAGACAAAAGTCATACTTCTGAATACTTGATAAATTTATTAGTGGAGTCTATAAGGCGTTGTTACACAGATTATAATTGTACTGTCAGAAGTGTTGTGATAGATAATGCTGCAAATATGACCAAGATGCGTGCAGAACTAGCAAAATGCGATGGAGCAGGTCTAGCTGATATACTTACTTATGGGTGTTCTGCACACATTTTAAATTTATCTGCACAAGATATTCAGGTGCCCACTTTGAAAGAACACATAAAGAAAATAATAAAGTATTTTAAAAATATACATTTCGTAGCAGGTAAATATAAAATATCTGGCAGATAAGCTCTTGTGATGCCACAAGATGTTAGATGGAACAATTTAGCTGACTCTATTGAACCTTATCTAGAGAACTGGTACATATTATCAAAAACGTGTTTAGAAAACCGAGCTGCTATTGATACTCATATCTCGGAAAAAATTAATGATTTAAATTTAAAAAAAAGATGTCCAGGACTATTTAGTAAAGTTAAAACAAATAGCAATTGCCCTAGATAAGATTTAAGGAGATGACTGTACAATAACACTGATCAACAGCCAAAAAATATCCTAAATAAAATCAACAAAATATTACGATTTTTAATGTGCTAAAACCGGAATGAAACTTATTTTTTCAATATTAGTTCAAGTTTTAGAGATACGGTAATTATATGTGTTCCTGCTGTGACAGTGTTGATATACTGTAATTCACAAGAATGCACGTGCTACATTTTTATATTCGGCAAGGAAAGATGATGTAATCGGCATGATTGTGTTACGTTATACATACGTGTACATTATATTGTTTTATATTAGCCATTTTTTCCTCAGTTGGCTGACAGCGTTCATGCAAGATGTCTCGAAAGTGTGTAAACAATCCAGATCAGTTTTGTTACGTGTGTGGTGATGTGACTTTTGCGTCTCAGAGACGGTCTATTACTCCACTAATAACAAAGGCATATTTCGGTTGTAAACTAGGTGATCAAGACAAACAGTGGGCACCCCACATCTGCTGTAATACATGTGCTTCACGTCTGAGGAGCTGGTTAATTGGCAAAAAACGGTCTATGCGCTTTGCTGTCTCAATGGTTTGGAGAGAGCCTACAAATCATATTAATGATTGTAACTTTTGCATGGTACCTTGTGTTGGACAAGCCACAGGTATGTCCAAGAAAAAAAAAATCGGTTATTAACTACCCAAACATACCATCTGCGATGAGACCTGTGCCTCACAGTGACGAAAATCCTATTCCAAAACCCCCAGAATCCTACACTTGCGAATCAGATCATGGCGATCGAGTGATTCGTCAGGAAGAAGATATGCCATCAACGTCAAGAGATCCTGATTTTATACCGAGCACGTCATGCCACCAACCGCACAAAATAACACAGTCAGAATTAAATGATCTTGTAAGAGATTTAGAACTTCCAAAATGTAAGGCAGAGTTACTTGGATCAAGACTGCAGCAGTGGAACTTGTTAGAAGACGATGTTTCGGTATGTTTTTCGTAAACGCCACAAAGACTTAGAACCATTTTTCAATATGGAGAATAATTTGGTTTTCTGCAGTAATATTAACGGTTACTGGCGGCTTTAAATATAAACTATAACCCAGAAGAATGGAGATCGTTTATAGACAGTTCAACATTGAGTTTAAAGGCAGTGTTATTGCATATTGGAAATATTTTACCATCTCTTCCTGTAGGGTATGCAGTTCACATGAAAGAATCATATGACAATATGAAGTACCTATTGACATGCATAAAATACGATGAGCACCAATGGCATATTTGTGGCGATTTGAAAGTTGTTGCACTTTTACTTGGGCTGCAGCTAGGCTACACAAAGTTTTGCTGTTTTTTGTGTGAATGGGACAGTCGGGCAAAGGCACTTCATTACACCAGACAAAACTGGCCTGTTCGTCAATTCCAAGAGCCAGGTCAAAAAAATGTACAGCATATGCCATTAGTAGATTCGAAAAAAATTTTATTACCACCACTGCATATCAAGTTGGGCCTAATGAAAAACTTTGTCAATGCATTAGATAGAGATGGGTCAGCTTTTCAATACCTGCGTCAGAAATTTCCAAGACTAAGTGAGCCAAAGGTTAAAGAAGGTATTTTTGTTGGGCCACAGATTCGAAATATTTTGAAAGATACACAGTTTGAAAACACTTTAACAGGTATTGGAAAAACTGCTTGGAATGATTTCCGTCTGGTGGTCACTAATTTCTTGGGAAATAGAAAAGCTGACAACTATAAAACCCTTGTCAAAAATATGCTGTCATCGTATCAAAAGATGGGCTGTAATATGTCTCTTAAGATACATTTCCTACACTCACACCTGGACTTTTTTCCTGACAATTGCGGAGCCGTAAGTGATGAGCACGGCGAACGTTTTCATCAGGATATTTCAACAATGGAAAAAAGGTACCAGGGAAAGTCGAAACCTTCCATGCTTGCAGACTACTGTTGGACTCTTGGTGGAGATGCTCCAGAAACGATCCATAAAAGAACAGCAAAAAGACAGCGCAGATAGTGATTCTTATAAGTATATGAATCTTGTTACTTTTTTTAATATATCCTTAAAAATAAAGCGCCCCAAAATTAACAAAGAAGTGCACTTTTCCCACAAGATACAATTAAAAAACTAAAATTTGTTGTCCAGTGTAATTAGCGAATGCACAGAAATTTGGATAGACCTATTTGTCTTTTTTAAAGAAAATCAAAATTGCACTGATTCAGATAGAAATCATTTTGTAAAAAGGTTTCATATGGTATGTCTCCAGCACACTATCTGGTAAATATACTAGATCATCGATTCCAAGGACTTAAATTAAATCTAGAGCAACGTGAAGAAGGTCTTGAGTATGATTCTCGTTATTATCCTGAAGCGATGCTTTTTATTGTAAGTTATCAGGCAAAAACATCACCATCTAAGGATTATTTGTTTCAAGACAAACTGAATGGCTTCACTCCACTTGTTTGGAGGAAGTCCTCGAAAGATAACTTAAATGAAGTTACAGTTGATCTAGTTCAACAGCTTCATACAGCAGCTGCTTCATCTGCTGGGCTTGAACGTATTTTTTCTTCATTTGGGATAATCTCTACACCAAACTTGGTATTAAGTTGGGCAGAGAAAAAGCGGCAAAATTAGTCACAGTATTTAAGCACCTAAATCAAAGCGAGAAAAAGTAGATTATTACATTTTTTTTAATTGGAGTTCCGTAAATAGTGAAAACTGAAAATTTATTCTATGTACATTTTCCATGATTTTATATTGTGGTCGAGAATATCAAAAAATCCGTGTGATAACATTCCTATTTTTTTAAATTTTTAATATTTTACTATTTCTTTTATTATACAACTTTTATATAGGTGACTTTTGGTATATCAACTCCTTTTAACGAGTCCTACAAGCGGTTAAAATAAATGACTCAAGCTTGAAAACACCCTGTGTTACCACGGAACTTACCTAGCTTTTTCAGCATCCTGTTGAGCAACTTGTTTCAGCTCAACTGCTTGCGTGAACTCTCTGCCGAAGGTCAAATGTGTGATGGAAATATCATCTAGAATCACTCCAAACTGAGAGGCTCTTTCTGTTAGATCATCGCAGACCTGAAAAGTGTAATTAAACGAAAGATATGATTCATAGATGCATTTTTATGAAAGAAAAACATCCACCTAACATTTTTGACTGATATGGCCATGCGATCCCATCGTTATTCGAAAGTCGTGACTACGTTTTTTTTATACCGAATCAGCCGCGCAGCAAAAGCCTAAATCTGATTTTTGAACTGTCCAAGGTTAGTGGAACTGGAGAAACCTTCCTCTTGTAGATTGTTCCACAATCTCGACACCCTCGGGACAGAGAAGCGGTCGAATCGGCCAGTTCTGGATGTGCGAAGTTCGACACGGTTAGTATGGGAGGCCGATGTCAGGCGGATGTGTCTTGCAGGCATGGAGGACAGATCTGAGGAGCAGAGCCCGTTGGTGTAGCGGTAGAAGAGAGCTAGATCACCGACGGCCCGCCGGTGCGATAGGATCCCGAGACTGTGTTAGAGAAGAGTCATCGATCAGTCGGACAGCCCAACCCTCCGCTGGACAGCATCGAGCATAGATAATGTAGTGGGGGCGGCAGCACCCCAAACGTGTGAGCAATACTCGAGGCTAGGTCTTATCTGGACCTTGTATAGAGTGAGGAGGTCATGCGGAGAGAAGTACTTCTTAGCCCTGAACAAATAGCCTAGCTTTTTCCCAGCAGCTACCGCTATTCATGAAATGTGTTCGTGCCAGATCAGGTTCTCGGTAATCCGTACTCCGACCAGCCGACATGAACGGGTCTTTGGCAGAACTCGGCCATCCATTGAAACCGGATGAGTGCTAGGACGCTTTTTGTTCGTCAATGTAATTTACTGTGTTTTGGAAGCATTAAACTGTTCAGGATTGTTGCGTCTCCAAGCAGTGATAACCTCCAGGTCTCTCGTCAGAGAAGAAGTTGCTGCTAGTCTCTCTTTTTCCAGCTACCGGCAGAGATGAGCTTGACGCTCTGAATTCCTATCGCTATCTTCGTCGGTGATTTACAGACTTTAAAGTTTCGGTACAAATGCAGCCTATGTGGTGCATTTCTGCCCAGCGTGAATTAGGGACTTCCCCAAGTTGTTCGGGGAGTTACCGTTATTATTCTTTGGATACAAGCTTTCGATTAAATTTCCATTCAGTATTAGTCTGACGTCTATGCGGAAAAGACACAGACATTGTAGAAATGGCTTAAAATTATGACAGACTGGTTGCAAGAGCTAGAGTGGAAAATAGCTAAAGAAAAAAAGAAAGATTGTGTTATTTTTAGACATTCGCTTAAATAATATAAAAATTATATTTTTGTGCCCAAATTGTACATCAGCTTATCAACACTTGACCAAGCGATTATAATGAGTTTTAAAACTTATTAGCGAAGTCTAATACTCAAACATTCAAACTGCTGGTACAGCTGTAAAAACTGCTTGGGACCAAGTAACCAAGGAAACAGTGCAAAATTGCTTCCACAAAGCAGGAATTAAGCATGAAAATATGCGAAGACCAGTTAAATGAGGATGACCCAGAAGATGATTCACCTCTTAATGTACTTTCAGATATCCTCAAAAATAAGAATATATTGAAATTGATTGATAATGAAAAACTTTATGATTTTTGGAACCTAGATGAAAGTTTGGCTCCACTTGAAATACAAGAATTTTCTGGAGATTCTAATATCGATGAGGTTCCAGTACCAACAGAAGCTATTGCAAATTATGGTGCAGCTATTACCCTGACCAAGCAGCTCAAAAGATTTGCCGAAAATCAGGGAGAGATATAGATTCTTGGAGCTTCTTTCTAAATTAGAAATACGATTTCAAGACGCCATTTCAAAGAAAAAGAGGAGACAAACAATATATGAATTTTTGCGTCCTTAAGTGACTTTATTTCATTGTTTTGTGATACCTCATGTATGTAAGTGCATACGTACACTACCGCTCAAAGTTTGGCACAGCACATTTTTTGGGGGAAATCAAACAATAGAGTGTGTTTAATCAAAAAATAAAACAGGAACTATTTTCCACTAGAACTCGGTTAGTTGGTAACTTATTTCTACCAAAATTTACTTCAAATACGTGATTCATCGAAATGTCCACCACGAGCCCGAATAACTGCATGACAGATACGACTCATCCGATGTATCAAATTTTCAAGAATAGTTGGTGATAAGGATACCCACGCTTCCTGCACTAGTAGGCTTTCGTTGCTTCACCTGTCTGTCCAATTCATCCCACTAATACTCAATAGGAGACAAATCTGGGGACTGGGAAGGTCATGTCGTGATTTTCATTGCACTAAGTTCTTGCTGCTGATCCAAATAATTGCGGCATAGTCGAGATGAATGCTCAGGGGGTCAATGTCTTGCTGAAATTCGAAATTGTTCCCAACAATCCTTTGTCCTGAGGGAACAGCGTGGTTTTCCAATATTTCCAAATTCTGCTCTTCTCGCATTATACCCTCTATAGTCTATATGAACCAAATCACCAGTTCGATTTCCAGCAAAACAGCCCCAAACCATTACACTCCCACCTCCATGTTTAACAGTGTACTGCAAACCTTGCAAAGGCATGCGTTTATGGGATTGGTGGCGTACAAACTATCGTCGTCGAGATCCGAACATTTCGAATTTGGATTCAACCGACCAAAGGACTCGATTCCAATCGTCAGTGGTAAAATACTTGTGTTTTCGAGTCCATGCTAACCGGTTGAGTTTATGTATAGGTCGCAGGAGTGGTTTGTATGTTGCTACACATCCTCTAAGGTTAGCCCTTTTTACCGTGGACTCAGACACAGGGTTTTTCCTCGTTCTGTTCAAGCTGTATGTGAGTTCAGGCGAAGTTAAATGTCGCTTATTTGTTATTGCTATAAACCTATACTCACTAACACTTGTAACTCTGCGTCTTCCAGAGCGCGGACGATCTACGACACTGCCTGTTTCTCTCTTTTCTTCAAAATTTGAGACACAGAGTTCCGTCCCAAATGCAGCTTTTCAGCAATCGTTCGAATTGGCAATCCCTTATCACGTAAGGTACATACTGCAGCCCGTTTTTCAAGAGAAACGTTACCCGTCTTTACCATTTTCCAATATTTTGAAAAAAATGGACCCTAGCACATTGTCTCGTAGTTGATTCTAAACTTTGCACAATTTTTACTTTGTTTCATTGATACCCAGAATGTTTATGTATCACATTACGCCGAACATAATACATAGTACAAAAAAAAGTAAGCAGCGGAAGGAAAACGGCCGATTTATGACTGCAATGAACTAATAAAAATATCGGCGTCTCTAAAGATGTTTACATTTATCTCTTTTAAGTGGTGTTTCACTGATTCATAAACATCTTTAGCTTGAGTAGTTGTATTATAGATGGTAATAATCAATGTCATATAAGCCTTATTTATTTTATGTTCTCTTAAAAAACGATTATGTCCCAAAATATTTGAGCGGTAGTGTATGTATATATCTAAAGATAAAAAACCTTTTTTTCTTATTTTTTGTTTATGTACCGTTTAAATGTCCCAGTTTCTTTAATATATTCAGTTTGCATTAAAAACACGATTTTTGTTGTATTTCGTTTATACGGACACCTCACTTGAACGGACACTTTCAGTTGGTCCCATTGGTGTCCGTCCAAAGGAGATTTCACTGTATTGTGTTTTGGGGACATTACACTTTACCAGTAGTGGCGTTCCCAACACCCTGTCAGTGGACGAATACCTTTTGTGACACCAGGTCCCTTTGAGTGATGAGCTCTCCAGCATCAAACTGAGCTACGACAGCTTTCAAAACTTCAGTGGTAATGGAAGGCAAAACTCTTTCTTCATAATCTTGACCAAGAATTGTGTAAATTTTGGGAAGCTCATCTGGTACAGGTCTGAACAGGATACGAAGTGTGATATTCACATTTTGTAGATCTAAGGAAAATAAGATACTAAAGTAGGTATTTGTTAAAACTGCATCTAGATAATCTGGATCTTAACAAAATAAAAATAAAAAAGTGTCTGGCCTTGACTTCTGAATTTTAGAACCAGTTTCTTTTGGAAATTATTTTTTTATATTTTTTCATTACTAATTATGTAACAACAAAAAATAAATACCAAATTAAATTACATTAACATCTAAACTAATGAATTTTACTAAACTAAGGAATATTTTCCCCATATTCCTTGTGTGGTCCAGGGATATGCAACTAAGTGAACTTTTTTCTCGAAAACTAAGCAAGATTTATAATAGAATTCTAGAAATTGTGATAACAAGGGATTAAATCATAAAAATAATCAGTATAGTTATAGTAACAAGACCTTACTTGAAAAGTCGCCGAGCATTAAAAAAACAAAAAACAACTTACAATTTACATGAACATTAAAGTTAAAGTAAAAATTAATTTGCTATAAAGATGTAGGTTAATGTGGTAATAAGTGCTGAAAGTGTTGTTCTGCATGCAATAATAAAGATTTAGTTCGAATCTATTCCTCACAATTTCAAGCATGTCTTGAGTTATTTGTCTACATTCAGCCGTAATCCGCTGACAAAGGTCATGAGTGGAATCTGTCTTCATACTAAAAACCTTAATTTTCAAATGCCCCCAAAGGAAGTATTCTAAAGGAGTTAGGCACGGAGATCTCGGCGGCCACTCGATGGAGCCTCGTCTGCCGACCCACTAATTCGGGAAATGAGTGTCCAAAACTGTCGTACTGGAGCCACATAATGCGGCGGTGCACCGTCTTGTTGGAAATGAATGTAATTTTCATTATAATTGTCATTTTCTACTATTTCGGTAATTCATGGCTTTACTGTATCTTCTAGCATGTCATAATTTCCGATAATGCCGACCTACATATTTATTTTTTCAGGATATTGCGAGTGTACCTCTCGAAACAAATGTGGAGTCGGGTCACTCCAGTATCGACATTTATGTTTATTTACAGCACCATGTAAATAGATCGTAGTCATCCGAGAAACAAATATTAAATAACAGATTTGCACTGTTGATTAATATGAAATATGAAAAACTCCAACCTTCTATCAAAATCGTCTTCATTAACCCCATGGACAATTTTCATCTTGTATGGGTGAAATTTATAGTCATTTGAAATTCTTTGTACTTCCTATGACATACCATGTCACTGACTGATGCTAAATGCTCTTGCTGGTATGTAATGTTAGTGTAACGCAATATCTTATTTTTGGATCACCCTTATTGTACGCTATAAATGAAATGATGTCCCTCTAGTCACAGATGGGGGTGCGACGTTTTCGTTGGACTAGCCTGTATATTAACCATTCAATAAAATGGGTTGCTTACAATGAGCTAGTATATCGCTATGTTGGCATCTTCAGGGAAAGATTTAAACTATTTAATCTTTTGAACAATACACTAAAAGTTCAGGCAAACTGACCAGGGGCTTGATTCTAAATGAGTTTTGACCGTTGAAATTGATTTCGATGACGCTCTGTGACGATATACTTATTAGTTATGATAATTTTGACACTGCCATGGTAATTTGAATATAGAAGATCAATATAATCAGATGTCAAAATTATCATAGCGAATCAAGTATATCGTCACAAGGCGCCATCGAAAATCAATTTCAATGGTCAAAACTCATTTAGAATCAAGCCCCAGGACCCACATACCGTAAGGAACGGGTCATCTGTTTATAAAATAAATGATGAAGAGGATCTCCAGCTAGAAATTAAAATTTATGTATATTTACCTTTGCTTCCGGTAATTACTGGAACGTTCCTTGGCCTTGATCGCACATCAAAAATGATTGGCCTCTGTACCCATGGTATGAAAAAATGTGTTCCTTCTCCTATTACTTGTTTCTTCACTCCAGAAAACCGGTCAAAAATTACTGCTCTGTGACCACCATCAACTATAAAATAAAGAACACTTTTTGTTAAAGCACATTACAGTTCATCCTTCAAAAAATCTATGATACGCAATATTTTTACTGCATTATATAGCTGCATTTGCTTGAACAATGTCAAAACAATTATAAATAAAGTTTTATGTAGCTAGAAGCCTAGACCAGGGCAACCCGTGCCGAGTTACGCTAGACAATGTCGAAACATGCATGCAAAGCGTGCGCTAGCTAATATATGGCAGTGCTCATTTGTTCTATTAGCAAACGCACCGTTTTCATTCAGTCAACATGTCGAAAGGATTATGCAGTTCTAAAAAGGAAATATTTTTAATAGGGGATGAAAAGCACCACAGCACAGAAAAAAGCGGCGAGCTAAATATGTTGCTTCCTTAACTCCTTCGACATCATCTTATGAACAAGAAAATTTATCTACAGATTTTGAGATATATTTACAAGAAACTTTGCCCATCCCAACTCAGAGCACAGAGACTGATACTAATCAAACTCAAATGAGGAAAAGTGTCATAACTCAAAAATTAGTGGCAGGATTAGGTAGGTGTCAGTTAAGTATGAGAAATGTCATTTTTATTATTGAAACAACCATTGAGGCACTTGGACATAACACTGACGAGTTTCTTATAAGCATTCAAAGAATTTGTACTAAAGCTAGATACCGTAACTGACCAGTGGGATGGCAAATTGTTGCCACCTTTAAATGCACGCAAGTCTAAAGAATAACGTCTACCGATTGTTATATCCTGTTGACAGGTAAATAGGTGTAAAACATTTTAGGAGGTGATAGTACAGCTCCTTTGCTATCAAAATGAGTATATAATACCATACCCTATATTCAAAGGTTAAAAAGTTATGGAAGATTTAATTTTTTTAAAAAACAACCCAGATTACAGAGTAAAATAGTTGAGATAAAAAAAATTTGGTGAATAAACATTCTTTTTTTGGTGGTTTCAGGTTATTATTTAAATAAATAATTCTCATAAATTAGAAAACATATGAAAATACTACTGAAAACGTATTTGTTTTCATTTAAATGTTAAATGAAAATTTTTATTTTCAACTTTCACATTAAGTCTTTTTTTTAAAAATCATAAAGAAAATGTACAAATAACTGCAAAAACTTCCTCGTTTCATTAGGTTTCTAAAATGGTATAATAACATATCAGTAAGTAAACCATTTAACAAAACAATATTACTTTGCTAGAAAGGACCCCTAAGGGCATTTCATTGTACTGAGCAGGTAAACCGAGCCTTTCATGGTTCGACCCTTTTTGTTATTTTTTGTGCCCTGTGCGGTTATTCGGGTTTTTTTATTAGTTTTAATAATGGCGAGTTACCCTAACGAAGAATACGCTGATATTCTGTTTTGTTATGGTTTAAGTGATGGAAATTCCGTGAAGCCAGGCGAGAATACGAAAACCGAATCGGCGAATACCGAGTCATCGAGTATTTGCTTCTGTGTACCAACGCGTCAAGGAAAATGAACAGGTTCATGAGAGACGTCATGATGCTGGTAGACCTCGGTTGTTTGACGACGAAGATCGAGAGGCAATACTGGAATGCTACGGCAGAGACCCGACGACGTCTACACGAGTTATAGCAAAGCAGCTTGGTTTAACTCAGTGGAAAGTTTGGTTCGTTTTGCATTCGGCGAGACTTTACCCTTTCCATTACACACCGGTTCAAGTATTAGAAGCAGGAGATCCCGCAAGAAGAATTTTTTTGTCGATACATGCTTCATCGGGATCAACAAGAAAACGACTATTTAACTAAAATATTGTTGACCGACGAGTCTAAGTTTGACATAGAGGGGACAACAAATTATCACAACTTACATTATTGGGCCCCACAAGAGGCAGATCCCCACATGGCAAAGCCAAGAGCCCATCAAAGAAGATTTTCGGCAAACGTGTGGATGGGAATCATTCATACGTATCTAATTGGACCAGTTTTTTTGCCTGACAACCTGAATGGCGAATCCTATGAAAACTTTTTGAGATCCGAACTCTGGGAGTATTACCAACACGATGGCTGTCCCGCGCATTTCCGTCTGGGTGTTAGACAGTGGCTGGACGAGAAATATCCTTGTCGCTGGATTGGCCGAGGTGGACCGACACCGTGGCCAGCGAGGAGCCCAGATTTAACACTGTGTGACTATTATTTATGCGGCACATGAAGTCACTGGTGTACGCTGAGCCCATAGACACTCTTGCACAGTTGAAAGAAAGAATTATTGCTGCTGCTGACACTATCAGAGGACAACTAACTGGCCGCATCACGCGTACCAACATGAGAAAAAGACTACGGGCTTGCATAAGAAACGGCGGGCGTCAGTTCGAACAACAATTGCAATGAATTTTACCTTCATTTCATTATTGTATTTTACTTACCAATTGTAGTAACTTTTAGTCAGTTTTTATTATTCTGTAGTACAATTACAACTGTGTAAATAATCTAATTGTGTAACTTAACCGTAGTTTAAAATAATAACTATCCCATAGCTTACAGTTACATTATTTTCACAAAAACACTTTCCTATCAATCAGAGAGTTGTGAAAATAGGAGACAAGCCATTGGTAAATTTACTTCCTATTGTTGTATTACAATACATTATGTTTAGTTTCACACAGTTTTTGTGTTCTTATCATACCAATTTAGATTCCTTATGAAACAAGGATATTATTTAAATTGATGTACGTTTTTTTGTATACTGATTTTTTTGTAAAACACCTTGCTTACTGTAAAACGTTATTTGTTTTTCATAGTTAAACATTTTTGAATGAAAATAAATACCTTGTTTGGTATTGTTTTTGAATCTTTTTTAATTTATAATAGTTAATTATTGAAATAATAACCCAAAACCACAAAAAACAAATGTTTAATCCCCAACTTTTTTTCTCTCGACTTTTTTACTCTGAAATATGGATTGTTTATAAAAAAATCTTAAATCTTCAATAACTTTTCAACCTTTGAATATAGGGTATGGTATTATATACTAATTTCGATAGCAAAGGGGCTGTACTATCACCTCCTAAAATGTTTTACACCTATTTACCTGTCACCCTGTATAACATACGAAAATAAAGAGCAACTTATCACTGTGCCTAAATTGGATAACTCTTGAGGCAGCAAGCAGGCTCAGGCAGTTTGGGCTGCTTTTATTGACTGGAATCTTGAAGATAAAGTTCAGATTCTCTGTTGTGATGATACTACTGCTTCAAATACGAGTCACATTAACGGTGCCTGCATGCTACAACATGGATACAAGCCCTGACATTCCAATGTTTAAAAAGTTCCACGAGAGCTAGAAAAGTGTGCATCCCGAGAGAATACAGATTTATACTGTCATGCCTGAATATTTCAGAGACTGACAAGCTGCTGGAATTTTATCGACATGAATTGACCAAAAAATTGCTACAGACGACTATCGGGAATTAATAGAACTTTTAATAATATATTCCTTGGCAGAGATACAGAGAAAAAAATTATGATTCAACAGCCATGCATCAAGCTTGATGGATGGCCAGAGCAATCTCTTCATTAAAAAATAGCATTACTAAGTTCCCAGCTCAAACTTTCTAATAATAACATGTTCATTGCGATAACATACATGAATTCGTGGTTGCAATGCACTTTAGCAGTAAAAGCACCTAACAAGGTGTTATTCTTTTTAAAGGCAATAAAGGCTTATGAAAAAATTTACAAAACCACCTCAACAGCAGCTTTACAAGAGTTCTGCCAACATTTATGGGATTTGACAGCAGAGGTCTCTGTCTTATCTCTTGTTTGATGATGATGATGTATAGTTTGGCAAACGGATCTGCAACAGCGAAAGGAATGCGACCGAAAATATTCGATATTGCCAAATTTAACTACAAAAAAGCAATAAGGAAGTAATTTCAATGATTTGAAAATCGATTTTTCGCAATTCCTAAAAATAATAATTCAAAATACTGAGTATTTTAATGCGTTGTTAGCTCTATTTGTATTTAAAAACTATTTGTTACTACTGAATCGTATTATAAGTAAACATTTTTCCAAAGATCTTATCGACATCGGTTGAGCTGGCAACAATCACCCGAAAGGTATATTGGACACCACCTGAACGAAACTGATTGGCGGATATCCTCACATGTTTTGTCGCCATGAGAAAATTCGACTCCCTATTGGGTAGCGTCCCAGACAATGTTTTGCTCCTTTCTTAGAATATCTATACTATTGAAAAGTCCAGTGGCGTAGGTTTTATCTCCGTTGAGTGTCGTGTATCAGTTTTACAACTATTATTGTTAACTATTTATTGTTCTATTAAGTTTGTATGTTTAGTGCTGTGTGTTTTTGAATAGTTTAAGTGTTTTGTTATTGTTATTCGTTTTAGTATTATTTTTTTAAAATGAACCAATTTACTCGCGAAAGACGCTTCATAGCCAAACAAGAGAAGTGATTGCGAATGTTTATAGGTTAGTAATAATAATATGCAATAATTGTAGTTAACGACTGAGTATGTATATAAATAAAAAACAAGGAAATGCTAAGCTAACATTCTGATGATTATTTATAGGGTTTGCGATGAGGAAGCGGCAAACAATTCCCTCAAGTTGCTGCTTAAACGTAAGCTTGATAGGGTGTCCCTTTATACCGGAGTCGGAGTATCTTCTGTTAGGAAAATTCATAACGAAGATAAAGAAAGACTAGAAAATAACGCCAATAAAATGTTATCCAGTCCCGGGAAAAAAAGACCGCGTCAGTCTCTTGTTGAGAAAGATGAAGATTTTGATTTTCAGATTATTAGACATTTGATAAACAGATTTTATCTTGAATATAAAGTTGTCCCGACAACTAGGAAGTTATTACAAAAGTTGCGAGAAGACTCAAATTTCCCCTATTCTAGGGAAACACTCAGGAGTTTATTAAAATCAAATGGTTTTTTTTGGCGCAAATGTCAAAATAAAAGAAAAGTTTTGATGGAGAGGCCTAATATATTGCAATGGAGGTACAAATACATCCGTGAAATACGTAGATATCGTGAAGAAGAGCGCAATATTGTTTATTTGGACGAAACCTGGGTAGACAATGACTTGACTTTCAAAAAATGCTGGCAGAGCGAAACTATTTCTGGTGTAATAAGCAGTATAGGTTCTACAGGTAAGCAAAATGCTATATATATGTTAAATTTAACTCTGATTTGTAACATATTATATAATCGTCTTGTGGCCTGGTTGACAAAGAAAGGTACTTATAACTCAAAACATGCATGTACATATCAAACTATACAATAAAATATTGTATAGGCATAAATCATGAGGCAACTGCCAGAAAATTTGACTTGTTCGATCTGGTCTTACTTCATAAGCCCCCTGACAACCAAAAAAATTATGTAGTTGATCGGATCATAAGATCACATGGACATACTCCTCTAAGATCACCTCCTTATTTATGCGAGCTAAACCCAATAGAATTAGCTTGGGCAAAGTTTAAATTTCATATAAGAAGCCGCAATACCACTGGAAACTTCAGTTTAACCGCAATGAAAGAAGTTACTCAGGAAGCGATGTCCTTAATATCCATTAGTGATTGGCAGAAATTTTGTCAACATGTTAGGGACATTGAAGATAAATTTTGGGAAAATGATAAATTCATGGAGGAAATGGAACCAGTTATAATAACTATAGAGCAAGATGACGACAGCGAAACTGATGACGACAGTGACGATGATGATAATGATGAAGTTGACGAACACCAATGCTAATTCAATAGGTGAAATGTAATTTTGAAATGCTGTATCATGTAAGTATTATTTATTACAGAGGTTATAAGTTAAACGGATATGAAATATGTTTAAAGTTCTTTGTTTCTATTTAAGCGACACCGATGCTCTAGAAATATCCACATCAACAGTCAGAAATTGCAACAATAGGAATCCAGAAAGATGCAGATTATAAAATAAAAATTAATTCTGTTTCTGCTTGTGGCACTTTTTAAAGTAAATGAGCATATTATAAGATCACGGATGTATAATATACAGGGTGACTTCGAAGTTGAGTCATTTATTTGAACAGTGAGTAGATCTGATCAAAAGAAATGCTTTTTTCCTTTACCATTTTTCTGGTAAAATTAAAGTAACAAAGTTATAGCCCTTTGGAAGTTTGAGTACCGCCCTGTCTCAATAATAATATCATGTGCTCATGTTTGGCGACAACGGATATTATCCGCCTTATCGGTTCATCGCATCGGAAACAAAAAAGCGAAAGAATTGGGAACGATGTTTTTACAATTATTTTATTCAGTTCAGTTATACATACAGTCAGTGTCAGTCGGTAACGCGTGTGAATAGTGTCTGTTGCGTGGCTCAAACGAAATAAAAAATGGCACATGTTTATGCGGATCGGTTTCCCAATCGAGTGCAACCAACCCCTCGTGCCTTTGTTAATGTAGTACAACGGGCTCGTGAATCAGGTGACTTACGACCCCACAGGGGACCTCACGATCAAATACAGGTCCGCACTGAAATACTTTTCGGGAGGATACTTTATAAAACAAGGTAAAAAATTTTTTTTATTTTTTTTTTATTTTTACACACATATTTTGGTTTATCTTCCTTCTACAATCATTATCTGAAAATTAATGACTCAACTTCAAAGTCACCCTGTATATATATATATATTCTCAAGGTAAAAACCCACGTTAAGTATCTATTTGTATTTGAAAAATATATTTTATTTACGGCTTTGACAAAAACGCTAGCTTGATTTTCAAATTAGGCTTTAAATCGCGCAGTTATCATGATTTTTTGAATTGTGGCAATTTTGGGAAGTGAGTAGACATTTTTCCGTTTGTGTGTAGAAACAAACTCAAGTGTTTTTTTACATGGTGTAGACTGAAGAGAACAGCTATTTTTGAGTTTACTCCAGACTTTATTTATTATTATGGTCAATGCTCCATATTATTGTGGGCTTATTGAGATACTTCCCAAATTTAAAGTGAAAGATAAACGTATAGTTTACTAAATTTAAACCAATTATGAAATAATCCCAAACTTTTATAAAATACCGCACGCCGCTGGCATTTTATGAATGAAACCAGCCATGTTTTGCTTTCCCCTCACCGATACCCCGATGTTGCAGATCCGTTTGCCAAACTTTAGACATTAAAGTAAAAATTGTTGCTAAGTAATCAGTCCACAGTAAATCCCATCAAAAGAACTAGAACCATCACTTGTAGCAAATGTATTAAAATTAACATGAAAGATAGTATCACTTGTATTTTTGAGGAACCTAAGCACCCAACTTGTGAATATGGTCTTGTAACTTGTAAACTAGAGAGTAGTACTAATATATTGAGCTTGAAACTTACATGGAACACAATATAAGTACAAGTAAATTCACCTGTAATTATTATAGCATGCTTTTTATGGAATAGGTAGTAGTCTGTAAATGTAAGTTTATAATCAAGGTAGATGCCTGAATAATAGGTATTTGACTACATTTGCATATGATAATAGTCTGTATATTGGGGAAAGACCACCAGGGTGGCCAAAACCTCAATAAAGTGTAATTTCCACAAAGGTGATTACACTTATCAGCTAGAAAACGTTGAGCTCTGTCGTGAATTTCTATCAACAGGAGACGAGACTGAACTTCAGCCAGATAACGTGCAAGTAGCATAACCTCAAACTTACCGTTGTAAAGGGCAGAATTAACTACTCCACCAACAAGGGCTACTCCTAGTCCCACCTGGCCTATTCTATTGAATAACTGTGCTGCAGACATTTTGGGCTAAAACAGAAGGAGGCGGGTGAAATTGTGCAATGCGATGTTTTTAGAAACGCTTCATAAGAAATTGGAAAATCAGAACTTACCTATATTAGTTATTTGTTAGGACTCCTGCACTCTAGCTCTACCTTTTCTTGAATTCCCTCAAATTTATTAATAATTTATATATCAAACTGAAAAATTGTAAATCAAAAAATGTCTCCTGTCCGTACCACCGGCAATACGATAGAAGGGTTTATCTCTGGCGATAGACTTATGTCAATGACAAGCTGTCATTTTTTATGCGGCATGGTTGCCAGATTGTACATGAAGTCACTTGCGACGCTGCCAGTGCTTCGCATATATCTGAGGCTGCTGTAATTTTATAGTGGGATTTTTATTGGTATACTAAGTGACATATAAATCCGAAGACCCAGTTTAAATGGTTTTATTTTAATCAAAGTTGGTGAATGTATTTATCTTACTGTAAATAACAAGTGAAAAAAATTTCAGCCTTATCAGTTGGACATTCCGGTTTTTATACTGCTTTTTTTTAATTCACTAACGCTCTAAACATGAATATTTCAGCCGCAGTAAAGAATCAACGTTGGCGGATTTTGGTTCTTGACATCCTTTACGATCGGTTACGATGCCTAGAGTACGGAGACCTGTACGATTTCGTCAACTTAGTGAGTTTGATAGGGGCCGTATGGTGGGACTTCGGGAAGCTGGACCTTCTTTTCGGGCAATTGCAGTTAGAGTGCAAAGAAGTGTAGACACTGTGGTTAGGTGTTGTCAGGCATGGCTTCGAGAAGGCCGTACGCAAAGAGCAAGGGGCACTGGACGCCGCCGTAGAACAACAGACCGTGAAGATCGCCGCCTAAGATTATTGGCCTTAAGGGACCGTTTCTCCACTACCAGGTCCATTGCAAATGAATGGTTTGCAGAACACGGAAGACCTATTGGCATGCGAAGTGTTTACCGACGAATGAGAAGTTTTGGATTGTTTTCATACCGGCCACACTGGGTCCTCCCTTTAACTCGAGAACACCGACGTAATCGCCTTGAGTGGTGCAGACAACGGTCACTCTGGGATCAGGAATGGAACAGTATTGTCTTTAGTGACGAGTCTCGATTTTGTTTAGGCATGCACGATGGTCGTGCCAGGGTTAGAAGGCGACGTGGTGAAAGGAGGAATCCACAGTTTTTTGTTGAAAGACATGTTCATCACACTGTTGGAGTTATGGTTTGGGGTGCTATAGCTTATGGTTCCAGGTCACCTTTAATCTTCATCGGAGGTAAAATGAACGCGCAGCGTTACATCCACGAAGTTCTAGAACCCCATCTTTTACCCTATCTTGACTTGACACCCTGGCAGATCCAACTTTCCAACAACATAATGCCCGACCACATGTTGCAAGAGTCACAATAGACTTCTTTCAACATAATGATGTCACATTGTTACCATGGCCACCAAGATCTCCCGACTTATCCCCAATTGAGCACATGTGGGATATGATGGGTAGGAGATTGCTCAATTTGCAACGTCCTCCTCAGACTCTAGAAGCACTTCGAGAGGAGTTGGTGGTTGCCTGGAATGAGATACCACATGAGGACATTGACCATTTGATCAAAAGCATGCCTAGGCGCGTTGGAGAATGCGTAGCACATCAGGGTGCATCCACACATTATTAAAGGTCAAAGGGCTTTAAAGCAGTGCAATCATTTTGAAATTTTTATCATTTACTTATTATGTTTCATTAAGTACTTATACAAAATTTTATTAAAATAAAACCATTTAAACTGGGTGTTCGGATTTATATGTCATTTAGTATATATGGAAGATTTTATAATGCCATATGTTATATTATTAAAATGTTTTGCTATTTCTGACAAATGAGTATTGACTTATCTGTTATAGGTCAGTCTTCCAGATCTCTAAAAGGAAGGATAACATCACACAAAAGTGAGTCCAGATTTCACCCTGAGAGATGTGCTCCGGCATCACATGTCAATACAACAGGACACTCGATGAACTACACAAGTATCAAAGTTCTTGATAGAGAAAAACGTCTATCCAAACGTTTATTCCTGGAAATGTTCCATATTTTCATGAATAACAACTGTATGAATAAAAAGGCAGAGGTGAAGCAGCTTAACGTCATTTACTCATATTTGCTAAACTGAGAAAAGTTAGAGCACTTACATATCTCTCCATTAAATGAAATTGGTTTTTGTCTAATCCATTCTTTTCCTCCAAATTTCCGTTCCATTCTAATTTAAGAATTGGTGTTTCCTCATAATAAAAAAAGAAATATGTGAAACGCAATAACATATCTACACAATTAAATTTTTTCCTAATTTTTGTTTTACGCAGATTTTCTCTAATATTCTTTATATAAAAGTATAGCAATCTCATATTTATATGCAGAGCTGATAACGTTGCGTAGCACAAATGACAATCTGGCAACCATGATGTATTCTCAAAAAATGGTCGCTGACAATGTCATACGTCAGCCGTGTTGCCCTTGAATAACATGGAACTAAACCTTCTTCAGTATTTATAGTTTTGTTTTGTAGTGTGTTTGTTTTTTGTGTATCTGTAATCTGTGTTTTTTGGTGTATATTTTTTGTATATTTGTTTTTTGATTTCAAATTTTTCATACTAAGTAAGAAACAGTTCACCATTATTAAAACCTTTATTTCTTAAATAAAATCTATGTAAGTTCAGGTTACGTCCTTTTTCATCTTTTATTTTCCATGAACATTATCTTCTCTTAACAAGAACATTTTCAGCATGCAGCCAGTGAAGCCACCAAGAAGCAATTCCATGCTACCCCCAGACCCTGTATATACTTTAAAAAGTGACATGGGTTACATCCAGCACATGAATTTTTTCCAAGGTGGGACCTCACAACTTCTGGCGGCTACTGAGAAGGGTTTGGTTTACTTTTGGGATCTTAATACCAATAGAGCTAGTTGTAAGAAGAAAATGGGAGAGGGAATACTAGCGATTCATTCATATGATGACAAAATCATCACACAAGAGAAAAGTGGTAAGATATTCCAACAATTATAGATAAAGGGTATTTTTTAATTCACTGGTTGAGTCACTGGTGCAACCAATTAGCCAATTTTGCTTCCTTTAATTTTCGTCTGAGCGACTGGTTGTACACCAAAATTGTCGATAAACTATATAGTCTTTATTGAAATGGTTAATAGGGGTGGTCAAAACAAGTCAAAAGGTTCATATGGCCCATGGTCCAAAAGTCGATAGATTTTTGTCTAAATGGCTTTATATTTTACAACTTTAAGTGCTTTATATCGACCACAATCTTACTATTGTTTATAATCTAATCTAAAACGTTTTTAAATTCGGTATTTAATAAATAAATAGCATTAAGTTTTTCTAAGTTAAGCCAAAATTTGTACTCGGTAAGTAGGTAAGTAAGATTCATTAAATTGAATATTTAAAACACACATGACAACATCGCGTCAGTCATCATCACTCTTATCAAACCGGCAATCGATCGCAAATGGTAACAGTGGTTAGTATGTTGTCTTGTCGTCGCGAAAAAAATTTTAATGCGGCTAAAATAATAAATGGACAACTTCGAGGACCTAGGGTAAGAAGAAACTGGGTTCATCATGATAAAGCTTGTGTGGAAAGTGGAGGATGACATTTTGAACACCTTCTTTAAATACGAAAAAGTGCAGTATGGGTTTTAAAAAGAAAAACAATGTATGTATCAAAATTATGTTCCCTATTTATAAGTGGATTTTTTTAATACGTTCAATAAACTTTCACACACCAGCTGAGACAGTTAGTGGTAAGTCAGTTTTTTTTAATTGTTTGTGTTTTACGAGTACATTATCAAATAATAAAATAATACCTAAGAGCCAAAAATAACGAACTCCATCTTTATTTACACTGCGATCCGTCGTTATTTGCGTCTGGCATTGCGGCGTTGTGAGATTTTATTTTACTTTAAAGTCACTTTTCTCTAAAAAAATGCCGTTCTGACCCCCATGTTGTATGAAACTTTTTGCTTCTTTTAACCCCTCTATCAACCATTTAAATAATGACTATCATAACGTTTACACCCTGTATATTGCGGCTACAGTTAAAATTTTATTACTCTTAGATTTTCCTCTGCAAGTCTGTCCTATTGGTATGGCTACTATGACGTACAATGGACTCAAAATTCGCGTAATATAACATTTTTAGAGTCTTGAGGTCTAGGTACTTACTTAGTACTCTAATGCTATAACATATGTTGTTTAACATTTTTTCTAGATGATCTATATGTTTAGCCCAGGAAAGTGCTTGGTATGAACTCTGAAAAATTTTCCACCGTCTGTCAGAGGGACTTTTATTCTTTCTGCTAAGGTGATGTTTGTAGCTTCGATTTTTTTTTCTTAACTTAAAAACAATCGCATTTGTTTTTGAGGTATTCAGAGATAAGCCATTACGAGCAAACCACAAAAACGCTTTCTCGCAGAGGCTTAAAGTACTTTCAGCTAAATGGTTGAAATCTTGGCCAGAGACTAGTAGACTAGCGTCATCAGCAGCGTATTGGATCGTGGATACATTATTTCTGCTTGTAATACTACCATACAGATCATTCATAAAAATCAAAAAGAGGAGAGGTCTTGAAACGCTACCTTGTGGAATACTCTTTCTACCGTTAATCATCATGAAACGGCTGATATTTCTTTCATTGCAATGAAACCTCTTTGATTATGATCTGTGAGATATGAGACATTATTGTCATGCCTCACAGCCCTAGATTAACTAGTCAGTGAGGCATTACTTTAATGGCACACTGTGTTCAACATGTTAACATTAATACATGAACCTTATCATGTGCCTTTCAGCTGATAAAAAGATAATCCTCCATAATTGTCTGGCCTCCCTGATGGTATACTTAACATTACCATGTATTTATTGCAGGTTTAACGCGTACTCACAGCTAATATGTAATTCTGCACACAAAAAATCTTTTTACATGGAAAATTGTTTTACCAAATCTGTTATCAATCACAGAATGGAATGGATTCGAATTTTTATTAATTTAATCTGTATTATGTTGCTTTGGAAAATACTGTTTAAACACTGTTTTTATTTGCTGTTTTTGATTATTTATTGTTTATTTTATCTCTGATAATATTGTTTTAGTTTATTTATTAGCCTATTTTTGTTAATTTCATACATTTTTATTTTAGTTTATCCATTTGTTGTGTTTTCCATATTATTTCTACAAGATCCTATTTTAGATTATTTATTCACTCATTTTTAGCAAACATACCTTTTTAATTCTTTTATTTTTATTATCATATCTCAATAACAATAACAAAAAACAAATTCCCATATAAAAAGTGCTCCATCCAAGATTTTTTTTGTGCAGAATTACATAAATTACAGTGTTGTGTGCGCATTAAACCTGCAATAACCCCTGAATATGTGTTGATGTTATCACCGACAATTGTCCTTGAAAACATCCCCTGTGGCATCGATCTACTAAAATATGTAATGACATATGGAATGTTCCATTTGATTTGTCATTTTCTAATGAAATGTACAGGTACTGGTATCTGCGATCCAATCAATGTAGAGGCTTGCGGCAAAAAAGATTTTACTAAAATGACCAAGAGAAAAACCTGGAAAATATTTTCAAGTTTCTGAAATGCCTGCCAGGGGTTGTAACTGCATTCTTGAATCTAAAAAGTGATGTTTCTGTGAATTCAGCTATATTAATCTAACAATTTGTTTGACAATTTTTGCTGATCTCTAAAAATAAAGTAGGGGGTATTCAAAGGTTTCCGTAAAAAACACCCTGCATCTTCGAAACGGCTGACCCGATTTTAACAAACTTGGGCTAGTTGAAAAGATCTGTTCTTGTTCTACAAATGTTATATTTGAAGATGCCGGCAGTAATGGTTAATTTTCTCAATAAAATTAAATGCCTTGGGATGATTTTGTTAATGAAAAAGTAGCTAAACCATATGGTATTTTGTGACCTATTAATTCGCAATATTTTACAGGTATTGTCAAGCTTTGGTCAGTAGAGAGTGACCAATCAATAAATTCTTATGAATGTTGTGGTGGACACTGTAAAAGTATAACTGTTGGTGACACACTGGTTTTGCCACAAGAACATGGAGTTGATCTAGTCAATAAGAAGACTTTTGAGAAAACCAAGACGTTACTATCTAATAAAGAAAATTTGGGCCACGTAATGGCACTAGAAAAGATGGAGTTTGAAAGTAATACCTACATTTTAGCTGGATATGAATCAGGTAATCACTAACTTACTAATGTGTTGAGCAACATTTTTTAATTAGATTGTAGTACAACAGTCGCACAAATAAGCAAAATAGCCAAAAGGAGCAGAACAGATTATGTTAAATATCATTATAAGGATGTTAATTGAGTATGTACCATATATTTAACAGACGATTCTTTGAGTAATTTTAAGACAAACGGTTCATATATATATTTGCAAATTCTTCATTCTCATTCGTAAATATTTTAAATATTCTTTACCTAATTTTGTTGTAATTTGGCGGTGGTATTTATAACATCAAGGCCTAACTTGATTAAATTTGTTAAGTTCAGTGGCGTCTTGAGTGAGACCTGAACTTGTGACAAAAAAATGTACGCCACTGACTTTTGTGCAGTTTTTATTATGTTCTTCAGATTAAGCAAATAGAAATACAAATGTTTTGTCTGTTGAAGTTTTTTGTATCTTGCTTAGTTTTCGAGAAAAAAAAGTCCACTTAATTTCATATCCCTGGACCACACAAGGAATATGTGGAAAGTTTCTTTTAGAAATTATTTTTTTATAATTTATTACTATTTATGTTAATGTTATTTAGTATTATTTGTTGTTGTTGTTACATAAGAGCCAAACCATGATAGCTCAAACGTCATGATGTTTAGGCAACATGTACAGCTACACAACAAGACCACATCAAGTAAATAGCAGATGGTTCCAAGTTGACACCTTATAGGAAAAACTACATAATGTCACGAAAAATCTACATAATAATATCAAAAAACGATATAATGTCACTTTTCAAGATTTTGCTATTTGTTTATGATTTATTTAACATCACTGCTACAATTAAATTTAAAAAACTACAACAATAACATAACAGATATTTAGAAAAACAAAACTTGCATTTTTTGACAAACATTAGAAATGATAGCAATTCTACTTAGATATCATCCATAGCAACTTGATTATTATGTTATAAAAATGTTTTATCATCATGGTACAAATAATACATTGGAACTATTAAAAACGAATATCTCGAAAACTATTAGCTTTAGGCACGTCTAACAAGCAAACCTTTTTTGTTGTGGAAATACGAGCAAATAAGATTTTTGGGTTAGTTGTTGTATACAGGGTAGCACAAAAAAGTTATGAAAAGTTATTTACCGTAATTGTGCTGTAAGGGGCGCCCTCTAGAAGTTTGGCCATAAAAAATAACGGATTCTTGTTTTTCATACTAGAAAACCTCCCTATACCAAGTTTTATGCCAAAATCTGAAATACTTCTCAAGCAATAAGGAAAAATAGAAAATCAACTTTTGGACTGAGGTATGTTTAGGTCAATTCACATATTTTGGTCTGTAGTAGATTTCTCAACCTTCCCCACACAGCCTTGTGTGTTGTTTACATCACGCATGTGAGTCCAATATTAACGATGGGTACATCTCATCGCTGGAACTAAACTCGTGGACATTTGCTTTGCTACATGGAAAATTTTACCCAAACTTTTTGAGAACACATTCAGGGTTCGATCGGTATATTTGTTTTATTTATCCACTTATACAGGATGAGCAAAGGAAGTCAGGTTCTTTTAGCAAAGTTTAGGGCTATGTCAGATTCTCAATGTTTGATTTTGGAAATTTTTCTATCAATCTCTTTAATCTTCTGACTATGGCCATAACTCAGATTATCGAATTTTTAACTTCCCACAATAAATGACTTTCGGCTGGACCTCGTATTTTTTGGATTACCCTCTCCATGCAAATAGGACGCTTCTCCGGTTTCACTGTAAATACTTACACCTCAAACATGTAATTGCTAAGTAACAATAATATTGACTGTAGACTTTGCAGTATAATTTTAGTTTCTCAAAAATGCCTTGTCTCTTTCAAAAAGAACGAGAGAATTGTATAAGGTAATTGAGAGAAGGTCGTTTAGTAAATTTAGCTTTAATTTATAATGTTTATCGGTCCTCAATATACCGTTTAAGGCGTAGATATCAGGATACCGGGAAACGTCCTATTTGCATGGAGGAGATAATCCAAAAAAGAAAAATACCAGGTCAGGTCTAAAGATATTTATTGCAGGAAGTAAGGCGAAGGAGGACCCTTTCATCCAGAACCTTTAATGAAAACTTACGGCGGCACAGTGGAATAATAGCATCCAATAGTACTGTAAGAAGAACTTAAATGTTATAAAAAATTTACTAGGTACTATTTAGTAGTATTTCTTCCAGCGCAAGGCGTCGCTCCAAGTACCCGACTCTTGAAGAATCATAGAGTCTTCAGGTACCAATGGGCACGGGAGCGGGTAAATTGGCATCAGTAGTATCAAAATAGCATGTTTTCGCGATGAAACCCGCTTCATCCTAAACCACTGTGATACTGTTTAAAATAACTGTTGCTGTTTTGTGAAAAGTTCGTTTTTGTCATAAATAAATAATTTAGGTATTTAACTGGACTTCAAATTTTTTGTTTCTAAAATGTTACATATTGTTTTGTTAATCAATAATTTTGTTGACATTGTTTAAACATTTAATAGGGTCTATTACCTATTGGAAAACATCTCAAATGAAGACGCGTACGCCATAGCATTTTGAAAAATATTTTTTTTTAAGTATTAGCAGTTCTTACCAAACCAAAAAATGCTTTTGGTGTTACGCCACTGGAATACACACCTATATTAAAAGAAGTAGGATTTGTTCATTAAGCTGTTTAATTTCATAAAAAATATTATAAATTCTGTTTAAATTACATAATGTCAAAGTAGCAAATTTTCACTTCATGCCCCTGGAGATAATAACATACAATGAGTGCTTCATATTTTCTCGGGCGCCAGAAATTCCACTTTATTACAGTATGAGAAAAAATACACAGTCTCAAGAGAAACCCCAAAAAGCTCCCTTTTTTAGGAATAAATGTAACACTTTTTTAAAATTCGATAATTTGAGTTATACCCAACTTTGAGAAATTATTTTTTTTAGTATAGTCCAAAGGTCAAAAATATGCATAGATAAATTTACAAGATCAAAAATTGAGAATCTAACGTTGCTATAATAACCTGTCTTCCTTTGCCCACCCTGTATAAGTGGATAAATAAAAGAAATATACCTGTCGAACCCTATACGTGTTCTCAAAGAGTTGGTCAAGAACATCCCGAATACCGCACCTCGATATCTCTTTCCGTTCCGAAAATATCGAGATTTGAATTTGGGTAAAATTTTCTATGTTGCAAAGCAACTGTCCACCAGTTTAGTTTAAAGAATCAGTTACCAGTAGATGGCTTGTGGAGTAGTACACTGTTGGTAAACTTTAGTTTAGATCACTTGATAATGTCAATAATTCCTGTTGTAGGTGACGTTATCTTATGGGACGCAACAGAAGGGAAGACATGCGGTGATTGCAAGTTTCAAGAACATCTGACAACTCTGACATTTGACTCGCCAATGGGTAGAGGAGTGTGCGCCGGAGCTTCCAATGCCATGCAAGTGTTCTCCATTGACGATTCTTTCAATATATCAGTTAAATGCGAAGTCTCGCTACCCAGTGAGGGGTGTAATATCGTCAAAGTTAGACCTGATAGGCAAGTATCTTTGACGTTAAAGGTATCAACCACTTAAGTGGTCGTAACTGCTTTCGGCGATGACTTTTAAGGTGGATCATAATTTTACCGTTTGCGTACATATTCGATTTGCCACTGAAAATACAGGGTGTTAATAAAGAATGTAGACAAACTTTAACCATCGAATCCTTTGTCAATTTGAAGACAAAATTTCCATACGAACATGGGTCCGCAACGGCTTTGTTTTCAAGCTAGAGTATATTAGCACTAAAAGAAATGATTTTGTTCTAAAAAATTATAACAGAATGGAACGAATATTATTTTAGTTAAGTATGCCCTGTGGTGAATATCATACGATTTACAGTTGTTTTCAGACCCTCCATGTACATAAATACGGATAATGTTATCCAGTATATTTTTTTAAAATAGCATGACATTGATTTGTTTTGATCGCAATACTTTTTTGTGCTTATCTAGACACCTATGACATACCCGAAAACAATAGATTTAATTTTCTTTTCTCAAATAATTCGTGGCCACTTTTACTGCAAAAAAACTATACGATTTCTATTGTTGCCCTTCTAAATATTTTTTTGCAAAAAATACAGGATAATACTATTTTCATCCACGTTCATATTGAGCCTCAGCACACTTGTAAAACATGCAAAATTTATCATAGGTCATACCAACTGTTCCATAAATAGGTTTCATTTTTCATAGAAATATTTGGAACATTACTCGTATTTCTTTAGTGATAGCGCTCTAGCTCGAAAAGAAAGCCGTTACGGACCAATGTTAATATGAACATTCACTCTTCAAATTGACCAAGGATTCGATGGTTAAAGTCTGTGTACATACTTTATTAACGCCCTGTAGAAGCGCAGGCGTACATATTCGTCAAAGTCATGTGAAATGGGTTACTGGAAATGGAGTGCATACATACATATACTGGAAAGGCACCATGATTAGTACTGTTTTAAAACAAGTAATGCACATAAAATTACTTAAAACTTATTTATTTAAAAAAAAAATACATCTCGCAATTCAAAACTTGGATCAAGCTCAGGTTCATGCTCACTTTCGGTATCACTGTCAAGATCCTCTTTGAAATTAGAATCATTATCTAATCCACCAGAGCTGGTGGATTATTGTTGGAAGCATCTATAGTTATTTCAATGTCAGAACTAGACATTATTGAAAGTAATTTGAACACAAACAAACAAACCACGCAATAATGATTCTATCTTACACATAAATCAAATAGCGGCAGACAATAACTTGCGATATTGCCAGTGTCACAAATATGTTCCTTATTCGTTATATACTAAAGGACATAGAAAATGCAACACTGACTAGGAGTTCTGTAATTTTGACCTTACTCGTATAAGCTTCAGATCTACTGACAAATAGAAAGTGATTAAAATTTTAATTCGAATTTTCGGAAAATATATATATATACTTCCATGATGCCAAATATGTTTACAAGTTTTTATCAAAATTCAATAAATAATTGTGGGGCCTCAATATAAAGTATTCTTGGCGAAGATATCCATCATAATCAACCTGGATAAAAAATATGTTGGTGGATACATCATTACCTTAAGGGGTTAATGAGATTGCTGATGCATTAATTCAAGAGCTCCATTCGTCATTACCTGTTAGAGCGATCCAATGGACCTTTGCTTTTGGTTAAAATTGGGAATTATTTTCACTAGTAAATCCAGCAATGGATGAATGACAGTATATCCTAGTCGATAGTTTGATACAAGGGTTGGGAATAAGAGAATGAAGGAGACGATTTTCTGACAAATTGATCAACAGTGCAACCAACAGAAAATGAACATGGTTTAAGTAGTCACAGATTGAGCATAGTCAGATCTATAGGTAGACATTGAACTTAGCCCTGGTTTTTCAATCCCAGCTTAACTCGCGACGCAAATCTCGAGTATTATACTTTTTTCAGAATACTTCTATATTTTATCGCGGCAAACCTGCCAACAAATAACTGATGACTATACAATTAAGTACGTACTACATTTAACAGACGATTCTTGGGGTAATTGTAAGACAAAAAGTTCATGTTAAAATTAATTATGTAACAACAACAACAAATACTAAATAACATTAATGCCCATATTCACCGTCCGTTGAGAAGTTCGATTAACTACTAATTCAGATTATTGCCACGTTTTCATGTGCACCGATACATTTAACACCCGCTAATCGCGTTTAGGCGCAATCCTAGCGTATTGGCAGTTTAATCTGAAAATTGACGAATTGGGGCTCTAACCTTATTTCGAGTTGTTGATTTCTTTGCCCGAAAAAGTGCGTTTTTGCAAAAATAATGCAGATCGAAGATGAGATTTTCCTTGACGATGATGGTGACATCCTAGATATTATTCGCTTCTGATTTCCACTGAGACGCTATTATGAACGTACAGATTTTTTAACGAGATGGACAACATATCGTTTTTCAGGAGATTTCGGCTCCAAATAAAACACTGTCCTCAGATTGTTAGAACAAATAGAGCATTAACTCGAGTTTGATAACAATTTGTTTCTTTTACCAAATACTAAATTACGATAATCAATTTCCTTCGCCAGAATTGAAGCCAGGAACGCCTTCAAACATTTTTTCGTCTAGCTGTGGATTTGAATCACATTAGGTATTTCCAAGACTTCGGTCATCACTATAAAATTTTTGTTTTTCCAGGAATAATAGTGAATCGCCCATTAATCAGCTTCGCACATGCCTACGATTTTATGCCTGCGTTGCACATCAAAATTGTATTGGAGACTTTATTAATATGCATCAGACAATATATATATAATTAAATATAATTGGAAAGGTTTCAAGAGCAAGAGGAGGTTTATCAAATCAATATATCAGAATGCCCAATGAAGCTGATGAAATAATAAGAATTCATAATGGCTTTTATAGGATCTGTAGATTTCCACGAGTCATTGGATACATTGACGGGACACAAATAAAGATACAATCACCAGGACCTCAAGATGAAGAAGTTTTTCGCAATAGAAATTCAGATTTTCCTATAAATTCTCAAATAGTTGCTGGGCCAGATTTAAAAATACTTGATATTGTTGCTCGATGGCCAGGATCTACCCATGATTCAACTATTTTCAATGCATCCTACCTAAGAGCTCACTTTGAAGGGAGACAATTTGAGAACGCTGTGCTCTTGGGAAATAGTGGGTATCAGCTGAAAGACTACCTAATGACACCACTACAAAATCCAGGCAGTTGCCGAAAATCCATATAATGAAGCTCATATCCGAACGCGCAATCTAGCAGAAAGATTAATTGGTGTTTGGAAACGTCGGTTTCCTAGTATTAGCCTATGGTAGTTGGTGTCGATTAGATAATGCTTTAACTATAATTGTTGCCACTGCTGTGCCTCAAAATATTGCCGTGAATATGCTAGAGGATTTACCTCCCCGCCCAGAAGATCTCAATAGTCAAGAACTGGATTACCTAATTTTACAAGAAGACATTCCTCATGTACATGCGGCGAATGTTGGTCAAGGCCCATTTAATTTTCGCCAAAATCTAATAGTTAACTATTTTAGTTATTCATAAAACATCTGGATAATAAACACACAATTTGTAGAAAAACTACATACTTTTTGTGTATTTTTTGTGTATTAATAAAAAAAGTTTGCTATAGTATATTGCATTGAAAAAAAGTAACATACGTATCTTAACACAAAGTAATAATTCTCATTGTAAAGCATTGGGATTTAAATTTAGTTTTTGATTGGAAAGTTTTAACTGAAGTAAATCTATTTTAAGTTTTCTTTCCATTTCTATAAATTCTTGCTCTTCATCGGTAGCTTGTATTTGTTTTTCCAATAAAGTCAGTGTTTTGTCTAAGAGTAGACTGTATTTAGAGGTAATATTAGAAGATGTTGAAGCAGACATGGCTTGCTTCGATCTTCCTTTAGACCTCTATGGACGCCGGAGAAAGTCATTTGGATAACGACTTTTGGGCCCTCACTTCAAAACAGGCATCGCTCCAACTCCAGTTAAAAATCCTTGGTTTTCTCCTCACCTACATTCCTTCTTAATTTTTTATTTTCATACAACATTATCAATGATTCGGCTTTTCTTTATGCAGTAGAGGGAGAATATGAGTTAAATTATTTTTCAATTTGGTTCCAAGCATTGCTTTGGGACATTATAGAGGCTCTGTCGGTCTTCTTGTCCGCATAGCCGCGCACTATTACTTTAAATAAGTGCATCTTTTTATTAGCCGTAAAATTCGGTTCTCGTTTCTTCCGATCCTTTTCCATTTTAATAACCCTCTTGAGCACACACAAACTGTCAAATCTCAAATTTTTTTTACAGAATCTACAAATTTGCAATATTGCCACGTTTTGTTCAACGATTAGGTAATCGCGATTAGAAAGTAGTCCGTGCATCATATTCGAATCTGGATTCCCCAATCTGGATTAAAGCGTCAAACGATGCATATGGACACTAGTGACATTAACATCTAGACTAGACTAACAAATTTCTCTACATTAAGTGTTGGAAATGGCCCACTTCGGCTTCAGTACAACCGTCTAGCCGCCTCATCATTGATTACGCACTCTCCTGAAAATACCTGACGTATTTTTTTTATGTCACATGAATTAATGATTCTATTCTGTAAAGCATCTTCACTTTCAATAGGAGTTTTGTATACCAACGCTTTAATGTATCCCCAGAGAAAATAATTAATGATATAAAAATTCGTATCAAGCGAGCGAGGGTGCCACAGGTTTGGACCTGCTCTCCCAATCCAGCGATTATGGTAATTTTCATCCAAAAATTTCCACGCCATTACACTTAGGAGTGCATGTACCACATACGGCATCTTTCCATGGCTGGAACGACTTCTAAAAGTCCATATAGAACAAATTCTAAAAAGCTTCGGCATTCTTCTCCATTAAGTCTAGGCGGAAGAAAATGAGATGGCAACCGCAAAATTGTCATAGTAGTATAACTGGAAAGACTGTATTCCAAAGGGAGCATTTGAATTAAATAAATTGAATAATTAACAGTGTTCGAATTTAAAAATGTTTAATGTGAATTTAAAAAAATACTTTATGAATACTCAAAATGCATAGTCATGCAATTTTAAGACAAGAATGTAAAAGTACAGAAAATTGATTCAAAAAACGAATAATCATAAAAAGTTGATATTGTATATAAATAAATAAATAAAATATATAAATAAATCTTCAGCAAACAAAATGAAATGATCCCTAATTCAATCGTTTCGTTATACTCATGCCATTATCTTTTTTATTCCCAGGAAGGTGATGGTCTCGGGATGTTGGGACGGTAAGATTCGCATCTATTCATGGAAAACGTTAAGAACACTAGCAGTGCTAACAGAACACAATGCTTTTATCACCGATATACAATTTTCTCCTGACAAGGTATCCTTTTGGGGCGCTAATATCATGGCTGCCAGCGGGAGCGACGGAGTTATCAGCTTATGGGACTTGTACAATCATTGATTGAACCATTTTATCAAAAGCAAAAGGTGAGTATAGTTGACGATATACAGGATTATTCATAAGTCTGGAATCGGTCGAATATCTTGGGAACCTGTGGACCGATATTCACCAGATTTTCAACAGAACCAGAGTCGATCACCCGCACGGGTATTGTGCATCTTGAAAAGTGACATTAGGTCGTTTTTTTGACAACGTAGGTTTTTTGACATAACAGGTTTTTCTACAAAATGTTAACTTAGCACTAGCTGATGGACACTTCTTGTGAACTCGTTTTATAGTTGCCTAAATGTCATGATGCTTCAGTTATCAATGTTTGGCTCTGATATATATATATATATATATATATATATATATATATATATATATATATATTTTGAGACGTGGTCATTGTCGTCTAGACCAGTTAGGTGAAAAATTAAAGCTTCCGCCTTTTGTTGGGTACTTCGACAAGATTTAAGCAAAGAGGACTCTTTATACTTTTTTTAATTCTCTCTAGCTTTCAATGGACTTTGCCATCATCATCAGGAGCTGCAATTACAATGATAACAGTAGCAACAAGGGTGTAAAATGTACTGTAAGTTGAGACAATTTAAATTCATTTTACACCCTTGTTGCTACTGTTATCATTGTAATTGCAGCTCCTGATGATGATGGCAAAGTCCATTGAAAGCTAGAGAGAATTAAAAAAAGTATAAAGAGTCCTCTTTGCTTAAATCTTGTCGAAGTACCCAACAAAAGGCGGAAGTTATATATATATATATAGGGTGTCCGCAAAGTTGGGGTTTTCCTTTACACGAAGTGTAGATCTTGAAAACATAAGCAATTTTTCTTAGTACCATATACACCAATGTCTTAAGGGAACCGAGATAAAGGGCTCTGCAACATCAAAAATATCTGAATACCGTCCTGTAGCCGCGACTCGCGATATCCCCAACTGTTACCGGCTACTAGCTCAACCCGACGACAGAACTGGGTCGAGGGTCGGGGTCAGTGTGTCAGGTCAGTATGCAACCTTCAACCGACGGTTACGGTCATGCCTGTAGAGGTAAACGAACTCGTATAATCGATTGCGTTTCAAAAAACAACAAGCACTAGAGACGTGGCTAGAGAAGTGCAAGTATCAAAAACTAAAGTGTGACAAACGCTGCGTGAAGAGGGGCTGTATCCGTTTCACGTCCAACGTGTACAAGCCCTTCAACCTGACGATTTTCCAGCAAGAGTGCGGTTTTGTGAGTGGATGTTGCATCAACATGACAATAATCCGGACTTTTTTTCATAACGTTTTTTAGTTTTAAATGTCCACATAATGCTTGCTAACGGATAATGCAGTGGTAACAGAGAAATTGCGGAAAACTTTCATCTTTACGACATAACCCTTATCACGACCCACCATAGCTGGAGCGCCATCGGTTGTCAAGCCTACCATTTTCAATATTGGAATTTTCTCAGAAGAAATAATATTTCTAAAAGAAAAAAACAAGTCCCAGTGGTCTGCCCTTTTAGTGGAATAAACTTCAAAAGATCTTCTTTAATTGTAAAATCACTAAAAACCATTCTGACGAACACGGCCATCTGAGAGGTGTCAACGACATCTGTGGATTCATCCAGCTGCAGTCAAAAATAAGCACAGTTATCGAAGTCATTTCTTAACTGTAAAACGATATCATTGCTCATTACTTCTACTCGTTTCATCACTGTATTAGCAGAAAGTTGCATAGATTTTATAGCAGACACTATCTCGTCCATATTTCTAAAGTTGGCAAATAATGAATCTGCAGCTTCTAAAAACGCCTGTTTTATCATTTCCCCGTCTTCTTTTGGGTAATTATCTGGGACACCCGGTATGATGCTTCAGTTGCAGCCTTACTTTTGTCGATTGTTTTTAACAACATTGCCTGTTGTCCAATTAACTGATTTTTTAATTGTCTCATTTTTTCCCTTCTGGTTGCAGAACATAATGGGAATGATTTTTTAAAATTCGAATGTACAGTTTTGTAGTGCCTCTCGATATTCCCTTTTTTAGCAACGGAACCAGATGTATTACATAACAAACACATTTTTACCTTCAACTTCTGTAAAGGAATATTGTTCTTCCCATTCCGAATGGGAATATTCTTCTACTTAATTGCAGGCCAACTCTAACCCAACCGCTGGACGCAGTTCTGTTTTAAACTGAGCGCACTGTCGCCGCGCCTTGCGTATTTATTCCGTTCAAAGTAATCGAGATCGTTTTCGAACAGATCGCTCACCGCAGTGTTGCCACTGCTTGTGTTTATTATGAGAATTTACAAAATTGACGGAAGCTTCTATGATTTTACACCTTTTTAAAATATGTTGTGAGCCACCAGAATTGCCTTTGCGAGCTACCGGTAGCTCGCGATCGACGGTTTGGCGACTACTACTCTAGAGTGTCATGTCCCTGAGCTACTCATTTTTTATATGGCCTGCCCCCTCATGCACCTGCTTTTTATTCGATGTTATACGCTCCGAAATAGTGGGCATTACGAAAATGACAATGTGTCAAGATTATTGGGTTATGTTTTTAACGTTTGTTTTTCATTAAATTCGCATAAAACATAAAATCGCGATTTGTTAATGATAATAAAAGCTCTTGTAATGTGTATTGGTTCAATGATCATGTAAGAAATATGAGAGAGACTTTGACGTTCCTAACAGAGCTTCATAAAAACGATGCTACTTTAGTTAGTACGGATTGCTTGAAAAATTTTAAATACTGTTACAGACAAGAAATTGTCAAAACTAAGATTAAAGCCGACGATAACTACATTAATCCAACAACAAACAACATGCTGCCTGGAATATCATAAAGAATGTTAAGCCGAACGCACTTAACCAGGACACCTCAACATCTCTCACGGCACATCAATTCAACGACTTTTTTGCCCATATTCCACAAAAACTTTCAAATAGAATTACCACATCTGATGTCTCTCCATCGCATTATATGGATCATCCTACTCGTACTTTCGATTCAGAGAAGTTACATATAATGACGTGAGAACAGCTATAAATAAAGTAACAAAACTCAGAATAACTGACCTATATGGCTTACTGTCAGTATTGTTAAAACCTTGCAAACCATTATATCCTCTAACCAAGTTATTCAATCACTGTATAGAAAGTAGTACTTTTCCGGATTTATTCAAACTATCTAAAATTATACTCATTTTCAAACAAGAGTTATGTAACTACAGGTCCATTTCCTTAATACCTATTTTTACAAAAATTTTGGAATTACTGTTGAAAGATCAAATTAATGAATAATTTGACTAATAAGTTAACCATCAATGAAACGAAGTCTCAGATGATCATTCTTAGCCTGACGCAGCACGACACCAATACACTAAAATCCGTGAAGTTACTAGTGGTTTACATTGATGAATACTGGTTGTGGTAAACTCACATAATCCATGTTCTCCGTTCATTAGCAAAATATATGTTATATACAGGGTGGCCTATCCATGTGTGGACGGAATATTACTCATAAACAAATACATTTTGGGAAAATCTATTTATGGGATGTTTAAGGGCGCATTTCTAAAATATTGGGCATTATACAGGGTGTTCCAATTTCGACCTTCATATCAAAGTTGTTGTTTTTCAAATGGAATGCCTCAAATTTTATTACATATTTGGAAAAACCAATTCAAAAGAAGAAAATTGATATAACATACTATGGGGTTTTGGTAATTACCTACTGAGATATAAGGTGTTTTGTCTAGAAAAACCCCCCACTTCGGCAACCCCTCAGTCCGCCATTTTGAAATTTGGAGTGCTGAATTTTGTATCAAAAAAAAAACTTACACACCTCAGCTTTTATCTTATTTGTTACTTTTTCGAATTCTCATTTTTGCTCATACAGGGTACTCAAAAATGCCAATCACTTAGGTGGTAGACGCGGAGATACCACCAGGCGGATCTCTAAGGCCGGACCAGAATGCAGACGTGTAACCCCCTACAGCCCCACGGTACCCATTGGCTTTAGGCCTTCGTGGTAGTTCAAGAACAAAAAAAAATTAGCGAATATAACAGTGTTCCTAGACCTGGGCTCGTCTAGCCTCTTCAACCTTCTACTCGAGTTTTCTTGTGAATGTTTATAACAATATTTTATGTCTTACCATTTTAATGTATAATATGTATGAGTATATATGCATTATGTGTATATGTATATGTGTGTATGTATGTAAAAAACTGATAATGTTATGACGCAAAGTCACAACGTACATTTGAGATGATCCTGGATAATAAAGATCGCAAGAGAGTGCAAGAATGCAGGTTCCTTAATGTTGTACGAAATTTAGCACAAAAGTTCTTATCGTGACAGACGGCCTTCAGAAAGAAAACTTTAGATAAACCTCTTAACTTTTGAGCTGCAGGATGTTGAAGTTTTAAGAAAAAAATCGTTTTCTTATTATAACTTTAATACTGTTCTTAGATATTTTCATGAAATTTGACATGCACGTACTAAGCACCAATAGGAATTGTTTGATGTATACTGGAGAAGAAACCAATGGAATTATCGTCAACACATACATCTTAAATCAATCGATTTAGAAATAACTTTTTAAAGAACTTTATTGAGGTCTGTACGTACAGACCATACAAATTACAAGTTACAAATTGAAATGACTATTACAGAGTCTAATCAGATATTGAACACACTACAAATGTCGGGGAGACTATTTACACAATTTTAGATGCTAATTAAGAATCAGCAGAAAATAGATAATAACAACAATGGACAAACAACATACTGTAGAAAAATAGAGACACTAGATAAGCAACTGATTAGCGAGAAGTTATCTTATGCTGACGCAGCGTTTGGTGACACATTGTATGCTAACACTTAATAACTGCGTAGTTACCAAGGGCATATAACATACATCCTCACCATGCCCCTATGCACTGCCGTTTCCTTCCAGCTATATTTACAACTTAGACCTCCAGTAATGCCATCTCTGAAGCAGATGTTACATCACATCAGAGCCATACATTGATAGCTGAAGCATCATGACGTTTAGGCAATACGTACAGCTACGGACCGAGTGTACAACAGCTAGTGCTAAGTTGACATCTTGTAGAAAATAATGTCAAAAAACGACATGATGTCTTTTTTCATAATAAGTAATACCTGTGCTGATTTCAAATTGGCAATTATAATATTGGCTTGCAAGTTTTGTGGTTTTCTACAGTAGACTTCAGAAGGCCCCAATGAAGTCTGACACTTTTAGGTTTGGTGGGGCAACAAGTGTGGACATTTGACAGATATTGTTTCAACTTGATCAGTTTTACAGAATTAAAAATAATTGTTCGACACCCAATTCACATTATGAAGTTAATTTTGCTATTGTCCCACCGTAAAGATCTTTTAATTTTTGTCACTTATCTTACCTCCACAATCCATCTGCAGATCTCATCAGTCACTATGGAGTTTTGAAATCAACTCGGAAGCTTCATGACCGTCTTGGATATGGCACAGATTACACCTCCAGTTACGTTCTACTTCTTTTGTTATATTCCCTGGTGGTCATTTTCATACCATTGGTGACTTGGCACATTAAGTGTACTCAAATTAGATATCGCCGTACTTGAGTAAAAAGCAGTAAAGTTCATTTACAAATATACGTTATCATTATTTTTATAAATATTTGATCCGAAAGGAAAATTTGGAAAAATATTCTTCGTTTAACTTTACAGGGTGTTAATTAAGTAGTATGTACCATAAAATTAACAGACGATTCTTTGAGTAATTTTGTGACAAAAAACTCATATAAGCATAGGTCCGCAAATTCTTCATACTCAAGATTAAAAATGATTTTTCTTAAATATCCTTTACCTAATTTTGTTGTAATTTGGCTAGTTTAGCCCTAACTTGATTAAATGTATCAAGTTCAGTGGCGTCTCGAGCGAGATCTGAATGAATATTTATGGCAAAAAACTGTACGACACTGACTTTTGTGCAATTTTATAATGTCCTTTGAATAAAGTAAATGGAAATACAACTTTTTTGTCTCTTGAATTTTTTTCGTATCTTAGTTTTCGAGAAAAAAAGTCCACTTTAATTGCATATCCTTGGATCTCACGAGGAATGTGGGAAAAAGTTTCATTTGGAATTTTTTTTTTAATTTTTTTTATTACTAATTATGCTAATGTTATTTAGTTTTTGTTGTCAGAATAATTACTAGTAAATAATTATAAAACTTTTTCCATATTCCTTGTGTGGTCCGCGAATATGCCATTAAGTGGACTTTTTTCCTCGAAAATTAAGTTACGAAAATAATTCAAAGAGACAAAAATAATTGTATTTCTATTAGCTTAATATAACAATAAAAATGGTACAAAAGTTAGTGGCGTACATTTTTTTTTGTCACAAATATTCGTTCAGGCCCCCGCTCGGGGCTAAATTAGCTCTTTAGTTGTTATGAATACCACCGCCAAATTTCAAAAAAGTATGTAAAGGATATTTAAGATATTTGTAAAAAAACATTTTTTTTTTAAATTTCAAGACCCTGATCTTAAGAACGAAGAATTTACAAACCTATGTTTATATGAACTTTTTGTCTTAATCAACACCATGTATAAGAAAACAGGCTGTTTTTACTTTATTTACCTATATAGTTAATAATTTATGTGAATTTCAATATAAACAAATTATATGGAAATAAGATACTGCATTACTGGGTTCTTTTGAAAAAATAATATACTTTATAAACACTACACTACAAATTTGTTTTTGCAGAGTGTAAAAGCAGTAAATCACATGATTTAGCAACTAAAGTCGGCGGGTCATTTATTTTAGAGCTCAACAACAATTATGATCCGAAATCACATGTAAACAACTCTCTAAAACTTCATGTAACTTTGCAATATTCGTTCACCTTTGTTAGTTCTTAGTAAATACTACTTGTTCGAAAAAATCCAGAATTTTCTTTTCGATTTTTACACCTTTTACTACAGTACGGCAATATAAGTTACATGTACTCTCAAAATTGAGTTAAATTAGTTTTACTAATGGGTGATTCATATAGAGGAGCTTTTTCCACGTCTGTGTCGGGTTATCTGTTTGATCAAACAAAAATGTGGTTAACGCCATCCATCTTGGAGTTCCAGTTTTCAATGACGCGTCTGTGTATTTCGAGTAATATTTAGCGAACAACACCTGTAATGCTGATTTCTTATTCATCAATCGTACTCTATTATCCACGTAGACATATCTCCAAAGTAAAAACTCCATATCACATGTTTTAAGGCCGGTCCAGACGCCCAACTTTTTTTCTGCACAGTCTTCGGACGGAATGAAAACGTTGCAATTTTCAAAGCGTCTATATGGTGCAAATATGTCTGTATTTCGCTCAGTTTTGTATGATATCGTCATGGAAGAGGCACTCTGGTCAATTTTGGCATGGTGTCTCGTTAAGAAAAAAGTTTGGAACGTCCCAGAAGTATCTGACGTCCAAAGTTGCCGTTGCATGAATTTCTTTGAATTTCTTCACTAAACTCTCACAAGCCTCTTTATTCCTGTCACTATACTCCCTGGACTTGACACGCCAAATGCATGGGAAACTTTTGTACAATGCAATAAATCTGTCGCCTGACGAATCGTAACTGAGAAACAAAATGAATCGGAAAACGGTGCTACCTGCTGATATCTATGCTCTTTCGCTCAGTTATCGCTGCGCCGGATTCAAAACTACGCACTTTTCCAATCTACACGCAACATTTATCTGCAGCGTGTTAAACTGTGCAGACAGAAGGTTGTGCAAATCGTAGCATTTGGACCGGCCTTTAGGGGGACAAGTTATCAGCCGAATTGAAATTGGAATTTCAGAATGGGCCGCACTGAGTGTAGTAACAAACGACATTTGAAAGGAATACTCCTAAAAAACCAAGTTATAAGAATGTGTTTTCTTCGATAATAAAGATAACCCGATAACTTTGATTGTTTAAATATTACTTCCCACGCCTTCTGTCGGGGAAGCATTGTAATCGCAAAGTATTTCTAAATGAATCGCCCGTCATAAGTTTTGTAAAGTTTAACTATTAGAATTTTATGTCTTTGTGTTTTCAGATAAATAAAATATCAAATGTAAATGGAACATTGAGTGTTGAAAGAAAGTATACATGGCTGTGTAGTACTTCCGAGTATTCCTATGCAAACATATACATTGGTAGCTGCATCATAAAAGACAGTTTTTGCTTTGCATACCAACCTCTGTTTATACAGGGTGGCCAAATAGTGTGACAAAGCTCAGTATCTTTGTTACTATTATAGTTGCAGAAACAAGTTCAATATAAATGTTGTAGGCAGAGCTAGGGGCTACAACCTAAATATTTGTAGCTTATACTATACAAATTAATGGCAATATAAACATACTTTTTTAAATGGGATTTCTGACGATTTTTAGAATCGCATTTTCTTGGCCATTCTGCCAATGTATGGTTTCGGGAGTTTGTACTGGGTGTTTCGGAATATATGGCCACTTTTTCGTTAAAATCATGTGACTTTCCGTATCTTAAAAAACATTTTAGACAAAATCTGTTTTCTTTTTTTTTTTTTTTTTTTTTTTTTTTTTTTTTTTTTTTATATCGAAACAGCCGCGCAGGCAGAAGCCTAAATGCCGGAACACCGCGGCTGCTATGATGATCCCAAAGAAATTTTGTTAATACGATTTTTGAACTGCTTAAGGTTAGTAGAACTGGGAAAAGCTTCCTCCCGTAGTTTGTTCCACAATCTAGACACCCTCGGGACAAAGGAGCGGTCGTATCGGCCAGTTCTGGATGTACGAAGTTTGACACGGTTAGGATGGGACGCCGAAGTCAGGCGGGTCTGTCTGGCAGGCACATCGCGCGGCGGCATCATGGAAGAGAGCTCTGAGGAGCAAAGCCCGTTGGTGTAGCGATAGAAAAGAGCTAGATCGCCGACGGCCCGCCGATGCGAAAGAGTCCCGAGACTGTCTGTTAGAGAAGAGTCATCATTATACTGAGTGATGGAAACAGTGGTAGATATTCATATTAAACGTTTTTTATGTACATAATTCATTCGAGGCATACTGGGTGAGTCAAAACAGAAAGATGTAATTTTCTCGAATAATTTTGGAATTATTAGGAAAATATCCATCATTTAGTGATAAAACAAGAAAAATCTATTAATTAAATTATGTCGCTAGTGATTCAAAAAATGTAATGTATGTATGATGATGATAACTAACTAAATCTATTTTTCTGATCAACTAATTGTTCAAAGTGCCCACCACCAGCATCAATACAAGCTTGTAACCGACGTTTAAATGATTCGGCAACATTTCTTATCAGTTGGTGGTTAATGCTCTGAAAAACTTCCCGTATCCTGTCTTGCATATTAGCTCTTGTCGTAGGTGGAGTCTTATAGACCCATTCTTTAACGCAACCCCAGAGACAATAGTCCATTTTCGTTAAGTCGGGAGACCTGGGTGGCCATCGGACTGGCCCTGTTCGTCCTACCCACCTCTGAGGGAATTCCGCATTTAAATAATTATTTATTGTTTGTGTGTGATCTGTGGGAGCTCCATCATGAAGAATCCACATTATTTCCGTTCTGGTAGATGTCTTTATAGATGTGGTGAAATTTTCTGAAAAGTCTCGATAAGCTTGTCCGCTTAATGTAGCATTGAAAAAATGTGGCACTATAACATAATTGCCAATTATGCCACCCCAGACGTTTAAGACCATCTTTCCTGGCTGTGTATTAACACTGCATAGGGCTAATCGTTTTCGCTTAGCTCTTGGTGCAATCGTATATGGTAGGCGTGCATTTTATTTTTGAAGTATTACTGTGCACCGATGATTTGTTAATGTCAAAATCTTTTGAAATACGCCGGATACTCACATGAGGATCTTCAATTACGCGGAGCATAACTTGAAACACAATATCTTCCTGTAAAACTGGTTCACTCTTTCTTCTCATATGCCACACTTCCTGTACACTCGCAACGCTCCATTAGATTATCGAGAGTTTTCCTACACCTCATCGGTCTGGGTGACGTTGATTATACAATGTTATTGCCAATAAAGAATTTTTGTCATTTGCTCCTAGCGCATAAATCATATCAACCATTTCATTTTATTTCTAAGCGAAACTGAAACAAGCAAAACTTTACTACCGAAGTTTATGATGACTTTTTTTTTCAAAAAAGCATGGCCAACCTATATTTTTGTAATAATTCTAATATGTATTATCATGGTTTTCACTTATAAAACATGGAATATCTCAAAAAATACTAGGTTTAGGTATAGGGAATGCTGAATAAAACTGAAAAGGTATCAAGAGACCCGTTGAATACTGATATAACATACAGGATGTCGCATTTAATTTTTTAGAAAAAATACATCTTTCCTTTTTGACTCACCCTGTACGCCGCGGATGAAACATGTACGTAAAAAACATTGGATATGAATGTCAACCACTGTTTCTATCACTCAGTATAATGAAACAGTTTTATCTAAAGCGTGTTGAAGATACGGGAAGTTAAATGTACAGGGTGTCCCATTTAAAAAATACAAGTTTATATTTCCACTGATTTATGGGACACCCTGTATAGCTAAACATAATTTTAGGTTGTAGCCCTTAGCTCTGCCTACAACTTTTGTATTTAATTTTCTTCTGCAACTGTAAGAGTAACGAAGATATTGAGCTTTGACACACTATTTGGACACCCTGTATAAACAATATATTTGGGCTTTACGTTTTTTTTTGTTAGATGTTTCGTGGTATAAATTCCGCAGTTCCATCATTTGCTTTTTGAAGTAAAAGCAATGTATTTGAGAATGTAAAAAAAACGGGCTTCTGCAGAAGCCTATTTTTTAGAATTTTTTTAAAAACTCCTATTGTGATTAATATTTAATTACATGTACAAATTGGACCAATTTTTTTGATTTAAAACATTTTTTTTCAATTGAAAAATGGTCTGTTATCCGCAGTATAATCCCTTCTCTTTCGTATCTCTAAATATCTGTTGAGCCCTTACATTTTATGTATATATTAAAATTCCGAGTTTATATTACAAAAAATAAATGAGTTATGCTGGAACTACGTGTATGTTTTCATAGGAATAGGCGGAAGTGCAGCGGAATAATACGCGATTAAATTTCATGTTTTTGTACATTACTGCGAATTCGATTTATTATAACTTTATTGTTATTCTCATAAGACTCTAGGCCCTAATCAATATTATAGACAGAAAACTAACACAAGTAGATGATATATGAGAAATCAGACAAAAATGTGATAATTTACACTAGAATTATGTAAATAGATTCAGTTATCAAATTTTAGTTTTATTTTCAGAAAGGCCCCCTTTTTATTTTTTGAAAAAGTGAAATTGGCAAGCTGAAATTTGTGATAATGAAAATGTTGCGTAGATACTATATTTTGGCGTAAAAATAGTATTACATCTCAGGATGGCGGATGGGCGCTATCTTGGAGCAGGTAGCCTGATAACGCATAACTCATTTTGAAGTTCCTTATGCGTACTTTGTTATCCTAGAAAAGGCCAATATCTTTCAATGGAGAACTGACAGATTGTTCATAGAAAGTTGGTTCTAACTCAAATTATCGAATTTTAAAAAAGTGTTACATTTATCCCTAAAAAGGGACTTTTTGGCGTTTCTCTTGAGAATGGGTATTTTTTCTCATACTGTTGAATAAAGTGGAATTTCTTGCGCCCGAGTGAAGATTGAAACACTCATGAACGTTATTGCGTCAAGTGGCTTGCAGTAAAAATTTGCTAGTTTGACATTATGTGCTTAATAAACAGATCCAAGTTACTACTCTTAATATAGGGGTGTATTCCAGAGGCGTAACACCAAAAGCATTTTTTGGTTTGGTAAGAAATGCTATGGTGCTGGCCAACATTGCTATTCATCTTTTATCTGGAATTTTTTATTTTTCTCATTCAGCAATGGCGCACGCGTCTTCATTGGAAATGTTTTCCAATAGGTAATAGACTATTAAATTGTTAAACAACATCAAAGAATTTATTGATTAACATTATGACAAAAACTAAAAGTTCTTCTTACAGTACGATTGGATGCTATTATTTATTCATTCAAGATTCTGGATGAAAGGGTTCTCCTGCGCTTTACTTCCTGCAATGTTTTTCGGCCCGACCTTGTATTTTTTTTTCGATTATCCCCTCCAAGTAGTATACGAGTATTTCCCCGGTATACTGATATCTACGACTTAAACGGTCATCGAAAATCGATCATCATAAATTAAAGCTAAATCATTCACTAAACGACCTTCTCCCAATAATGTTGTATAATTCACTCGTTCTTTTCGAAAAAGTTGAGGCATTTTTGAGAAAATAAAATTATACTGTCTACAGTCAATATTATTGTTACTTAGCAATTGCATGTTTAAGTGGAGTACGTGTCGAGTTTTAGCCAACCTTCGAAAAATTTGAGATATCACATTTTAGTCCAAAGTTCAAAAAGATGCATAGAAAAATTTACAAGATCAAAAATTGAGAATCTGAAATAGCCCAAATTTTGCTAAAAAAAACATGACTTCCTTTGTTCACCCTGTGTAAGTGGATAGTGGATAAATAAAAGAAAGATACCGATCGAACCTTGTGTTCTCAAACAGTTTATCAAGAACCTCCCGAATACAGCAACTCGGTATCTCTTTCCGTTCCGAAAATATCGAGATTTGAATTTGCAACTGTCCACCAGTTTAGTAAACATGGACCAATTTCTCGAATTTCAGCTTGCTAAGGTCAAAAAAACTAGGGGAGGGGCCTTTTTGAAAAGCAATGTATGTATGCTAACATTCATTTTATTTTAATTACGTTAGCATTTGAATTTTGTGGCTAACATTCAGTTGTGATTAAGAGCAAGTTGTTATGGAACTGTGACCTCAAGTGTACCTGAATTATGGATTTATTTTTATTTGTGAGAGCACTTTTGTGATACATTTTTTCTTCAATGATAGACATTGAAAACTGATTACTCTAGGTTGCGAAATAAAAACACGTATCAGTATAAAAATGTTTTTATGTCTTATAAAAAATATTTTCCTCGCTTCCTCTCATTCTAACAAATTAAAAATGTAACCTAATAATTACAAATACAACAACAAAAATGTTAAAAAAAGTGTACAAAACTTCCATGAAGGCACAATAAACATTTATTTCGTATTTTGTTTGGTTTTACTCATATCTGAATATTCAGCTTCACCTTATCACGTCCTAATTAAATCCTTATACGCTTGTTATTATGCTAATGAGATTTCCACTCTACATTATAAAATAAATTACATTAGCAAATAAATTTACCTGCTGTATAATGAAAAATGTTCAAGCATTACAATCTCAATCAGTTAACAGGAAAAGTACGTGGTGTTATTTTTGTCTGAGCCCACAAACCAATGTTGGGACTCTTCTTTACATGGCGTATAGATCTTGTAGCATAAAAACCAAAGTCTTAAAATAACCGAGGCGCCAGCAGCCTAGGTATACAAAACATTGAAAAAATTGCACACTCCTACAGCAATATTCGAACTTGTCGACATGATTTTTATTTATGGTGAGTCTTCAAAATGATACCGAGGCTTCGCGAGTGAATGCAGATCGCTTTCCCACACCTTATAATTCAAGCCCGCGACTTACAGACACCAGATCTTCACACTTGTGGAATTGCATTTCGCTTGACGACCATTTTAAATCATCATTCGAAAATCTTTTGGTCAGTGCAAATCGCTGCATTAACTCTGGAGACTATTTTGAATAAAATAATTTCGATTTTCCCAAGCGCAAATAAGGTATGCACGATGCAATACGCCGATGACTCTAGTGTACTGGTCTCTGGCCAACCACTTAGCTAGAAGTACTTTGAACCTCTGCGAGAAAGCTTCTTTGTTGTTTGCTCGTTATGGATTATCCCTGAATACCTTGAAAACAAATTCGCTTATTTTCAAGCTAAAAAAAAAAAAAAATCGAAGCTACGAACATCACTTTAGCCGAAAGAATAGAAGTCCCGATGACGGACTGTGGGAAATTCTTGGGAGTTTATATTGACCAAGAGCTTTCCTGGCCTAAAAATATACATCTAAAAAAAAAGGGACCTCGGTTGGCCGGGTGGGTCAGATGGATGTTGTGGCGTCGTGTGTTTGTCAATTAGAGATTTACATAGGGTAGGTGGGGGTAAAAGTCCGCATGGGGTAAAAATCCTCAATAGTGTAGTTAGAAACTCTCTTATTGTTTTCTACCCAGCGATGCATGTCTCGGTCGGTATCTGGCAGAAGTGGCAACAGCGTGAACACGTGATCTGTACATCGTTATACGTGATATGAGGTAAGTTGTGAATTTCTCTGCTTTAATCTAATATTTTTCAATATAGAGGTGAGGATTATGTGTCTTCAAGGCATCTGCTGGAGATTTTTTCAGTAGCTTTAAAAGACTAGTATCATCGACAACACGTTTCCAAAAACTAAACTTAATTTGAGGTTATGTTTTTCACACCAACCTTGATAAATCTGAAGTGTCGTTATGGGGCAAAAGTCCGCATGCCTAATGGGGCAACGATCCGCTAAGATCATTTTCCCGTTCCATGCGGATGTTTGCCCCGTTTTTGTTGATGAAAAAATCAACCGTTTGACCGAAAAGTGTAAACTGTAAATCGCTTTTTTCAGGACCTATGTAAGAAAAAAAGAAAACCTAAAGCCACTCACCGAGTATGTGCTGATACAGGCTAAAGAGTTGAGAGAAAAGGGGCTATCATTTAGGGAAATAGGAAGAGCCCTTGGCTACGATGAATCAACTATTCGAAAGAGGATAAAAGCTGGCAGTGGCGTAAATTCATTAGGGCGGTTTCGAAAAGTATTTACTGCAGTGCAAGAACAACAGATGGTGAACCATTGTAAGGCATTGGACTTACGTTTCTACGGACTTACCTTGAAGTCGCTCCGCTTTCTGGCATATCAGTTCGCACACAGAAATGGTATCCCTCACCCATTTAATAATGAAACTAGACTAGCAGGTAGAGATTGGACGAGACAATTCATGAAAAGGAATCGACTTTCATTGCGTACCCCTCGAAAAACTAGCGTAGCTAGAACAATGGGATTCAACCAGCAGCAATTGTCTCAGTATTTCGAAAATTTGAAATATGTCCTTGAGAAGTACAAATTTCCAGCTAACAGAATTTACAACATGGATGAAAGTGGATTTCAAACCGTCCCAAGTAAATTACCGAAACATGTGGCTCCCACTGGAAAAAGAGAAGTAGCCAAAAATGTAGCTGCTGAGCAGGGAAAGACTGTGACAGTGGCATGCTCTATGAGTGCAACGGGTCACTATGTTCCACCATTTTTTATTTTTGCGCGAAAGAGATTAAACTCTCTTTTGATAAAGGATGCTCCAAGTGGTTCAGCTTTAGGTGTAACGGACTCAGGATACATGAATTCACTAAGATTCGTAGATTATTTAGAGCATTTTCGCAAGTACACAAATCCTACTTTTGACAGCCCTATACTGTTGATTCTGGACAATCACATTTCTCATACCAGCCTGCAGGCGATAACCTACGCAAAGAATAATAATATACACTTGCTCAGTCTTCCACCACATAGTAGTCACCGTACACAGCCCTTGGACAGAAGTTTTTTCAGGCCACTTAAAGGTTACTACGATGACTTGTGTGATAACTGGACTACCTCGAATCCTGGACAAGTAGTAACAGAATATCATGTTGCTGGACTATTCAAGCAGGCCTATGAAAAAACTGCTAGTATTGAAAAAGCCGTTAATGGATTTCAGATGACTGGAATATACCCACTCAATGAAAATATTTTCACTGAAGAAGACTTTCTTCCAGCTTCTGTGACCGAACAGGAGATTGACGACATAGACGACCTGGACAAAAATGACCCTGACATGCATTTAGTGATTGTATTTGAAGAAAACAAGCCCGAAGGCGATAACGAAGGGGGAAATGTAGCAGAGGGCATAGGTGAGGAGGGCACCAGTAGAGAGGGCAGTAGTGGAGAGAGCAATAGAGGAGAGATAAATAGTGGAAATGGCAATAGTGGAGCAATAATGCTCGAATCTAATGAAAAGAAAAATAATGTACCAGACAACTCCCTAATTTTGTCGGAAGCATCGTGCTCCTCACACTGTGAAGGTAGTGTTGTGCTACCTTCTGATATTATTCCTCTCCCTATAATTTCTAAAAAGAGAAAGCGGACGAGAAAAGGACTCAAATCTACTTTACTCACTTCCACTCCAAACAAAGAGGAATTAGAAAATATAGAGCAAGAAAAGAAAAGAAAAATGGAAGAAAAGGAAAGAAAAGCGAAGATTAAAAGGGATAAAAAAGTAAAAAGAAACGTGTTCAAAGAAAAACAAAATCTCACAAGAAAAAATAGCGAGACCTCATCGGAATCCGAATCAGGACTTTCCCTTCACGATAGTAGTAGCGATTTGAATCTTTCAACCAGTGATGATGAAACAGTCCGTGAATTTACCCCAGGACAGTTTGTCGTTGTCAAAGTATACGGAAAAAACAAAAAATCATTTCGCCATTACGTGATGCGGATTATTGAAGTGATGGAAGATGGTTGTAGCGGAAGGTATTTCAAAAAAGCGTCCGATACACAGAGATTCATTGAAACTACTGAAGAATTCTTTGTCAATAAGTGTGACATAGTAAGTAGACTCCCCATGCCACAGACAGGCAGTTCCGCCAGGTTCAAGGATTCGGTTACGTTTTCAACAGACTTGAGCAACTTTGTTTTGTTATAAATATTATTTCTTTTGTATTTTATAAAATACTATGTTTTTCTGGAAATATATTCTTCAGTTATGTGACATGCAGTTTTCATTTTTTGGAGGTACTTTCTGAAAGGGGCAAAAGTCCTGAATGCGGATTTTTACCCCCTTCCAAGGGGCAAACGTCCGGATCATCATGTTTTGGTATGACACTTTTTCACAAACATACATCCGTATATTTTGCATTTGATTCATGTTACAAGTCAAGAGTATTAATAGTTCTAACATGTCAACAAGTTTGAAGTTCGTGTTATAGACGAATGCGTCACAAGCAACTACAAATGCTAAAATGCGGATATTTGCCCCCACCTACCCTATATAAATATAAAAGTCTGTGGCTGTGGTTTACAACCTGATGCCAACCAGCTAAAGGTAAATAAAATCTAGAAAAAAGGTTAAACAAGAACCCAATTCCCGTTCGTTGGGCATTCGCAGTGCAGCAGCCGACCACTGAACCACGCCGAGGATAGTGAGACCGAACGCGACACACGACCACGCGACACGCGCGCGACCGACGCGCGGACACGCGGAACAAGCGCCGGCACGTGAGGGTGACGCCCACCCAAAGGCAAAGCCTAAATCGGGCGTACCGAAAACCTTTACACAGTTTCCTCTCGTCGGAAATTGTGTAAAAGGGGGACCAAGCGAAAAAGGACGCAAACAAAAACCCGCGAAGTGCAGTGAGCCCGAAAGGGCACCAGTGCACTAGAATTACACAATTTCCAGCGCGCGCGGCACAACTGGAAATTGTGTAAAAGTCGAACTTTAACGAAAAGTCGACAGCTAGAAAGAAATGTCGGACGAGGAGAACGAAGTAGAACAGGACACACTCAAAACCGTGGAGAAAATGCTGGACGACGAAGAGAACGTCTACTCATCGTCCAGCGAAGACGAAGAGGGTGACCGAGAAGGGGGCTTTCTCAGGAAACTGAGAAAAGAGAATGACGACCTTAAGAAGCAGATAGCTGAGCTATCTTGCCAGCTGACGGATCTAACCCGCCAGCTGATAGAAGAAAGAAGGGCAAGCGCCGAAGAGCGCGCAAGAACTGCCAGGCTGATTGAGAAACTGGCAGCAAAACAGGGCATCGAGATCGATGCCCCCAAGGAAAAGGCTCAGAGCCAAAAGAAAGAGAAGAGGAGGCATAGCACCTCCTCAGATGAAGGAAAGAAAGAAGATGCCCCCAAGAAAAAGGCACCTAAACACGAGCAAGCGTCCACATCGGCAACTAAGACCCCGGCCGAAGTGGAAAAGATGGACCAGTCCTCCACGCCCAAACCCTCGACGGAGGGAAACAAGAAAAAGGAAAAGAGGCCCCCACCACTGTACATCCATAGGGAAGAACAGTGGAAAGAGGTAGTGAGCAAGAAGTTGCTCACAATTGAAAAGCCTGCACGGCTAACCGGAGTAGGCATAAAAGTCCAGCCGAAGGACAGCGATGACTACAGAAAGATCCGCAAAACGCTCGAAGATGCTAAGATAGAGCATCATACCTACTCCCTACCGGAAGATAAGCCACTGGGAGTGGTAATAAGGGGAATACCGAGAATAACCACCTGCCAAGAGATCGCAGAAGACTTGGCCAGGCAAGGCTTCCACCCAAAGACGGTGAACAGGATGACCAGCAGGAGGACTGGAAAAACCATACCGCTGGTAAAAGTAGATCTCCCGAAGGAAGAGACGGGGATCTACAAAATAAACGCCGTTTGCCACATGGTGATCCAAGTGGAGGCACTAAAGAAGAAGACAGGACCAGGTAAGTGCTACCGATGCCAACAATTTGGTCACAGCCAGATGAACTGCACGGGAGAGCCGCGCTGCGTCAGATGCGCAGGAAAACACAGAGCGGCGGACTGCAAGGTCCCAAATGAAAAACCCGCGAAGTGTATCAACTGCGGGGGAGAGCATCCCGCAAACTTTGGAGGATGCCCAAAGAGGCCGAGTGCAGGGCCAAGGGACAAAAAGACGGCACCAAGGGACACAGCGCGAGCAGCGCCAGCACCCAAAACCATAACTAGGCCTAGTCCAGTCCAGGAGGGCCGTAGTTATGCGTGCCAAGGACAGCGACGTCGAGGAGTTGACCGATTTCGCCACCAAGCACGCATCTCAAATTATGTCACTGGTGATGAAGAACCCGGCGGCCAAAAAGGCGTATTTCGCTCATCTGGAGCAAAAATACGCCTAAACAGAGGGAAGCACTGACCAAAACTCCAAATGGGCACTCCAATAACCATTGCAAATAGGGGCCTGAAGATATTGAGTTGGAACGTCCACAGCGTCTCCAACAAGAAATATGAGATAGGCGAAGTCCTAACAAAAGGAAACTATGATGTAATGGCATTACAAGAAACGTGGCTCTCTGGGGAAATCCCACACTGGACGATACAGGGATACACGACATACAGAAAGGACCGGAACAGAACCGGAGGTGGGGTGCTACTTGCTGTCAAGACCAGCATTACCCACTGGGAACTGGGACTGCCAGAACTAAGATCAGCAGAGGCCGTAGGAGTGACGGTACGCACAACAGACCACGGCCCTCTGAACATCGTTTCGATGTACGTACCACCCACATCGACGATATATCTGGAAGATGTCACCTGTATCACTGCACTGGGAAACAGTACCGTGATCGTAGGTGATCTAAACGCGAAGTCCACCATTTGGGGCTCAAGAAACAGAAACAGTCACGGCGCTGTTCTGGAAAGACTAATGGATGAACCTGGATATACCATGATAGGTCCGGACGAACCTACAATATTCCCCAGCAACGGAGGTAGACCAGACGTCATAGATATGGCGATTCTGAAGGAAATCGACATGCACACCACCATCGGCGCCATGCAAGAGGGAAGCTCAGACCACAACCCCATCTTTCTCTGTATGGGAGATGGGATAACACCTGTGGAACAAAGAACAGTGAAGAGAGTGAATTGGCAGCGGTTTAGAACCAGACTGCACTATTCACAAGGACCACTACTACAGATCGAAAGCCCCGAAGGCATAGAAGAAGCGGTCACGGACCTAGAAAGGAAGATTAAGGCTGCGTTAGAAGCCGCAACCACCGTGGAAGACATAACGCAACCAAACAGGTTCAGGGACCTACCTGACGAGGTAAATCGCAAGACCACCGAAAGAAACAGAGCCCGAAGAGTAGCCCAGGAGACCAGAAGCCCCACGGACATCATGGTGGCAAACAGACTTACGAGACAGGCACGAGACGCCTTGAAGCAGCACCATCAGAGCACCTGGGATAAGAAACTCGACGAACTATCTCCAGCTGACCCAGGAATGTGGAACTTGGCTAAAATCCTCAGAAATAGAAGACAGCACATCCCCCCAATACACAGCGAACAGGGGATGGTGTACACAACCGAAGAGAAGGCAGAAGCTTTTGCTGACAACCTTCAGAGACAGTGTACTCTCAATACTCACCCCGATGAAGACGAAGACTTCATCGACGAGGTGATGAGAAGATCGAGGAGAGCTGTCAGAGGAGGAAGAGCCATCGAAGACATGACCTCTCCAGGCGAGGTAAGGGAAATCATCGAAAGACTCAAGGTGAAGAAAGCACCGGGTGTAGACGAAATTGGGAACAGAGTCCTGAAGAGACTCCCGAGGAAAGCGATAATGGCAATTACCAACATTGTCAACGCCATACTGAGACACCGGTACTTTCCAGATCACTGGAAAGTAGCCGAGGTGATCAACATTCCTAAACCTGGGAAAGACCCAAGGTTCCCCCAAAACTACAGACCCATAAGCCTGTTGACGGCATTGAGCAAGATTGCGGAAAGGGTAATCGAACGAAGACTGAAGAACGAAACCGAAGAACTCCGAGTAGTTCCAGACGAACAGTTCGGATTCCGATGCGAGCATTCAGCAGAGCACCAGGTCCTAAGGCTGGTCGAGATGGCAACGAAATCGTTCCAGACTCGGCGGGCCGTGGGAGCTGTGTTCATGGATGCCGCAAAGGCGTTCGACACTGTTTGGCATGACGGACTGATCTACAAGATGGTAGACCTCGGATACTCAAAGGGGATGATCCAACTGGTGAAGTCCTACTTGAAGCACCGAAAATTCCGAATTAGGATCGGTAAAACAACTTCGACGACGAGGACTGTGGAGGCAGGAGTACCGCAGGGAGCGGTTCTATCACCCCTGCTGTATGCAATCTACAGCTCGGACATCCCGAAGACTCCTCAAACGCAACTGTATGTGTATGCGGACGATACAGCATATGCGGCAGAAAGTACGAGACCCCGCATGGTTACGGAATATCTGCAACGAGCGACCACCAACCTAGAGGAATGGTGCATCAAGTGGAAGATCCGCCTCAACCCCGAGAAGACCGAAGCGGTACTGTTCCGAAGAAATCGAAGATTACCTCAGACCAAAATAAAGATGACGACCACCAGAATGGAGAGAGGCTGGAGAAGAGATGAAGAGGTTGAGGTCGACTGGAAAGACTCCAGCACATACCTTGGAGTCAAGATGGACCAGCAACTCACTTGGAAGAACCATGTCGAAGACCGGGTGCAGAAAGTGAAGATGGCACGCTCCAAACTAAGACCCTTAACGGGCAGAAGAAGCAAAGTGTCACTAAAGAATAAGACCATCATGATTCAGATGGTGCTGCTACAAATCATGACTTACGCAGCAGTAGCTTGGGGCTACGTTTCCAAAACGATGAAGAAGAGGCTCCAAGCTCAACAAAACATGGCACTCCGTGAAGCGGTGGACGCACCGTGGTATGTACCTAACAGAGTGCTATATGACGAACTACGACAGGTACCGGTCGTAATCCAGATGAAAGAGAGGGCCCGAAAGTTCTTTGAAAAGAACGAAAGACATCGAAACGTGCTGATTAGAGACGCCTTGGATTACGACCCAAGAACAATAAGGCGTCACAAAAGACCGAAAAGCCAGCTGCAACAAGAAGATATTTGGCCCTAGCAGCTGATGAGGCCAAAGAAAAGGGGAGAAGACCGACAATAGTTGTACACCCAAGAGGGGAAAGAACAGCCCGTGTACAACGGGTGGACAAAAAGAAGCCTGTCGATTGAGGTGGCCAGAGTCAAGCACGGACTCGGGGCTAACCTCAGGAGACGAATGACTTACAAAAATGACTGACTGACGACGACTGACTGACTCCAGTCGACGAGGAAAGAGCGAAGGCTCACCAACCTTTAGGAGGGGCTTAGGTCAAAAGCCCCCAGCGCAGGACCCCCCAAGAAAAGAGGCCGTCCATAAAGTCGAGAACCGACAGTTGGAAGAAACGTCCACCACGCGCTTCCGCGACGCGTGCGCGATCGAGTCAAATTTCGGGAAAAAGGGGCAAAATTGGGGAAGGGGGGATAGCTCGTTCGGCAGCACACACTCGGGGAATGCGCAAGCGGCCTGAACCACGCAGCGCCACTCCAGGCCTTTGGGCGGGAGTGGGGGGAGGAGCAGATTGCTCTTCCCCCCACTCCTCAAGGGTTTGAGGTTGCCTGGAACAGGGGTGGTGGAGGGACCGCACAGGGTAGGAGGGTGTGTGTGTGTGAAACAAGAACCTAGACCTTAAGACACTAAAAATGGTAGGTGGTGGAACCAATGAATGAACGTCACCAGTTAATGAACATATATTTGAAAATAATAATATTTAGCTAGATCTTACGTTCACTATGCGAGAGAGAGTTAACAATAGAAATTTTGAAGCATAATTTCGTTACTAGACCCTTCTTTCAATATGGCTACCTAATCAGATGAGCTGTCGTAATGGTGCAGGTACAGCGTTATTAATCGCGTTATTCGAGTTCTAGTTTTCTTATAAGCATGCAGGTAAGTCTAATATTGAGTTTAACAAGCTTTATATTTTCATCACATCCTAACTAAAGGGGTTTACTGTTAAAAGTACCATTCTGGAAGCATATTTACTTATAACCTAAAAGCTATGAAAAAACGCGGGCAACTGCAATAAAATCATTCACTGGTATTCCATGATATTTCATAATTCCAGCAAATGAACAGGGCGTTCATACATTGGATATTTCACATAACTTAATTTCAGTAATGTTTTGGATATAGGATCAACTATAGGAGTTGCAGAATGTCTTTTTGTTACTAAAATTATATTGCGAGACATATGTCCAGTAAACGAACGAGGATTCCAATGCAGTTCATTCATTAGATAATATTAATAACATTTTCTCAAACACCATTGACTGAACATACGACTTTTTGTTACTGGTAGGTACTATGATCATGACTTCTCCTTCAGGAAAAAAATGGAAATTCCTAAGAAAAAACCATACCAGCGATTTCGGTATACAGAAGAAACTTTGCACGGAGCCTTACAAATGATAAGAACAAATTTAATCACTCTTTCGGAGGCTAGTAGGCATTACAGTACAATAAACTCACAGGAAAGGTCCCACAAATACGAAAGATGGGGCCTGATACAGAATTGTCTAGAGAAGAAGAAAATATTCTGGAGAAATGGATTTTGTCAAAAGCTTTATTAGGATTTCCAATGCATTCTGATGAGGTGAAAGACTCCGTATAAAAGGTTTTGAAAGAAACGGAACGCGATAATCCATTCAATAATGATAGACCTGAAAAAAAAAATGGTTAGAGCTATTTCTCCAAAGACATCCAAGTATTACTCAACGAAACACAGAAAGCTCGGGCATCAGTGACTGAACAAAGTATCAGGAATTGGTTTGCTGAGGTCAGAGACTATTTAATCATGAAGGAATATTAGAAAATCCACATCGTACATTCAAAACCGATGAAACTGGTATTATGACTAAGTATTTATGCTTTAAGTTCTTTGAATTTTTTTAGTTAATTTCTGTTTTTTGTTGAGAAATAAAAGTTTAATTTTTAAATTATTTTTTTTCGGGATTGGTCCCGGGATAGACATACCGAGCCTCGAAAATCCCGGGATTACAAAAACCATTCGGGATTGATACCCCTAGTAAGGACTGAATCTGTAGAAACACGAATCGCAGCAACAACAAATGGATGATGAAGATTTTGAGGAGAGTGAATTTGAACAGCCCTCCTGTTTTGATGTAATTGCAAGTGCTGGTATTTACAGAGAAGCGATTTAGGTATGGATATTTTCAACACATTGATGGCACCGTTATATCAGTTTAGGCCACTAATGACTCGTTTGCAATGGAAGAAAAACTGGGACATTCTATCATGGGGGAACATACTTTACAGAATACAGTGATGGAGGTGAATACTGTACAAAATCAAACTATGGGCATACAGGCTCGGCAACGCATGTGGATATACAGGCTCGACAACTGCAGCGCGATAGAAGGGATTTAGATGAAGTACGCAAAGTAATTAATGTAGAGGAAAAGTCAATGGAAGAAATATTTCATGAGGAAGGTAATAGGTCTGGTGCAAGTTTGTGGTCAGATAAGCCAATCTTACGTATAAGTAAGAATCCTCTTAAAGAAAAAAAATAGAGTTGCCAGGTTATCTTAGTTTGGCTACAAAAAATTCGAAGACGGTACAATAAAACAAAACTATGTAAAGATATCAATGTCAGTGAAGGAGCGTTGTAGTCACACCTCATCTCGTAAGAAAAGCGAAAGATCTTTTCTTTGCAACATGATATATGGTAAGAAGATGACAGGCAATTTTGAAGAAATTTTCGAACTTTAGTAGCTGGCCTGAAAAGAAAGCATTCGTCAAAGGATTGACTAGCACAAGAGGTTTTCAAAAAAAGAGAAAAGAAGCAAACAACAAAAACGAAGGAAGGACGCGATATATTCTTGCCGAAATGTAAGAGTTTGCAGGCGTTTCTTCATTAATATATACTATTGATCTAGGGGAAGATACATTTAGGAGCTGGGTTAGAAGTGCCAGTTTTTTATAAAATGAAGCAGATGAACGGGACGACATAGGGAAAGAAAAAAGTGACCAATAGCAGAAGGAGTTAAGAAGAAAATTCACAAAGACATGGAAGCAAATATTTTGAAATGGTTGGACCTGCTGCCTAAGGTTCCCAGCCTTTATTCGATCAACACTTAGATCTCTGTCACATATGTATAATGTATATGAAGACTGGCGGATGTTTAACAACAGAACTAGAATGTCCTAAATTCCATGACATCAGTGACAACCCTGGCCTCATTCCCTTAAAATTAGGAAATGCTTAGAATATTGCTGATTATTTATTGGTCATTGAACTATTTGAACTAAAGTTTATTCAAATTCATATTCAAAAACCAATATAACTTACAAATTAAAAACAACCTTCAGTACAATTTGAATAAAAAAAGTGTAGTGCGCGAGTGATCTTCGTAGCCTTAATAATGTCTGGACTGACCGTAGCCTTAAGGACGATGAAAGTGGTTCACCTTGAACCGAAAGTGACGCGGCAGTCGGCCGCCAACCGTCGAATGTATCACATCTGTTTGAGTTTGATCTGTTAGATTATTTTTGTTTGTAAAGTTTGAGTAAAGTGAGTTCCCGAAACCGTGTGTTACTACTGCCCACTTCCCACGTATATTGGAGTCATGCACTTCAAAAGCTTCAAAAATACATGAGCTTGTATACTCTTGCTACTCTGAATAACCAAGATTGCAACAGAAATCTGAGCAAAGATACTAGCATCAGATCAAGAACCAGCAAGTAACGGTATATGAATTGAGGCGGTCAGAAGCAAAGGGATGTAAGTGACTTTTCCACCAAAACCGAGTTATGGGCACAATCAAATTGTTTAAGCACAATTTTATTCGGTGGCAAAGGGATATACATGAATTCTTTTCTGGTGGCTCTATCTATCCGCTAAAAGAAAAAGTACTCAGCAATATCTTCAACTTACTTGGAGGCAATGGGATGTATGTGCATTTATATCTCTTTGCCTCCAAGTTATAGACCAAATAAAGCAATTGCGTGCGAGTGTACTGCGTATTTATGACAGTGCTTTAAGTAATATTATTGTTGTTTTTACAATAACTATTCAATAATATCAGTGAATATTATTCGTGTCAATCATATTATGATGGATTTTGAGTTAGATGGTAAGTACGATAAAAATCAAGTTGAAATTAGATGTTTTTTAGGTTAGGAAGTAGAGTTTTATTTTTCTCATATGTTCATGGTTTACGATGTTCTAAATTTGCTTTGTATTCTTGTATTCACTTTTTTTTGTTGTGTCTTTGTTTTTTTGAGGTGGATTTAAATTCCTATTGTTTTTTCGCAGAACCTGTCGATGATAGCGATCTAGATCGCGACTACCACCCAGATAAATCTTCATCTATGCGTGAAGCAGAGTCGGATGAAGGCGATTTAGGCAATCACCAGATAAAGCGTAGCAGGAAAAGGGTTCGAAACGAGTCATCTTGGATAAGGAATAATGCCAGGAAGTTCAGGAACAGTGGTGGGGAGTTCATCGGTCATAGGAAATTGCTAAAACCAGCAAGAGCCGCTCAAGATCTGGCAGATCATCACTGTCGATACCAGTGTAATAGTTTTTCAAATGAAGATCGCCAACAAATCTTTGAAGACTATTGGAATTTGAGCTCATGGAATCTTCAAACGGCATTTCTTACCGCTTGTATGGAAACACGTGCACCTTTGAAAAGAAAATTAGGTGTTGAGCCACGTAAACAGGCGAGCGTTCAAATAAAATTAGTCGGAAAAAGAGTGTGTAAACTCTTTTTGTTGAAAACTCTGAACATAAGTCAGAAAAGATATGACAACGTTTTAAAAAAAAGAAACCGCACAGGCGTAGCGCCAACTGACCAACGTGGTAGGCATACCCCAGCAAATAAGATTTCGGACAACGATATTGCAATAATAAAGGGCCACATTAAGTCATTTCCAAAATACTCGAGCCATTATTCACGTGTCAAAAATCCGCATACAAAATATTTGTCAGGCGAACTAAGCATCCACAAAATGTATAACCTTTACTTGCAGTATTGCCAAGAAAATAACATTCAAAACCCTGTTAAAGAGAGCTTTTATAGATTTATTTTTACAACGCAATTCAATCTTCGTTTCAAACGGCCCCACACTGATACATGTACAATATGCGATATCCTTGAAAATAAAATCAATAACGACAATAATCCTGAAGTAGTGAATGATAGTAAGATCCAGAAAGAGATTCATTTACGAAAAGCTGAACAGGCTAGATCAGCTAAAAATGATGTCAAGAAATTGGGCAAGGATAATCCAAATACTGTAAATGCAATATGTTTTGATCTAGAAAAAACTCTCCCCACGCCTGTATTAACTTGTAGTAAGGTCTTCTATCTGAGACAACTGTGGACTTATAATTTTGCAATACATAATCTTGCAAATGATCAAGCATCAATGTTTATGTGGCACGAGGGTGAAGCGTCTAGGGGATCCCAAGAAATTGGATCATGCTTATTGAGATATGTTCAGCAACTGCCTAATTCAGTAGAACATATCATCGCATTTAGCGATAACGCAGGCGGTCAAAATAAAAATAACAACATTATAAAATTTTGGAGGCATATTGTTCAGACAACCTCCATTTGTAGAATTGACCACAAATTTTTAATTTCTGGTCACTCTTATATGGAGTGCGACCAAGATTTCGGGCTTATCGAGAAGTCAAAGAAGAAAAATCAATATGTTTTTGTCCCGGATGATTGGAGCAAAATAGTAGCTCAAGCTAGTCGAAAGTTTACTGTTGTACGAATGAGAAATGAAGATTTTTTGTCAGTTGAACAGATGAAAAAAGAGATAAAAGACAGTATTCCAGGGATACGTAATATTCAGTGGTTTCGACTGGAAAAAGATAAGCCCAATATTCTTCAATACAAGAACACTTTGAATGAGGAAATGGATTTTGTGCATTTTGACCTTAGAAAACAGAAAAAAGGCCGTCCGAATACGCAATTTGACCTTACATTATTGTATCCTGAACCACCATCTATAAAAACCGCCAAATACGAGAACCTCCAGCAACTCCTTCAGTTTATTCCCCCCATTTACCATAACTTTTATTCATCACTAAGACATCGAGGAAGCGTAGCTTCCGCAACAAACGAAAATAGAGAAGTAGATGCCAACGTCAGCCAAAGAGACATTTGTGTTGAGAATTCTGCAGATGTTTCAGCTGAATGGGAATCTGATGATGATTAGAAATTAAGAGCGAGTCAGTGCTTGGTGATTGACATTAAAACCTCTGAGTATTTTGTTTTGTATACATTTTTTTTGTCAATAAACTTTCGATTTCATCTGTCTGCTATTTTGTTATTTTGCAATAATTTACAAAAACCCTTTATAAAGAAGATTGCTTGAATCCATATGCAATTACGGGTAAAGAAAATAAGATTTATAGTGTAAGTATTATACAAAAATTAAGTGCTAAGGGGTGTAAGTGATACCATCGCTTTACTGTACGCCCTGTATTTTTGGAATAACCAGCTCAATGGCATTAAAATCTATAAAAATAATCTTTTACAGCATATTGGAAAGTGAAAAAAACTATATTGAGTATTTTGAAATACCCGTGATTTTTTTACACAACTTAAACTTTGAACCTGTTTTTCTCAAAATGCTAAAACATGCACTTACACCCCTTTGCTTCTGACCGCCTCAATTGTGAAAATTCTTTATACTTTCGTAAAGGGTAAATGTCTGAATCTTGTCGTCACAAATCCTAAATTACGGGTCTGCAAAAACAAATCTAAAATTCATAACAATAGTACAGAAGCATACTAAAAACACTCAGAAGTATAAATATAGAGTACATAAAATATGAATATCTGAAGTATGATAATATAGGGATATTTCGAGTAAGGTCAAACTATGTTGTTTATTTTTACAACATGAGGTTTACGATCTGTATTCGAAACACGAGCGCCGGAAACACCCCAGGGTTGATTCGGCCGTCTGGGTGCGATCTATTCATTCAGAACGAAGCTACCAACATGTCAGAAGCTGCGAACGGTTTTTAGAGTAGATTTTCCTGACTTTGATTATCGTCGAGCTACTATTGGTAGAGCGCATACATATAGAGGATGTTCCGTATTCATTAGGGATTCGGATTCGACCATATCAGAAAATACTTGGGATCACTTTTCGTGCCATGGTTTTGAGGAAGATGGAAGAAGTTTTAGGTATATATATACTTGTGAGAAGAAGGATTATGCGGGAGGTTGGTATGTTGGCATGCTCAGCATTCCTTTACTCTCGTCGATTTATCCTATGTGTACTTATTCAGTGCTCACGACTGAGCATACGGTTACTTATAAAAGTTTGGCAAACGGATCTGCAACAGCGAAAGGAATGCGACCGAAAATATTCGATATTGCCAAATTTAACTACAAAAAAGCAGTAATGAAGTAATTTCAATGATTTGAAAATCGATTTTTCACAATTCCAAAAAATAATAATTCAAAATACTGAGTATTTTAATGGGTTGTTAGCACTATTTGTATTTAATAACTATTTTTTACTACTGAATCGTATTATAAGTAAACATTTTTCCAAAGATCTTATCGACATCGGTTGTTGAGCTGGCAACAACCACCCGAAAGGTATATTGGACACCGCCTGAACGAATCTGATTGGCGGATATCCTCACATGTTTTGTCGCCATGAGAAAATTCGACTCCCTATTGGGTAGCGTCCCAGACAATTTTTTGCTTCTTTCTTGGAATATCCATACTATTGAAAAGTCCAGTGGCGTAGGTTTTATCTCCGTTGATCGTGTATGAGTTTTACAACTATTATTGTTAACTATTTATTGTTCTATTAAGTTTGTATGTTTAGTGCTGTGTGTTTTTGAATAGTTTAGTGTTTTGTTATTTGTTATTGTTATTCGTTTTAGTATTATTTTTTTAAAATGAACCAATTTACTCGTGGAAAGACGCTTCATAGCCAAACAACAGAAGTGATTGCGAATGTTTATAGGTTTTTAATAATAATATGCAATAATTGTAGTTTTTGACGACTGAGTCTGAATATAAATAAAAAACAAGGAAATGCTAAGCTAACATTCTGATGATTATTTATAGGGTTTGCGATGAGGAAGCGGCAAACAATTCCCTCAAGTTGCTGCTTAAACGTAAGCTTGATAGGGTGTCCCTTTATACCGGATTCGGAGTATCTTCTGTTAGGAAAATTCATAACGAAGATAAAGAAAGACTAGAAAATACCCCAATAAAATGTTATCCAGTCCCGGGAAAAAAAGACCGGGTCAGTCTCTTGTTGAGAAAGATGAAGATTTTGATTTTCAGATTACTAGACATTTGATAAACAGATTTTATCTTGAATATACAGTTATCCCGACAACTAGGAAGTTATTACAAAAGTTGAGAGAAGACTCAAATTTCCCCTATTCTAGGGAAACACTCAGGAGTTTATTAAAATCAAATGTTTTTTTTTTGGCGCAAATGACAAAATGTAAGAAAAGTTTTGATAGAGGCCTAATATATTGCAATGGAGGTACAAATACATCCGTGAGATACGTAGATATCGTGAAGAAGGGCACAATACTGTTTATTTGGACGAAACCTGGGTGGAAAATGACTTGACTTTCAAAAAATGCTGGCAGAGCGAAACTGTTTCTGGTGTAATAAGCAGTATAGGTTCTACAGGTAAGCAAAAATGCTATATATATCTTAAATTTAACTCTGATTTGTAACATATTATATAATCGTCTTGTATATTTTAGGTCGACTCATTATAGTGCATGCAGGTTCAGAAAATCGATTTGTTGACAATGCCTGTTTGATATTTAAGGCGGGATTAGCTACAGGCGATTACCACGGTCAGATGAATCGGGAAAATTTCACACGCTGGCTCACCGAAAAACTCCTCCCGAATATACCTGCCAATTCGGTTATCGTATTTGACAATGCCCCATATCATTCCGTCCAGGAAGATAAAACCCCGACAAAATCATCTTCGAAAAAAGATATAATGGCCTGGTTGACAATGAAAGGTACTTATGACTCAAAACATGCATGTACATATCAAACTATACAATAAAATATTTTATAGGCATAAATCATGAGGCAACTGCCAGAAAATTTTACTTGTTCGATCTAGTCTTACTTCGTAAGCCCCCTGACAACCAAAAAAATTATGTATTTGATCGGATCATAAGATCACATGGACATACTCCTCTAAGAACACCTCCTTATTTATGCGAGCTAAACCCAATAGAATTAGCTTGGGCAAAGCATAAATTTCATATAAGAAGCCGCAATACCACTGGAAACTTCAGTTTAACCGCACTGAAAGAAGTTACTCAGGAAGCGATGTCCTGAATATCCATTAATGATTGGCAGACATTTTGTCAACATGTTAGGGACATTGAAGATAAATTTTGGGAAAATGATCAATTTATGGAGGAAATGGAACCAGTTATAATAACTATAGGGCAAGATGACGACAGCGAAACTGATGACGACAGTGACGATGATGATAATGATGAAGTTGATGAACACCATTGGTAATTCAATAGGTGAAATGTAATTTTGAAATGCTGTATAATGTAAGTATTATTCATTACAGAGGTTATAAGTTAAACATATATGAAATATGTTTAAAGTTCTTTGTTTCTATTTAAGCGACACCGATGCTCTAGAAATATCCACATCAACAGTCCAAAATTGCAACAATAGGAATCCAGAAAGATGCGGATTAAAAAAGAAAAATTAATTCTGGACATGTTTCGGCTTGTGGCACTTTTTAAAGTAAATGAGCATATTATAAGATCACGGATGTATAATATATATATATATATATATATATATATATTTACATCTCCATGTGGATCGGTAATCCTTTCAATTCCCAGCAATAAGTCACCTACCAGAAATATCGAATATATATCAAATTTGATTCGTGTATATCCAACAAAAAGGCAAACTGATCCAGGATCAGCTCAAAAAACTGTACATTAACATTTCGGATTTTCATATAAAGTCCGCTATATAGGTCTACCTTTTAAAAACCGTAAGATGTGTCCTCTACCGGAATACCCTTCAGATCACAAAACGGCATTCGGTCCCCCAGAATACTCAAATTAACTAAACACCAGTAGATAAGTCATCCGTGCAGTGGTGCCAAGTTTCATTTATTTCTCTTTACATAATACTACTGAAGTCTCCTAACTTGGACTTGTATTATTATATTATTTTTCAAGGATCTCCAATGGATATAACCAAAATTCTTTCCAGCAACTTTGAGTACACTATTTGCTCGATTAAGACTATACAAAACGTTGCTAGCATACGACAGAAGGATGCCCAACGTTTCGTAAATTATAACTTACCTATGCAAAAATTATCAGATCATCGAGCAGCCCACACAATCAAGAATACTTTTTTCTATTACATGTCCAGGAGGTTGTATGAACTTTCAGATCGAGCACTTTGCTTTTCCAATAGCCTATGTCGTATCGACGACATCCTAATGATGATAAGCTTTAGACGCGTAATTTCCAAATCTGTGATATTAGCAGTTGAAATACTTCCCTGCCCTCCGGTTCGCAAAAAACAGCATTGAGTATCCTAAAATACTTGAATTACCTAATCACTATACTGAGCCTTACAATCATGTGACGTTATCTTTGGATAAGGAAATCACCATTCATGTTTGGTACCATCTATCTATGAGAATATTCCTAATCTTGAAATAAAATCGTATATCAACGATTTTCTCTAATAGCTCAGACTTAACCATATAGTCACGCCAACCAAAAGCCATATGATACAATCGTCCATCAAAATACCTTCGGATTCACAAAAAAACAGCACTGAGTCTCCCAAAATACTTGAATTTACTAAACCCTGCTAGATCGGTCTTCCGTGCAGAATAAATACACTTCTACCCTACGATTCACAAGAAACCAGCACTGAGTCTCCCAAAATACTTGAATTTACTAAACACTGCTAGATCGGTCTTCCATGCAGAATACTCTTCTACCATACGATTCACAAGAAACCAGCACTGAGTCTCCCAAAATACTCGAATTAACTAAACACTGGTGGATCAATCTCCCATGAAGAATACTCTTCAATACGCAAACCAGTGCTGAGTCCTCCACAATACCCGAACTAGCTGAATGGCGTACGTCTGACGTCAGATCGGTCTCCCGATCATTTTAATTCCAGTCAATAAAGCGCGTGCGCCCGGGGATAGGGTTTGTCGGTTTGTCTAAGATCTGAGAATTCATTTTATTGGCACCAATCGTGCTGGAAGGACGTTCAAATCTGTTGTGTATTCAAGAGTGTGTCTGAAAGGACTGTTGAGGTAAGTATGACTTTTTGAACTCTTATGCAATCGTTAATAGGATATGATGGTAATATGACTGTATTACTTACATTTAATGGAAAAGCAATGAATATTGAGTAGCGTGAAGGATAAAACAATGCTGTTCAAAAGGTCAACCCCCATAAATTTTACGCCAAACTTTATCTAATCTTGTTGGTTTAGTTTTGTATAGGTGATTCTTGAATGTAAAGCTACAATGTTTTTTTTTCAAGTTAAAGAACAGGGTCAAGTAGATTGAGTGTGACCATACATCACTGAAAATTTAAAAATAGAA